TCCAAGAGGTTGATTGAGGGAATGGACAGCTTTATGCAACTCCGGATAGATGCGGATGCGTCAAACAGTGACTGGTTGATGCTTGCTTGCTTGGTAATTTTTGATCAGCATTTGGGACATATACGAAACGCTTACACTTTTCTTGTAGTGCGTTTGGGGGGCGTTTTTTTTTTTTTTTTTTTTTTTTTTATGCAAGGATTGTATTATAACACTATACACATGTACTATATAGAAACCGATTGAGATCTATTTGGTTGCATTTTCGCATCTTTAATAGAACTACAGTCCTATTGGTAGAGGTAAGATGCAGATAATCATTGTATGATTACATGTTGTATCTGTCTTTTGGGACGACGAGATCCGGTAAGTGATCTATCTCCACGCAGGAAAGGGAAGATGAAAGCCGATAAACCCTAATTTTGCCGGTACAATAATTTTACCGAACATCGACGAGAGACCGGGAGACTTTAGTCTGCAGCAAAAGTAGAAGAGAAAGCCGGAAGGAGACTTGGATTCTTGAGCCTGCAGTTTCGATTTTATTAGCTAGAGGGCCAAGATTCTGAGGCTTGAATGAGGCCTGTGTTCGCCGTGCTTTGGGGTAGGTTTTGAGGTGAGAAAAAATGAGCGGAATGTTTCTTCGTCTGAGCATGTTTGTATTTATGGATTCATGCAATGAGAATGGATTCTTCATCTGTGGTACCCATGACAAAATTATACAAACGTTCCTGGAAAAGAAAAGGATATTATGCTGAGCTCATTTGAAAGGAACAAAAGCATTTCGGATTTCCTTCAGGCTATATTCCGTTATATGCGGAGTGTACAACAATCCGCCTCAGTGGCCAACAGCTTAAAATCTTAATGATACAAAAATACAACAGACCATGCCTGAATGGCAGGTCTATCTTGTAGTTATCGTGGCAAGCACGTATCTAGAGCTGCAGACACTTCTATTGAGTCTTCTTCGAGTCTCCTGCGGCAGGTTTACCACTCAGTCTATATGCCTGTAGTATTAAGTTCCCTGTTGACCATGCATAAGCCAGAGCAAATCCGCTGGCACCGATAAGCACATTGAGCACGACCCATAAGTCTGGCTTGCCAGCTGGCGGTGGTACGAATGCTTCAACGACATGCCAGCCTATCATGCTCAGATAAAAGATGGAGTGGATGAGTGCCGTAAGTATATGAACTGAAGGCTCTTTCGCATTCCTCGATCGATACGTCTCCATTGACGTGGGAAATAAGCCTAGCAAGTAAGCCCACAGAAGGGTGATGACGAAGTATGGGATGCTGAGCTGTTCTCGCTTGAGCAGTGGATACATTGTCCATGCCCCAAGAATATTGGCCCAACCAATCCATGCACGGTTCACCTTGTTCAATCCCCCATCAACGTTCAGGAGAAGCGTCATTGGAAGTAAGGGCAGCAAAACGCTCTTTTCATGTACCTGGAAAGAGCACAGGAAGAAGCCCCACGCAGAGCTAGTGAGGGCAAGCAATAAGAGCTGTGGCCGAGGATAACGGAGGATCACAAGACATGGGATGGAAATCGACGCGAGAGTGGCGGCAAGTGATGCCTGCTGCAAAAGCGACGAGGGAAACCGATTCAATTTGTAAAACGTGTGGATGGCACACCAGGCATTTGCGACTTTGTCTTCGAATAAACCTCTCGCAAAGGGGAATATGCGGTGGACAAGCTGGCCGAGCTGGAGGAGCGATGCGTAGTACCAAGAATTCCCATCTAGTTTGATCGGTAAATCTGCGAGAAATACCGGTAAGGTCCCAGAGGGCGGAATTCCATTAGTCCAGTCAATCACGGATGCCGCAACTAATGGCAGAAGAATGATGGCAAAAGCTGCCACCGTTGATAGAGCGATCAATAAAAAGCGTCCAATTCTTATACGAGGGAAGAGGCAGCTTCCCAGAAGGAAAGAAAACATGGTCGGTGCATAGTACAGTGCCATCTGTTTGAAGCACAAGGCCGCGACAAAGAAGCCACATGCCAGCGGCAGTCTTCCAGTCAGTATACTTTCTATACTGGCTACCATCAAGCCTAACATCACCGTGTTGTACTGGAAGTGACCATGGTCGATGAGAATAGTTCCAGGCTGCATCAATATGGCAGTCAAAGCAATTGAAGTTGACCACATTGGTACTCCGAGAAGACGACCGTATCGACGCCCGAATAATACAACAGCTGGGATGTAAATAAGGTATTCGGATACAATGACAGTGGCGCGCATGTAAAGCTTCAGGAGGGGATCCTCGACGCCCCGCGATGTGTCGAGCGCGAAGAAAGCTGGGTTGACCCACGAGCCTCTGTTGTGGAAATGTGTCAGCCAAGGGTTGCCTTCCTTTTTCTGCAGCCACAATTGTGTTGTCTTACATATTCCCCAGCAACCAGCTATGGTAAGCTGTCAACGGCGGATAGTCGAGGCCCCAGTATTGAAGGTCATAGAAGTACCATTTCGTAATTGGTAGATGGATCGTCAATTCCATCCAATGCCTTTGCGCCTCAAAATCGCCGTGCATAGGAGGAGACTCGAAGCCTAGAAACCATCCATATATCCATTAGCACATCCGACTTGTGTCTCTGTTGAAGGGGAAAAAAGAAGGCTCTTTTACCTGAGTATCCCCACAAGCTCACTGCCCACCGGAACAAACCCACCGCCATAAGAATCAATGGCAAAATAAGCCATTGCGAAGTCGATCCACGGGCAGACCACATGAAAGAAACGAGCGGAAAAGCAGGAGATGCTTGTGGCGAGCCCGGTTCGAGAATCAGATCATTATTGTTGGACCCGGAGAGCGATGTTGGAAGCTTCTTTTTCTGTCGAGGACGGTAAGATACAGCAGCAGGGGAGGATGCCATTTTGGCAGCACAATGACAAGTCAATCCGGGACAGCTTCCATCAGCTAAGTCTTCAAATGCATCGATGTTAACTCCACAAGCTTGTGGCAGCTGGTGGGATGCTCCGTATTTGCTGTCGAGACACGGTACGGCGTAGGCTTGAGCTTGATGCGGTTCACACTAGGCCGTATCTGGCAATGGTCTAATACTTATACTTCGGACGAAGCGTGCAGAAAGCATGTATATTTATTGAGTACGTATTTACAGAATCGTTTTCGTGAAGCACCTTAGAAAATAGCGTGTTATACACCGTGAGATGGTTATCAACAAGTCCGGTGACAACTCGAATACAATACGAGGCCAAGGGCCAAATTCCACTATCAAAACGCTCATAGGATGCATCGCACATGTACATATGCAGGCTGTAGCTTTGCGACTCATCATCGTTGAAACCTAAGAACACGACCATCGGGTCCCACGCTAACACCAAGATGTTCTCGGAGAAACGTTGTCGTCTCTCGCGAAGGCGTAAACGAGGTACGTGGCCGAGCGGCTGCATTGTATCTCCATTGATCACGTATCGTGTCGAGCAAGCCCATGTCCATTATCAGCGCTGCGCCCGAAAAAAGGGTGTCTAATGGATGCATGTTTCTAGATATGGGGCTTGAGCCGTCCTCATCAGGTTCAGCTAGTAACACCGTTCGCTCGAGACTCGAGTCCCGTGACCCTGAGGAGGCAGAAGAAGAGTCATTATTTGTTTCACTTCTCAAAATTCCTCTCTCTTCGGCATCATAATCTTGTTCGGGATTCGCGCTGTCCGCTGATGTCGATTCATCGTTCCCCGTCGTCTGGTGATCTGTATCTGTTCGCACTCGTTCCACCACCAGTCCCAGCATAACAAGGTGCACAAGCATGACAAGAAAATCAAACATAACGAGTCGTATTCGCGATACGGGGGCCTTCTGACCCACAAAATCAATGAAAAGACCACCATGGAGGTAGCCTCGTGTTTCCTCGCCTGCACTTGGATGGATGGCGATAATATGTAGAAATATGCACATCAAATTGCTGCCGAAGATGGCGCCAATGAAGGGTTGGCTTCTAGTCGGGTCGAACGGAGGAGCTTTCGGCGTGAAGAATATAAGTTGTACAATAAGGCGTAGGGCAAAGAGGAAAAAAGCACAGCTGTTTTGTTCGTTTCCCGCAATTGTTAGCGACACCGTCCAATGGTTCAACGCAATGGAGAGATATCATAGTCATACTCCATATAATACAAAGCCGCCAGCTCGCAGTAAATCACAATGTCGAGCTCGCGCAGTAGACGATCAATCAAGGCAATCTTCGCCCTCCGTTGCACCTTCCGCCTCAGATCCTGCTGGGCGGGCGATGACGAGCAGTCGCCATCAGCGACGTTGGCCACATCCGGGATGCCAGAGACATCAGTGAAGTGCTCGGCATCCCTGAATGCATCTGGGGTTGTCATAGAGGGGTCATGAGGGGACGAGAGAGAGACGAAGCAGATGGCCGCCCGAGTATCAGCGCGGAAGTCCCGGGTGGGATTGCCCGAGTGCGGTGGGATTTACTCAAGGATCCACGGCGAGGGACTGTGATGGGCGATTCTTCGGGGAGTCTGTCTAGCATTTATCGAGAGCGATGGGGCGAGTGCTGTGCTTTGCGGACGTCGATGAGGCTCTCTCACAGCGTCGTAAGTTGCGTTTCCACCTGCGGCTCCGCGCTAAGCTTGTCGTTCCCCACGGACTTTGGTTGCTCCGGCGCCAGCCAATCAGGTGTATTCACCCGCGCGAGGGAGGTATGTTGGAATTTCTGTTTCTGTATACTATCAGGCTGTAGACTGTAAGTTGTTCGGAGACTCGATGACTCAGGTCTGCCCGGTCAGTCGCACAAAATGGCCGCCACCGTCCTCAGAAGCGCGTACGGACTCCGCAGTCTGCCTAAGGCCCTGGCCCGCCAAGCCCAACAGCGTAGCACTGTCCAGTTTCCACTTGCGGCGCTGGCTCGTGTGAGAAATTAGCTTATCAACCACCTCGATGCCAGCTTTGGAATCCCCGACACCCTCAAAAGTGCCTCTTCTACGCGCAAAGGGTACAGAGAATCCCGCCTAGCCCAGCAGCCGCAGTTGAAAAGCGAAGGACTATCATGCTCACGTGCCCCCTCTGCCTGCTCTTCAGACACCACCGCATGTGTCTCGGGATCGAGCATTAGGCAAGCGTTTGTTCCAGTTCTAGCGAGACGGTGGAGGGAGACAGAGAGGGAGACAGAGAGAAAGAAAGAGAGAACGAGAGAGAGAGAGGGAGAGGGAGCGATAAGGCGAGAGAGACATGCGGCATTTTTCGACCTGCGGCGTCTTCAAGGCAGCGCTGGCTTGTTTGTATACAACCTTGGTTTTACCAGCGACTGCCTACTCATGCGCATTCAGTGACAACACCTGTATCGACAGCATCGCGCAGGTTTCTATTTCCTTCCAGTTTGAGTCCATTTCGCCCTCTCCACTCCTCTTCTTCTACGCCTTCGATGGCGGCTTCTCGTACGCAAACGGCTCGTCGGTGATCAAAGTGGGCTATTGGCTACAGTACGATCAAAGCCAGCTGACAGCTTATAATGAACTTTCTAATGGTACCAATTGGACGACCGAAGCCGCTCTTCGTATTGGAAATCTAGGCGGATATGTGGGCGGGTCCAATAATGGTTGTGACGGGGTCTGGGGGAATGCATGTTCGGAAAGCCTAAAATTTTTCTTGCAGACATCAATGTTCAACCTCGCTCGTTCGGGGATACCCTATGACATGCCTCTGCAAACAGTGTTGCAGCCGTTGACTGACGGCATCCCGGGTCCTTATATTCAAGGATGTCCATCTACACTATTTCAACTCAATGACATTCCCACTTACGGTATAGTTTTCTCTCCCCTTTTATCTATCGTGCAGAGGTAAAAGCTCATGTTCAATCAGCCGTCATCAACAAGACCACTTTTGGTTATACCGACCAATCGACCAACGTGAGCGTGGCTCCCTCTGGTAGCGCATCATCTTCATGGCGAACATGGACCATTCCCGACATAACCCCTATGCAGCAGGCCCGCGAGGTTGCTGTCGGTATTATAACTCGCGGGCCAGTATATGGTTCGGAGCCATTAACAAGCCCCGACGACATCCAAATCGAGCTGGTTTGCTCAAGAGCTCCTAAGCAAGGTCACTTTCCTGATCCGGGTCCAGGCGGACCTCCTGATGACAAATCGGGTCAGGGATTTGCGCGCGGCATCATCAAAACATATGCTTTTGACGATGACTATGATTACGAAGACGAAGTGGAAGACGATAATGAAAGTGACGATAGCTTTGAGGCAAATGGATACGTCAAGTGTGCTGAAGTGGGTACCTGATTCGTTTGATACATGCTCGACAAGGATTCTATTTATGAAAGCTGCCTCCTCCACAGACACGCTTGAAAATTTCGGGATTTTCCCCTGACTTATTGTTGAAGTATTTGACAATGCTACCAAGACGAAACGCGGCTACAGCACCGTCATCGGTGCTATTAAAGCACGGCATATTCAAAACTTCCTTGGAGAACTCACTTCAATGGCTATCTCTGTGACTCCGACACTGTTACTTATTACCACCCTCTTTTCAGAGGTTCATCATATCCCTCTCTGTACATATAACATATATCTCGTTACGCGTACCACTTCACAGATACTGAAGACATTTTGTACAGGAAAGCATTCCTGGAGAATGCTTTCAGATTTATATTGCTCTTGTCATCGATTGAATTCAGATATGAGCTCTGCTGTTGCTTTCACATAGCACAATTCTAGAGCAAAGAATACCACTATAAGACTGAACTGCCAGCTGGCTCCAACGCTTCGTGATTGTGACGCTCAACAACATGACAATATTGGTGGCTCTTGAACTCAGCAGCCAATATAGAAACACCTGGGGCGTACATAGTTGTTGCAATATTCTTGTATGGAAACCGGTGATCAGCGTATGCCATGCATATATAGTAACAGAGAGACGTATGAGTATAGTACCGACAGGCTGACCATAGAAATATTGCGCATCTTGCGCTTCATGGACTAGTTGGGTGGATTTGCAGGATCGTTGGAGCCATTCCAGTCAACAAGATTCGGGTTTTCATCGGCAGCATCAAGTTCCTTCTGGCTAGTGCCTTTGTCGTATTCTGCATCGCTTCCGCTCATAATGTACGTTTTGGCTGTGGAATATCCCGTAATGAAATGCTTCCAATGAAAGACATGCGTATGGGTAGGCTTTCTCTTTCCTCCTGCTCCCAGTCCGAAGAAATGCAACAGGCTTTAATATACCTTTAATCGGATGTTTTGACGGGCCATATCAGGCGTCTGGCAGGCGAGCAGCCCAGAATCCCGCCGCCGATGCATGCTAGCCATCATGGCCTAGCCATATAAAAGTAGAGAATCAGGGATGTAAGCCTGAAGTGTTGGGTTATGCTTGGTCAATTGCTTCGTCGATCGGCTTGCGCCTCCACCGCCTTGCTAGATCCTGACGCCGGTGAAATCTGGTGATGGGAAGATCAAGTTGACACGTCTACGTCTAATTTCGAAGGCAGGTGCAACCTTGAGGGTGCAAATTTATGTATTTTAGATATACTAGTACATACACTAGGTATACAAACTACTCGCAAATAAGACACCTTATCAAGGGATATGGAATGACACATCGTAAATTTGATTTACACGCTGTATTTACGCGTATTTACCCTTGTCGGCCGATTGTATCGAGCCGCTTTACCCCATCTGGTATTCTCTGAGCGCACTGGCCAACCATATTGCATTGTGCATCCCCACGCTGCTGTCCTGATTGGCTCTGGGCATGCAGCACAATGACGGCAGTAGCAGTCCGTCTGAAGTTGAACCTCGTCACCTTCGCTTCGTTCAGCATCGAACCTCGATCTTCCATCCACAGACATCCTTCCTGTCCTCGCCTGGAGCGACTCTCTCCATCCCCGCGCCTCAGACATCGTGCAAGAGCCTCAGTCTCGACTATCGAACTTTGGGCGCGGTACCGGCGTAGCTCGACCACCCCACCGTGGCTCTCAACGCTGTGGGGGAGAGCTTGGCTTGTCCAATACCAACCAAACTGACTCCCCTCTTCCGGATAACCAGCGTTACTGCTTTGCTGTTAACCGGATTAACCGACCAGCGGAAATCGGAAATTTAAAGGTAGTCTTCACGTCACTTCCCTCCCAATTGCACATTTTTGACTTTTTATAAGAGGAAGGGATATCCGGCAGTGCCATTTTCGTCTCAACATGGCTGCTGCTTTTGACGACGAAGATCTGTCCGTCTCCCTCGCGACATATCCCCGAGGTCCTAACAGGCCACACGACCGACCAGACGAAGCAATGGATAGCTCCAATCCGGCAGCCATGGCCATGCCGCCGCCACCGCGGCCAAACAACGGCAGCCACAGCAGTAAATCATCGATACAGTCGCCCACAACGCGCCGAGATATGCAACGATTAGATCAATATAAAACGGTCAAGGTGCTGGGCGAAGGCTCTTTTGGCAAGGTCAAGCTGGCAATTCACCAGCCCAGTGGGCGACAGGTCGCGCTTAAGATCATCCCCCGTCGAAAATTGCTGTCAAGAGATATGGTTGGACGGGTTGAGCGTGAAATTCAATACCTACAATTGCTCCGACATCCGCATATTATAAAGTTGTGAGTGTTATCTTTTGTAACGCCAACTTTTGGCTTTTGGCCTGGCTGACCGATGTCTTCACATAGATATACTGTCATTCCTACAAAGTCCGATATCGTCATGGTTTTGGAATATGCAGAAAGAGAACTGTTCGACTACCTCGTCAAGCGCGGAAAATGTAACGACGACGAGGCACGCAAGTTCTTCCAGCAGATTATTTGTGCAGTCGAGTATTGCCATCGGCATAAGATCGTCCACCGGGATTTGAAGCCTGAAAACTTGTTGATCGATAGCGATAAAAACGTCAAGATTGCAGATTTTGGACTCAGTAACATTATGACGGATGGCAACTTCTTAAAAACAAGCTGTGGAAGCCCTAATTATGCCGCGCCAGAAGTCATTTCGGGAAAGTTATATGCAGGGCCGGAAGTCGATGTGTGGAGTTGTGGAGTCATATTATACGTTCTTCTTGTCGGGCGATTACCGTTTGACGACGATTATATCCCTGCTTTGTTCAAGAAGATTGCCGCAGGAAATTTCCATATGCCTTCATACATCTCGCCAGGAGCCGCGAGGCTCATCAGAGCCATGTTACAAGTTCATCCCGTCCAACGAATCAGTATCCCTGACATCCGGCAGGATCCATGGTTTCTCCAGGATCTTCCTGCGTATCTTCAACCGCCGCCAGAAGAATTCGTCACTACAGGGGTTGACCCTAACAAAGCGGTTGACCGTCGCAAGATTGCTCCTGGAAAGCCTACATCTGTGCAGCAGAAGATCCACGAGCTCGCTGTGACAAAATTAGAGCACAGTATGGGCTACCGGAAGCATGAGATCGAGGACGCTCTACGGAGGTCAGAGCCTAGTGCAGTCAAGGACGCGTTTTTCATTATCGCAGAGAATGAACTGATGCAAACGAATTGTAAGTTTTAAGTTTTAAGTTTTTTTTTCTCTCTCTCTCTCTTTGTTTTTCTTTTTTTTATCCAGAATCTTGCTCTCTGTGTAAATCACTTCAAAAACTGGGACACTGCTAACGTCATTTGATAGCTCCGCAAGACGATACTCTCGATTTGCCTTCTCCAACAGCACCTTCGTCCCCACCAGCGCAGGATAGAGGCGCTTTCAGTTCACCACGGGCACCAAAAACAGCCGCGGCAGCTCTCCGGCATGAACATGCTCTTGCTCCGTTAACACCGCAAGCTCGAGAAGCAACACCACCACCAGCATCGTCACCAATTCAACCTTCATCTACCTGGGAGGCTAATGCTCAAACCATGCATGTTGATGAGTCACGTGTGAGCCATGTTAGAATTCTTCCCACAAGTCTTCCGTACGTCCATGACCAGATTATGGAGCAAAGGGATGGCATCAGAGAACGCGCTAGGAAGCAGAAAAACTATAGCTCTGTACCCGATGCGGAACAAGAAATTGATCATCCCGTGGAACGCACCCCAGAGCAACAGGCGGCGACATTCAGGGCTTTGAAGCCTCATTCTCGCAGTGTTGTTGATTTTGATAAACTACGTTTAGAACCACCACAGAAGTTCCACACAACGCCCATGCCACCGAAGAGGTCCAGAAAATGGCAATTTGGCATTCGTTCCCGAAATCAACCTTACGAGGCGATGTTATGTCTCTATAGAGCCATTGAAGCGGTGGGCGGGGTTTGGGAAATCATTCCCGCAGAACCAGGTATGATAGTGCTTAAAGTCTTGATGACGACAAATATATGCTAAAGACCGTATTATAGATGGCGACGCACCCTTCGAACCAGACCCAAACAAACCACTGCCTTTGCAGCGCAAGTATCCAGACCTACCATCAGAGTATTACATCCCCAAGGATCCCTGGTTTATTCGCGCACGTTTGTTAAAGGAGGGCGTGACTGCTCCGGGCGTTTCACTTAGCGCCCACAGCAGTCGCAGTGACTTGGGCGACCTCCGGCGCAAAGTGAATTTGATGAATGCCTCCATCAGTGCCGAAGAGAAAGCCGCCATTACCGCAGCCGTACAAGCCAATGCCGAGAGCGCGGGTGGAAGTGGCAGTGGTGGTGCTAGTGGAGCTTCATCTCTTGAACTGCAATCAATGCGTATATCATACGGAGTCTGGGTATTTATCGATATTCAACTATATCAACTCGAAGCCAATAATTATATGGTCGATTTCAAATGTGATGGCTACCAGAACGTGATTCGTGCGGACATGGATGGCGAGTGGCGACCGGTCAGCAAACGCATTCGCAATAAGGAGAAGGAAGTGACAAGTCCATATCCTTATTTGGACGTTGCATCTGATCTGGTGGCTCAACTTGCAATAGCGAGCTAGGTTGTCCACTACGACGGTATATTATAAATAAGTGCCTTTTCTTTTCTACTTTTTTTTCCCGCTGCTATTATCTATGTGTGTCATTGTCCGTATAATGCATGAACGAAGGGAGGATTATGTGGATGTTTCTTTCTTCTTTTAGCGAGGCGTTTTTGTACTCTTCTTTTAACAAGTTCTGTTGGGTTAAGGCAGCGATGTTTTCTTCCTCCCCTCTTTCCTTTTCGTTCTCTGTCCGATGATGATGAATGCGCATGAAAAGCAAAAGAAGCTTTCACTTCCTCTATGGAGGAAGAAAGTTAATACCTTCAAAGAAGGGTTCGGTCTTTTTTTTTTTTTGTCCATCTTAACTGATTTATAATTCCTGGTCGGAAACTCAAAATATATATCATGGACTTACTTTACTATAGTTATAGTAAATAACTGGCAAACGTTCTCATCATTTTCATATTTTCAATATCTATATACATGTAAAGCGTCCAATATTCCTTCAACTGCTATTCGAACTCAACGACTCATACAATTCTTTAAACGCACTATTCCGCGATAGTAGCGCCTGCGGCGAGTCTAGCTCAACCAGCTCTCCGTCATGCATAAGCGCCACCCGATCAAAGTCCATGATAGTATCGAGCCGATGCGCAACCGCCAAAATGGTACAATTACCAAACTTTTCGCGGATCACACGCTGCATCAACGCATCAGACACGACGTCAACGTTGCTCGTAACTTCATCTAGAACAATGACCTTGCTGCCGCGCAGCAGCGCGCGCGCTAGCGAGAAGAGTTGCCGCTGACCATGCGAAAAGAAATTCGAATCTAAGTCTGCGTCTAGCCCGCCCTTTTCTTGCACCAGATCCCATAGCTCTACGCTGCGAAGCGCTTCTGCGATCTGCTCCGAGGTATGTGTCCCCAGCGGATCGGCGTTGATGCGCACCGACCCGCGCGTGATGAATGGTTCTTGCGGGATTGCGTTGAGAGCGGCGCGCAGATCCTGTCGGGCCACTTTCGTGATGTCCACGCCGTCGATGGTGATGGAGCTTTCTGGCTCGATTTCTAGCATGCGGAACAGTGTGGCTAGTAAGGAGCTTTTGCCGCTGCCGCTCCGTCCGCAGAGTCCGATTTTCTCGCCGGCGCGGATGGAGATGGAGAGGTTGCGGAGGATAAGTTTGTTGTTCTCTCTGTTCTTGTTGCTGTTGTAGGATGCGGAGACGTTGCGGAATTCGATGGCTCCCCGGGGTGGCCATGCGAGAGAGCCGCTGTCATTGACGCTGTCTGGTAGTGGGAGCGTTTCCTCAGGACGGTTCTCGTTGGCCGTGGTATCGACAAAATTGCGGACACGAGCAATAGCACCTATAGAGGTCTCCAGCTCTGTCCAGTTGCGGATGATTTGTGAAAGGTATTGACTGAAAGTGATAACGTTGAGAATGGCTAGACCGACATAGCCAGCACCAACCTCACTACGCAATTTAACGATCATCACCATGAGGATCACACCGAGAGCGGTGACTGCCAGATCAAGCGCCAGTCCAAGCCAGCGTTGGATGCAGAAAAGTAGATAAAATGGTTTCTGAGAAGCATCCAACAGCACCAGATTCTGTTCCTCAAAGCGAGAGGCCCAACCAAAGGCTCGAATTGTTACTAGACCCGACAGACTTTCAAGGAACTGGGAGAAGAGAGGCGATTTTGCCTCTAGATCGAGGATACGCATTTGGCGAGAGGTTCGGAGGTAAAATTTCTGCAACATCCACATAAACAGAAAGACTGGAGGCATGGTAGCAGCAAAATAACGCGCTGATATACACATAAGAACCGCAGACATCACCCCGATTGATAGCGAGATGAGGAAGTCAATCACCGCATAGGGAAGATCATTGTCTATTAGCGTCATATCCTGGCTGAACCTGTTGCGCGTAGACTAATGTTAGAGAAGAGTTGACGGGCAATGCGTGACAGAGAATCCAAAAGTGATGTTCTTACCTGTTCGTTGTAGTACCTATATCCACAGACGTAAAGAATGCAAGTGGTGCATTCATAACTGAAGAAAGAAGGCGTTCATGCAACACTTTAGCACTTTTCGGTGAAAAGTACAAGATGTAATGATATACGCCGCCTACCATGCCCCCCACCGCTATGATTGTCAGCATAGCATACAGTCCCAGATAAAATCCATTGACGCTGTTTCCGTCTGTATTTGAGGCATCAGTCCAGTAATTGACTAGGAACTCGCCCAGCTTTGCTGCTACTCCGGCCAGCAAAAAGCAACTAGCCCAGAGCGCTGTGGATGCCCAATGCACAGATTTCAAGTAATAAGTGTAAAGTGATAAGTCCCCGCCATGACGAGTAAGATCTCCTTGAGCGATATGAAGCTCGTTTTCTTCTTCCCGGGCTATTTGCTCCTCCTTTTCCGCTTGTGCAAGCGCTGAAGGCATAGCATCTGTTTGCTTCTCTTGCTGTATATCCTCTTCGGCCTTCTCAGCTTTGTAGCGTTTCTCCAATGTACTGACATAGCCGCCTGATGCTTCCAGTTGCTCCAGGGTACCCTGTTCGGCAATCGAGCCATCGGCTGCCATAGCTAAAATATGATCTGCGTAGGACAGTCTGTGTACAGCGTGGGTAACGAGAAGTACCGTGCTGCCTAGCTTGCGGAACAATCCCTGTCTTGAAAATAGCCGTGTGAAAATACGATCTTCTGTGTCAGCATCCAGTCCAGAGAATGTATCATCCAACAAAATCAAGTCTTTGCGTGCATATACAGCGCGGGCAAGAGCCACTCGTTGTTTCTGTCCACCGGAAAGAGAAATGCCAGCAGAGCCGACGATTGTCGCTGAAGATAGGTTAGTTTGTAAGTCTTTTCAAGAAAAAGCATAGAATCGACAAGAACCACTCACAATGACCACGCGGCAATATGGCAACATCTTGATCTAAAGCACAAGCATTCACAACGGATTTATACCACTGTTCATCGTACGGCGAGATACCAATTATGTTATCTCGGAGAGTAGTGTTGCGAATCCATGGAGTTTGATCAACAAATGCACATTCCTTGAAGTTGGTGTATAGGAAGCCCTTGGTGGATAGCGTTTCACCAAGGACTCCTTTCAGCAGGGTACTCTTACCGCACCCAACAGGCCCGATAACGAGACATAACTGACCGCGTGAAATAGTAAAGTTCACATCCCGGACTACGGGTTTCTCATCAATGGTCCAAGAAAAGCTGACATCTCGAGCAAGTATCAACTCAGAACGCTGCGTGGAATCAGCCTTTGGGAAGCTATGCATCTCCAGCGTTCCATCCTCAGCTGACAGGTCGGAAGAATCCGAATCTATAGTGTTGTTTAGATAAAGTCGATCGTCTCTTCGTGCATCGGAGCTGAGAAAAGTTTGAATCCGATCAAGGGATGCGTTTGCTGCATTCATCATGGGTATTGCGCGAATCAAGTCATTGATAGGCGCGCTAAGGAGTGATATCAGCGTCAAAACTGTATAGGCTGTCTGGGCATCAAGCACGCGATCTTTGCTTGTCAAGACGATCGTATAAAATGCAAATGTGAAAAACGGTGCCGTGGTGGCCATCAAATTAGCCAAAAAGACACGTATAGTGAGCAGCTTACGGAACAGAGCAGCCACAACGAGCTCCTCAACTCTCAGTTCCTGAACAATCTCGCTGAGCCAGTCAGTGAAGCCTAGCATTTTAACTGATTTCATTGACCCTAGCATTCTGGCGGTCACGTCAACGCGAGTCTGTATGCTTTTCATCCAGTTCTTTTGCGCCTGGCCTATGATGTTGGCGATGGAAAAAATGCCGACAGCAGAAATGAAAGCAATAACCGCAGGAACCAGACATGCGATGCCAAGCTGACGAAAGAGTAAGTAAAGTGTGATGCCCAATTGGAGCGGTACTGCCCAGAAGTCGTGAATCATCTGAAAACCGTTGCAGATCGTCTGGGTATCGTTGGACATGAGGGTGACGGCAACGGACTCATCAAGTGCCGTGATGCTTAAATCAACTGTTTTGGAGTAGATGATGCTGACCAAACTACCGCGGACGCTCGTCACAAAACGGTATGTCATATGGTAGTACCATCCATTCGACAAAGCCACACCAAGAAGCACAAAGAAGAAGGCCCCCGTAAGGCCCCAGCCAATATTCTCGGATTGTGAAAGATCGCTGGCAAACGAGACGGTGCGTGTCAAGAGAAATGGTTGCGCATAACTAACAGCAATCAATGCTAGTCGCGGGACAACGCAGAGAAGCATTGGTTTACGGTTCGCCTTCAAAACGGCCCAGAGAAGCGCCCTCGAAGATTCCTTGGACGATTCAGCCCAAAATTTCTGCATCTTTGCTCTCAAAACTGCGGAAGACATCTCGCGATCGACCGGATACAGGTCATCGTTATGCAGCAGCCGGCGGAAGCCGGTTGTCATGAGCTGGTTCAGCCAAAAGAAAAACGACCTGCTGTAGATTCCGCTTGTCTCCTCGGGGGACAAGTTGCGATACGGCTCGAGCAATATGCCACGCTTTTCGACCGCTTCTGCAAACAATACCATGGCCTTGACAGCGAACATGCTTGCAAAGCAGCCGGCTATGGCATGGCTGGCGTTGGAAATGAAGAGGGTGCGCAAGCGTGCTATGTCAAACAAAAGCGTCAACAACAAATACCCATTCATGATTGTTGATGGGCGAACAGATCGAGTATGCTCTAGATCCGAAAGCACCAACAGGCCTAAGGTACAGACAAATGTCAACGCTGCAGCAGCCACAGTGACTTTTGTGCGTTCCGACGGGTTTAAAGCGTGCAACACCAGCAAGGCCAAGTTCATGGCCGCAAACACAGCCATGAATAATAGCTTGCTGTCATGTAAAAAGCCCCCGCGGGCAACCTTCGGCCGCTGGCCTTTCAAAGAGAATAAACGGTATGGCAAGACAAGCAGCAACAGTGCCGATGGCACCAGGCTGAATATGGTGTCTTCGAAGAGCGGCGTAAAATCGAAAGTGCCGGCCGCAGCTGGGCCGAAAGAGTTGATGTTGCCATACTCATAGTCGGCAGTGCTATTCTGCTGGGCTACTTCGCGAAATAGTATGGCTGCCATGGACGAAGTGGCTTGGTGTGCTCAGTCGTGATTGATGGTGAATGACCTGAAGGGGGAAAAGAAGAGAAGCTTCTCCAACTTATACCTCTGACGATGGCTGATATAGACCTTTCATCAATTAGTCGATTCTGTGCCAACGAAGCAAAACCCGGTGGAGAAATCGATACCACACTGATCGAGGCTTATGTAGGCAGAAATATAATCAATAATTCCCTCCTTCGAGAACTGCATGCAAAGGAGCCTGTTTTTGCGCGAGGACACAGGCAGCAGAATAACATCCCAGAAAACCCTCGAAACTCATGGTCCTTTCTAATCTATATATGTGATAGCGCCCATTGTTAGTGTATTTGAATGACTTTCGGCAGCAGCCAATGGAACGCCTCGCGCTGGTAGTCGGTCTCCAACTCTGCAAAGATAAGCTGGCTGGATAGTAAGAAGTCCGAATTCCGACAGTTTTGTTTGGTTGGAGCCGGAGTAGGCTGCTGCGTTTTGGAGCCCCAGGCAGCCATCCACCCCACCACAATCAATCTTATCGATTAACTAGTTTAACTCCCATCCACACAGCAGTGGACGTCGCCGACATGGCTGAACCAGCGGTAATTCAACTCTAAATCAATCGAAGGTGCATCAATGGCGCTGATTCCGTGTAGACATCCATCTGGCACTTGGCAGACCAATGGCTGGCCTGGGACAAGGTAGGATACGTTCTTTTTCCCCGTTCGTCTATTTCCTGCAGCACCTCGCTGACTTGTATCCAAGGCCCCAGAGACATTGGCAGAGATCAATAAGTTGAAGGAAACCAAAAATGAGGCCGAGCTTGAGAAACGCCTTCGGAACCGTCTGTGTTTTTCATTTTGCCCGGTGAAATCTGCATGATAAGTTAACAATATGTAGGGATTCAATTCGGTACCGCCGGTTTGCGAGGCAAAATGCAGGCGGGATTTGCATTTATGAATTGTCTTACTGTCATTCAGGCCTCACAGGGATTGGCGAAATTCGTCCAATCGCGCGATGCACAGCGGGCTATTGAACATGGAGTTGTGATAGGCGCCGATGCACGACACAACTCCCACAGTTTTGCCGTTCTCGTTGCCAATGCAATGCGTGCCCTAGGATTTAAGGTGCACTGGCTTGGGTCTGTGGTGCAGACACCGTTGGTTGCGTGGGCGACGGGGTTTACAGGAGCAGCAGCTGGTGTCATGATTACTGCTAGCCATGTAAGAAACACATCTCCGCAATGACCTGCCTTTATCTTCGATTTCAACTGTTGTATGGTCTTATTGGCATCTCCAACTAACTTCCATCTTAGAATCCGGCTCTGGATAATGGCTACAAAGTGTTGGCGTCCCAAAAGCTGAAAATATAGCTTGCATCTATGCTAACTTGGAGCGTAGATATCTCCGCCAAGGAGTTCAGGTCAACACACCCTGGGATGCAGAAATCTCTCGACATATCAACGAGAATCTGGTACCGTGGGATGGCGCATGGGAAGGTGAGACGGGATTGGAAACATCGACATATACCAGTCGGAATAATGACTGGATTTCTGTCATCGTGAACTACGCCGTAAATTCACCCCTTTCTACTCTCCTGAATGAAAGTTTTTCTGACTCCGTGCAGAAATCGACTGTACCGAACATACTACCGCCTACACCATTCATGTACACACCTCTTCACGGTACTGGTGGTCGATGCCTGCCACGTATATTGCATGAAATTGGTATCGGCCATCAAATGCTCAACGTCGACAGTCAATTCAAAGAAGACCCAAACTTTCCAACCGTTCCGTTCCCCAACCCCGAGGAAGACGGTGCTCTAGATCTTGCTATGGCGGCAGCTGAAGCAAGTGGGCGCACTTTTCTGATTGCGAATGATCCCGATGCTGATCGGTTTGCCGCAGCACAGATTATTCCTGGGTGCATATTTCTAATCCACTACCCTCCACATTCTTCTTTAATACTAATAATCTGATGAATGTGAGCAGACAAAACACCTGGTACAGATTCACTGGCAATCAGATCGGAGTTCTTCTGGCATCTCATATCCTCGAGAATCTCACTTTCCCTTGCCAGCAAAAGGGCTACTACATGCTCAACACCACCGTCTCAACGACAATGCTGTCCAAAATGTGTGCAGCACACGGTGTACATTATCGTGAGACCCTAACTGGATTCAAATGGATGGGTAGTATTGCTAGGGACCTTGAAGAATACGAAGGATATACAGTCCCCTTCGCCTTCGAAGAAGCACTAGGATACATGTTCCCCGGGACAAGATGCTACGACAAAGACGGCTTGACAGCAGCAGCCATCTTCCTGCTCGCTGAAGCCCAATGGCGGACGCAAGGCATGACGCCATATGACAAGTTGCGTGAACTATTCAAAAAATACGGCCATCACGAAACATTCAACAACTATTTCCGCTCCCCGGACCCTCAGACGACTGCCGCGCTCTTTCAGAAGATTCGTACCGCGCGCCGTTGGCAGAAAGGCGAGAAATTCGGCACCAAGTTCACGGTTACGCGCTGGCGTGATATGACTCTGGGTTATGACTCGGATACAGCAGAAAACAAGCCCGAACTACCGGTTGATCAAGGAAGTCACATGTTAACTCTTTGGCTCAATGAGAATATCAAATTTACCTTGAGAGGTTCGGGAACAGAACCCAAAGTTAAATGTAAGACCCATCTATCTCTTTCTCTCTGTTGCATTTCTCTTCACTAACATATGACTCCCCCAAATTAACCAGTCTACATCGAATCTTGGGAAGACAACCAAGAACAAGCCATCAACGCAGTATGCGATGTTTTCCATACCATTCTTTCAGAATGGGTCAAGCCCTTAGCGCCAACAATGACATGCGCAAGCCAGCTTTTTACGTCTTCTTCGCACATGGTCACGCTCTGAAAACCCAAAGCCAAGTCACAAAAAAAAAGGAAGAAAAGGAAAGTTAAATACAGCGTGGATAATGTAGTATAACCGTCACTATAAAGGACAAACTTCTTTCTAACCTTTCTAAATCTCATCTAAATTGTACGAGCTAAAGTAAATATCCTACTACAACTATGTAACCCACCAGTGGCGTGGCCTTTTATGCCTTCTTTCTCTATTCCTACTCTAGCCAATCATATATAAATATCAAGGTCTAAGCGCACCAATCTAATTCACGAACAAAACAAGAAATAACGGAACAGACAAAAGAGATTAGAATTCTACACTGAAAAAGAGAAAATAAAACAAAGGGGGCAAACAGAAGCAAGTCTTCTGTCCCCCTTTGCTAGTAAGTGGCTAGCACAAGTAATACATAGTATAGTATGACAAAGGTTTTTTTTTGTCAAGATATTTCAGGGTCCTTTTTGACTTGTAGGTAATCAATGATGTGGCCTGTTCACATGGCAAGAAGAAGGATTTCTTTTAGGAAAAATATTTGGGTGGTATTGGTTAGTTAGTTTGCATAGAGAAATTTTCTCCCCCAGCCAAGTGGTCTTTGTTTATTGTTCCAAGTCTAGGTTTAGAAGTGGATGGCCTTGGAGTAGGTGGCCATGGCAGCCTCCTTGAAGGCTTCGGCGAGAGTTGGGTGGGCGTGACATGTGCGAGCAACGTCCTCGCTTGAGGCGCCGTATCTGTGGAAGGAGTAGTTTAGTATTGGGATGTTATAAGCAATTCGGTTTGATATAAGGTGCGACTTACTCAATAGCCAGGGTGGCCTCGGCAATCATTTCTCCGGCGTTGGGTCCCAAGATGTGAACACCAAGGATGCGGTCGGTCTCGGCATCGGAAAGGAATTTAACCTAGAGTACTGATGTTAGTTTTTATTCATGGAATTTCTGTGTGTGTGTGTGTGTGTAACAATACTGCTGATTTTGGGTATATGATAAACTTACGATTCCGTCTGTTTCCAAGTTGGTCTTCGCACGGCTGTTGGCGGAGAAGGGGAAGCTTCCTGTGTACAGTTAAAACAAAGATCTGGACGTAAATTCGAAAACCATGTGAATAACTTACCCTTGTTGTACTTGATACCAGCCTTTTTCAGGTCCTCCTCGGTCTGGCCGACCCAAGAGACTTCGGGGTGGGTGTACATAACGCTGGGAATAGCAGCGTAGTTGACATGGCCGTGACCCTTTGTAATGTATTCGATAGCAGCAACGGCCTCCTCTTCGGCCTTGTGGGCAAGCATAGGGCCGAAAGTGACGTCTAACCAGAGTCCCAAATCAGCCACCGTTCAGAAATGACAAATCTCATTGCTACTCACCACCAATGACACGAATGTGAGGAAGCTTGGTGCGGTACTCCTGGTCAATGACCAATCGTCCCTTATCGTCGGCCTCAATACCAATGTTCTCCAATCCTAGTCCGGAGGTGTATGGTCGTCGGCCAATGGCAACGAGAACAACATCCGCATCCAATTTCTGTTCCTTACCACCCTTGGCAGCCTCAACATTGAGAGCAATGGTCGAAGCACTGGTATCGCCGCTGGTGACCTTGGTGTTGGTCAAGAACTTGATGCCCTAATCACGTGATACTCGCGTTAGAATCTTGCGACAAGGCATTCAAAAGGGAATAATAAAACATACCTGCTTAGCGAGAATCTTCTGGGTAGCCTTGGAAATTTCAGCGTCCATTCCGGGGCCACCGATTTGGCCCAAGAACTCAACGACGGTGACTTCAGCACCCAACCTGCTCCAGACCGAAGCCTATCATCGTCAGTATAGATTGACGGCAAGGGAGAATGAGGATATTCACCATTTCCAGACCAATAATACCTCCACCAATAACAACCATCTTCTTGGGAACTTGCTTGAGAGACCTTTGCAGAGAAAGCGTGTTAGCCAAACCATGACCAAACGACTCAGAACACGCAACCAAAGAGAAAAAGAAGCTAATAGGGTAAATCTCGACTTGAAATAATTGGAAAGACTCACAAAGCGCCAGTGCTGGTGATTATTCTCTCCTCGTCGATCGTCAGACCGGGGAATGGTGTTGACTCGCTACCGGTAGCGATGATGATGTTCTTACCGCGCAGAGTGCGCTCGCCGCCGTCGATCAGGTTGACCTTGACTTCATTTTCGTTGACGAAGCTACCAGTACCCTTAACGTAGTCCACACCGTTCTTCCTATTTATAATCGGTCAGGTCTGTTCCGAAGACTAGTATAATCGTGAAAAGAAGACACACTTGAGCAAGTACTCAACACCCTTTGTAAGACCCTCAACCGAAGTATCCTTGGCTTTCAACATTTGGTCAAGGTTCAATTTCACTTCTCCGACCTCGATACCGCGCTTTTTTGTGTCGTGGAGGATCTGGTGATATAGGTGGGAGTTGTTGAGAAGGGATTTTGAAGGAATGCAGCCGACGTTCAAGCAGGTACCACCGAGAGTTCCACGCTTTTCAATGCAAGCAGTCTGAATTGATTCCATCACAAGGTTAGCGTTTTCCATCAAGTACACTGATATATAAAAAAAAAAGAAAAATAAAAAGACTTCCGCGTGCTCCCAGAATATCGCTCAAGAATCTCACCTTCAGACCCTCTTGTCCAGCCTTGATAGCGGCAACATATCCAGCAACACCACCTCCAATAATGACAAGGTCATGATCATCCGACTGAGAGGCGTATCCTCGTCGACCGAAAAGACTCAGCGAAGGGGCAGGGACGATGGGCGAAGGAACGACGACCTGAGGTCTCGCAGTACGGAGAGCGCTCCGCGCAGGAAGCATTGAGCGGAACATGGCGCGAATGTGAAGAGAAAAACCAATCAAACGAATCAAGCAGGAAGATATGACCCAAGCTCAAGATTGGGCGGGAGAAGAGGGGGGGGGGAGAGATAATGAAGCGTAGGATATGAAGTCGTTGTGTTTTGCGGTTGAATGTGCAACGTCAATTATCAACGATGTCGATGCAAAGCTATGCGTTTTGTCAGGTACTGTAAAATGCGTATTTTAAGTGCCACAGAGCCAATCATAGGGCGTCTCTTGCCTGTTACGGATTACCACTTGGAACACCGCATCTAATCGGGCCGATGCTACGGAATCCACCGGGAGAACGGCTAACTGGACGACTTCCTTTTATCTTGAAGGACCTTTATGAATATAAATATGCCATCCCCTTGTTTATGAGTCACCGATCAGTAACCACAAGGGCATTTTTGATTACTCATAACATCTTCTGAAATCTAACCAGCGCCCAGTCATTCAACTCGGACATCCTTAGTCATACATCAAAGTCATGAGGCTTTCTGCAGTCCTACATCTCATTGGACATTTATGAATCCGAAGAGTTCTCTTCGTGCAAAGCCTTGACCGCCTCTGGGTCAGTCAGGCTCTGCTTGCGGCTGGAACTTGGAATAAAGTCTGGGTTTTCTTCCTTGAGACGAGCAAACGTGCGTTCAGCATCCCAATTCCAAGGCGTGTCCGCCGCGAAAAGTAGGTCCATATCTTCCAGCGTGCGTTGATTACTCTCGGGATACAGGGCCCAAACCATGGGGATGGTTATGATGTTGCAAACTGCAAAGATGTAGAAAGTTTTTTCCCCAATGGAGTTGAACATGATAGGACAAACAAGCATCTGATGAGTTGTCAGTCGTCGTCTAACTATATCATTTAACGAAGAATAGAGGAGCTTATCGTACCAGCCAGCCATTGCCAATACTCCATCCCACAACGCCCCAGGCATTCCCACGAGCTCGCACTGCCAGTGGGAAGATCTCGGCCGGATAGAGCCAAGGCACTGTCAGCCAGGTCGCACCAAATGCCGCGGTAAATACAAATATCATGGAGGCTGCAGCTGCTCCATATTGCGATGCTTTGGCTGCGTCTGCTGCCGCCGATGCGTTAATGGCAAGTCGAGAAAACCCGCCTGCTAGGAACATGGTAATGGCTTGCACGATAGAACCCCAATAAAGCGTCCATCTCCGGCCGATACGATCCAATGTGAACACGCAGACTAGAGTGCTGAGCTGTCAAAGTGTGAGAATGTTAAGCCATAATACCAGGAATGGCTTGACCTTACCGTATATAAGGTGTCGTTCAAACCACTTATCCATCCACTCTTTTCCGAATTATAGCCAGCAATCGAAAAAATAGTCGGCGCATCTGTTGCATCAATTAACATTAAACACTCTTAAGAGGGCCTCGGTAGGGTAAGGAGGCACAACATACAAACCGTGACTCCAGCAATACCAGTCCATTCTTGCATAATCTGCAGCCAAACAACTAGTTGCACTCGGCGCCCAAGATGCAATTTTCCGGACTTGTAGCCAAACAGCATTGCTAGATATGAATGGTCATGTGTGATTGATTTCTCCAATTCGGCAATATTCAAGATATCGCGGAATTCCGAATCTGCTCTGGCGCGATCTTCGGGTGAATCATTGCCACGCAAACGACTGAGGATGTAGCGCGCTTCATCTTCCCTTCCAACTTTGACGAGCCAGCGAGGTGATTCTGGGAAGAACCATATTATAGCAAGCAAGATTATGAGGAATATAATTTGAATGGCTACAGGGAGGCGCCATCTAATGGCAGACTTTCCTCCGTCAATGAATGATAAACCACTGCCAGGACATTGTTGCTTAGAAATGAAGTCCTTTTCCTCGGCAGACCATGGAGACTTACAATTCAATCCAGTATGCAAGTGCCACACCAAAAATATTCAAGGTGAACTCAATAGCAATAAACTGTCCGCGAGATGTGTGTTCCTATATTCTACGTCAGATATTGGTTCAGGACAGATAGGAGAGGAATGGACGATCACATACACTTGTCTCTGTTGCCCACACCGGGATAATTGCATTGAGAATACCAGTTCCAAATCCATTAATTGTTCGAGCTGGCGATGCATATGTTTTCTTCAGTGGATGTCGTTACATGAAAAAATACACCAGAATGCCCCATACTAACCGCATATCATCCAATCATGATTCTGAGCAGATGTTTGCAAACACGCCCCAATAATCCCCCATATAGTCCCTAGAGCAATAGTCCTGATACGGCCGATTCGGTCCCCTACCCACCCTCCAAAGAATGCACCGAAAAGCGTGCCTAGGTAGTAAACCGCTACAATACCACCTTGCAAAAGACTGTTGGTGACAACTGGCGTCAGAGTCCCGTCGACGTACTCCGTGTAGCCAAAGCCCATAAGATCGATGTAGTCCTTGGAGGTGTTGACACCGCCCATAAGGCCCTGGTCATAGCCGAACATGAGAATTGAGAGCGCTGCCGCACAATTGATAGCAATGAGAAGCTGGCGCTTCTCGAGCGTGTGGACAACGTTCCAAGAACTGATCTTGTCGCTCATGTTGCCGAAGTCGCGACAATGGGTTTTGGTGATGCGGTTTGAAGGGTTGCATGCATGAAAATTTTGTATGATACAAGAAAGACGACTTTTCTGCACGTAGATAGGTAGAAGCCTACATACTATATAAGCGTATTACTCAGGCCCAGGTATGCAGTCACCCTAGCTGCTTTAGAATACAAGATATGTGAGCGATTCTGCACGGGCGATTCGCCGTGAGACCTTTCCGGTTTACAACAGGAAAGGCCAAGCACTAATAGCATTGGGTAGCCTTGCGATCTGCCTGGGTGCCGCCACTTGTATCGAGGATTGCCTCCTCGTTGCCTAGGCGTTATTGGTCTGCCTTTTCTTTGCCTATAACAATCCCCACCAGATGGTAGCACCGAGCAATGTATGTCCTAGGGTGATCAAAAAGCAGCAACCAATCGTAGGAGTGATATGCAACCGGCCGACGACTATTTCCGGATGTGGTATTGAAGTAGTATTTGCTAAAAATGCAACACGAGTCTACCTGAGCATGGTCCGGACATATCCCCGACTTGAAAAGTTGACGTTGACTCTCTGGGGTTTCTCCACGGGGTATAAGCATGGGGTAAACGGTTAAATAAGAACCACTAACCTCGAATAGAAATTTTAACCACTTTTCTCTACACGACAAGAAAGATGCAAAGGTGAGGAGAGTCGCTAAAACATGGCTAAGTGGGGGAATGCAAAAGACTTGATAGTCTCAATTCGGCAATTCTAACCCCGTGGCTCGACTTTCTTTGTTATCTTTCCAAGTGCACGATGCCAGCGTCATTAGGCGTTGTCTGCCAAGGGCAGAAATATACAAAAATCTCGGAGTTGCGCCGAAAGCGTCAGCCACTGCCGGAAGAGGGAAGCACAGGATACTATATTTACCATAACCTATACGCATTGCTCCCAGGACGTAAAAAGGAACGTTGTTGGGTCGATCAGGTGTAACACGGAGTGGCATTAAGGTAAATAACGAGAAGTAATTGGCATGCCAATTACGGTGGTTGCACGATATATAAGCTTGCGCATGTGTGCCTGAGGCCTTCAACTCTCACTAAGGCGTCAACAATCTCTGTGGCTGCCTTATCATAAAAGTTACAAACACTCAAGGAACCCAAATACAGAAAGATCTCTATTTGTTTAAAAGCAGCTAGAAAGCCTCTGACATATTTTAAGTATCCATCTCACTGAAAGGATCAGATACTCAATCCTTGCTTCCGTATGTCCTCAAGCACCAACCTCACCCCCGTCCGAAACTCGATCGCGAGATGCTCAGCATGCTCGTCAAAGAAGACCTGCGGCGCCTTCGCAGGGAATATAAGACGCAGCCTCAAATCGCATCCATCGTCGTTATTTCTAAACTCGTGCAATATGTAAAACGCGGGTGTCCCATCCATCAATTTGCAGATAGTCGGCTTTTTGAAAGAGTATGACGGGTCACCATAAGCCATCACAAACTCCGGGACATCATTGGGGGTTGTCGCGACTATACGAAGACGCGCCATGTGTTCCCCAATCACTTCCACGATCCCTTCCTCGCCGTTCATGTGTGGAGGAACAGTGTAATGCTCCGGGTGCATTGGCAAGAGCTTCGAGCGGTGCATTTCATCATGTTTCATTTCGAGCCAGCGCTGACGCGTGGACGTGATATCTCCGACTTTTAGTCCTGGGACATGCATGTCGGTGCGACATTCACGCCATTGGCCATCGGACGCATCGAGTAACGATCGATAGTAGGCATCGCCTTGTTCGCACTGAGCTTGCACGAGATCCAGCATGGGCTGCCCAAAGAGTAGATTCTTGATGTTGGCTAGAGCACGGCGAGATGCCCGCAACTCCCAGAGATTTACATCCGTATCGTTGTACAGCTTGTCATTGATGCGGTACTGGATTTCAGGTTGTAGGCTGGGATCGTCATTGACGTTGCGAAAGCGAATAGCTGTCGGAGGCGCAATATTTGAGTTTCCGCACATTTTGCCTTTCAAGATTTGTCTGTGAGGTATTTCCTTGCCTCTGGTCAGGTCATTCCAAAGCAGAACCTGGCAACTTATAGCCTTTATCAGTGAACCCGTGTAGAATCCGTTCAAAATCCGCCGGTCATTGAGACCAACCTACATATATCCCCTGTGGGTCTTTGCTATGTCCTGCTTCCATAAAAGAGTTCATTGGATATATATCCAATTGGTTCGTTCTAGTGGGACCCAAGAGAGTTGAATGTTGACTCCGCCATGGCTGCGAACATGGCGGATTTTGACTCAAACGCCGCAAAATCCGCATATCGTCCTTCCATGGGCTTTCCCCCTTACATGTTTGTATTTCTCTAGGTACTAAACCCATATCATTATCATATCCTCACGAACCCAACGTTATTTCGGGGCCTTTGTACGAAGAATTGCCAAACAGCTATGCCCCTCTTCGCAATTAAAAATACATATCTTTGCCAATTCGGCTGAAAACGAACAGCCAGCTTAGGTCCTAGCAAGCCTCCTCTAACCAGTGCTTCAGAGGCCTTTTTCTTCTTTGTGCTGTCAATGAAGGTATATTCTGTATTCAAAACAATGTCTTTTGTCTTGCGCTTGAAATCGTAGGCCAGCAGGGCGATTGTAGGATAAACATTATACCAACAAGCAGAAATAAGACCATCACAAACGTCATGACGATTAAGTTCTGGATAATCATTCAAATAGTGCGGTACGTTAACTTAGTTGATTGGTTAAATAAAAAAAAATAAACTAAGTAAGTCGGATTGGTTTGACTTTGCATGAGTTGAGTCTATTAATAGCATTGAGAGTGCGCTTTTTGATGTTGAAGCGACTGTCAGCACTTTGGAAAGCAATGAAATGCAGAATTTGGCGGCCATTACCGATGAAGGTGACGCTGGTATGATTGGAACTAATTGTGACCTTGCATTACGTCTATCATTTATCTGACAACAAGTCAAACTTAAACAAGCATCCTCAGCAGAGTATCCATTGCCACAACTCGCCGGAGAAGTACTTACTCTGCCCAATACACTTACGTCTCCCATGGTCGCTTGACAAACGCCCGTATGGTGGTCATTAGCTACGAGATTTGCTTCGAGGGGGTTTATTGGAGCCAATATAATAATCGCATCTAGAGCAATTGATGAGTCCACTGCTTGGGCATGGCTAGTCTCCGTCTTTGCCGTCAGGGACTATTTTTTTTTGATATGAACAATTCTAGAGACATTTTGATGTAATGAGGTGGATATCTAATTTATTTTCTTTTGGTTGGTTGGGAACAGCTTGTGCTTGGTTTTTGCTACGTCGCTACGTCGCCCTCAGAATGTTAAAGTTACGTTTTCTCGTGAAGCTCCTTTGAAAATTTGAAATTACCCTCACTCCAGTATATCTCGTAACTCCTTTTCTTTCTCAGTTCTACACTGAAAAAAAAAAAGACTTTCATCTAGCCTTTCACGCTTCCCTATCATCTTCAGCAGCAGCAACCCTTCTATCATTTCTCCAGACAAGCACCCACGAGGCCAATATTGCCAGAATAGCAACAATCAAAAACACCAAACAAATCACATACGACACGCGGTACGTCGGTCCAAATACGGTACTGTATACGTGTGGCCCTACAATACCACTAAACTGCGCCATCGCATTGGTGAATCCGATTCCGATACCTGCGGCAATCGTGCCCTCGAGAGCTCGGATTCGTTCTGGCCAGATGACTGGGTAGGCGGAGCCAGCACAGGCGGTGGCGACTATTAGGGCAAGATATTTGACGACGGAGTTGGGGACGGTGATGAGGATAATGTAGCAGATTATGGTTGTGCCCTCGACTGAGAGACGGACTGTTAGATAGAGATATTGTGTATGTTATCGGAAGAGTATATACGTACTAGCGACTGCCGTGGTCCATGGCCTGATCCATTTCCGGTGGATCATGTATCCGACGGTGTTAAGAAAGATGAAGCATGCTACATATGGCGGCTGTCAAGGTTAGTTATCACGGTGCCGACATAAAACAGCGGGTTTTTGTCTTACTATGTTCATCAGCTGAGAATTCGCCGTGCTCGTGAAGCCCAGCTCATACACCACCGTTGGTAACGCATACTGTATACCAAATCCTCCAATTCCATGCGCAATCCAGTAGATGGCAAAGGTATACACTGTGGGGGTGTTAATCATACTCTTCAAGGCATCCATATCCCAATGTTTGTTGTCCTTTCCCGATGGTGCAGCGATGCCAGACAAACGATCCGTGGCGAAAGCGCGCTCCTCCTTGGTCAACATCTTGGCCGACTCCGGATAGTCAGGTAGCCAAAACAAAGCAACAAAGGCGAGAACCAACGCAGGAAGGCCTTCGAGAATGAAAAGCCACCGCCAGCCTGCAAGATGGCCGATTCCGTCCATGAAACTAATCGCATATGCCAACAGTCCGCTCAGGGCGCTCGACACCTGGCCAAGGGAGTAGAACAGAGCAATGCGCCACGGCATCTCGGCCGGCTTGTACCAAAATGCCATGTGGTACAAGACTGAAGGGTAGAAGCCGGCTTCAGCCATCCCGATGGCAAACCGGACGCACATGAGACCCTTGAAATCCTGGGCAGCGCCGACGCAACAGGCACATACGCCCCATGAGAAAATCAAGACGAACATCCATATCGACGGACGGAATTTTTTGAGGAGTATTGTGTTTGTCGGCTCAAATATCATGTAGCTATACGAGAAGATAGACAGACTCCATGCCCATTGTGACGGGCTCAGGTTGAGCTCCTTTTTGATTCCGGTGCCGTGTTCGAGATTGATAATGGCCGCGTTGGAGTAGTTTCCAGAATCAATAACGCGGAAGATATATACTAGGGAGTAGAAACCGACAAGCCAGAAATCAGCTTTTCCCAGAATTCTCTTCTCTAGCTCGGCATTGAAATGGGCCGCTGTTTCGACCCGAGACTCGTCGCTGGAGGGTGACGGGGATATCGGCGAGGCTGTTGTCTTGCTTGCATCTTTGGATGCCATTTTTCTTTATCTTTATCTGCTATCTGAAAATTGGCGCTAATTGATGGATAACGGAAGAAACACGCTTGTTCATATACTGTTTGTGAATCTCAGCACGATTACGTTCAGCTACTTCATTACAGCCCGCCATGGTCAAGAAAAACCAGACACTTACGTGGTCGCCCTGGTTGATGCCATGATAAGTTGAATCACGACATTGAGCGATATTTGTATAATAAAGGCAAGCCACCGGAGGGATTCGTACTCTTTGCGAGATATCAGGATAGGAGTTGGTACGGGCATGAATAATGGCAGCGGACAATTTTGCACAAGGTATTCAGCTTTAAATCATCCGCAAAATATCCGCATCGGACGTTTTTCGTGGACTAATAAGAATGATCAGACCTGCGATGCTCCAAGACAGGAAATGTTGAAGCTGTCTCAAGCAATATGATACGCGCTGCATCACGCAATCGCCAGCACGCATGATCATTCCGCGGTTTTAGGGCCCAGCACGACAGCGTTCTGTATTTTATTCGCGTTTATCAATGCTTAGGAAACAGTGCGGGGTTCCTCGTGCAGATTAGGGTTGCTTTTTTGGTCCGGGCTAGGGGCTGCATATAAAGTGCCATGCTCTTGTGCCCATCGATTGCTCCACTACGTATCTAGCAGAGAAAGAAGCTTTGCATACATCTGAAAATAATACTGAATTAAACCATAATGGCTCCATCAGCAATTGAGCCTATTGCCCCGGAGACTGCTAAAGTCCCTATCAAGCCTTGGACTCGCCCAGCCCCGACAACAGCTGAACTCGACTGGGCGCCTCTCGTCGAGATCGATCTGTCGCGGTTTGACGAGCCAGGTGGTAAAGAGGAGCTAGCTCGGCAGCTCTATGACGCCGTCACACGCGTTGGTTTCTGGGTTGTTGTTGGCCATGGAATTGACGATGACCGTGTGCTGCGTCAGTTCAGTTTCGGAAACTCTTTCTTCAAGGAGCCAGTGGAAGAGAAACGGCGTTTTCCATGCAACTTTGCCGATGGCGAATATTTTGGATATCGTGAGAACTCGAGATGGATTGGTGACACAGGCGTGAAGGAGAATATCGAGATGGTTTGTCGATAACAACAGCTTTGAGCAATAGCAATAGTTTGCTAATAATCGAGCAGCTGAATATTCCCAAAGCAATCCCGGCCTGGGACAATGTTCCCCGCCACAGCATCGTGCAACAGAACTACGCCGAGATTGCCAGTTTCCACCGTGACCTGTTTGATAAAGTGGCTCGCAAGCTCTTTGTCCTCATGTCAATCATCCTCGAATTGCCAGAGGACTTCCTCGCCAAGGCTCATGACTATGAAGAGACATCCGATGATCACCTGCGGTATATGATCTACAACCGACGAACCCAGGAGGAATGGGACCGCGCACAGGCATATTCTAAAGGCGGCCACACGGACTTTGGAAGTCTCACATTGCTCTTCTCACAGAATGTGGCCGGCCTACAGATCCGCACACCTGAGGGCCAGTGGAAATGGGTGAAGCCTGTCGAGGGAGGAATTACGTGCAATATCGCCGATACCTTGACCTTCCTCACCAACGGTATATCGTCCCAATATTTACTAGCGGAGAGATAAGAAGCTGACCAGTATTGTAGGGTTTTTGAAGTCCACAATCCACCGCGTTGTCACACCGCCACCTGACCAGCTTGACATTTCCCGTTTGGGACTTCTCTATTTCGTTCGACCAGGAGATAACACTGCTATGAAGACTGTTCCTTCGCCCTTGCTTGATAGATTGGGTCTCTTGAGCGACGAGGATAAGAACTCTGATAAGCCGGTCCCTTCTGGCACCGAGTATGTCCGCGCACGTGTTAGGGATGTGCACTACAAGACCGTGTTGGATAAGCGCGAGGGCACGTCCTTTGAGTTTAAGGGTCTCAAAGTGCAGAATTATTTTGACTAAGCAATGTACGTCAGCGTTTCACGTAGACGTCTTGTCAGGATTTCCCTTTGGTCAGGGACATTGTAAGGAAGTAGAGCCACAGTAAATGAGGCGCAGTCTATAGGAATACCTGTCTCTATGTCTTAGAGAGAAGCAGACATCGGATAGGGCTAGGGTTAGGGCTGGAGTATCATCTATGACGTTGACCGACACGCCTTCCTATTACGGAAACAGAACACATTCCTATTAAGGTAATATTACAGACCCGCAGTACTATTTTAAGATCAATGAAATAAAATAACTAGTAGCTATGCAGTAAACAGGTTTTATCGTATAATCCACTTCCAGCTAGCTTGATGCTCATCCTATCAAAGTGACCGCGGATTATGACCATTGTACTTCCCAATCTCCGAGAATCTAACAATAATAGGACCCAGATTTATTCTCGAAGGGGTACTCAGACTCTTAATTGTCAAAATTCACCACTACATCAAGAAAACGTCGGTTGTAGGGCAATCCCTGATTACCCTTCAATCTGACACATTACTGCTTAGAACATGTTACCCACCAGTTTCCTAATGGTAATTGGCAACGCCCATTTTCTGCTATGGAGGTAAGGCACCACGCATCTTTGACTCGAATATCTTGGGCTCTGGAAGAGTTTCATAGGCGTCAAGAGAGCGTCCATCCGAGCAAGCACTTCTGGGCTCTTCGTTTAGCTTAGAATTGCTTCTCGATAGACGCCAATTCAAAACGCCAGAGCCCGGAAACCTACCATTGCCTTTTTGGGGTTGCACCGGCAGTTCGTTTATCACGTTTAATAAGTTATCAAACTCAAGAGCCAACTCATCATTCAAGTCGGGACGCTACATCAGGCAACTGCGGAAATCTCCAAGCGTATACTGTTTATCATAATGCCTCTTGAAATGATCTGAGGCTGCCAGGATCTGGAGTGTTCTGCAATCCGCATAAAGCGCCGCAACTTGTAGAAGATTTGGACCTGTCAATCGGGGGCAGACTGAGTACTCATGCCATCGGTCGAGGAACAGACTGAGAACATTATGGCAGTTATAAGTAATGGCAGTAGTCAAAGGGGTCGATCCATCGGTTGATACGGAATTGATGTCCGCTCCGTATTCCAACAAGAGCATGGCAAAGCTGGCATTGTCTTTTCTAGCTGCGTGGGCTAGTGCTGTTCTCCCATCATTACCACTAGAGTTGACATCCGCACCAAAGTCAAGCAGACTTTTGAGAAGCAGAATATCGGTGGCGTTCCGTGCGGCAACGTTGAGTGGACTGCCCTTTCTCGCGCCACTAGAATGGCGAATATCCGTATGTGCACCAGCTTCGAGAAGTAAACGAACCGCAACAGAGTAACCCTGAGCAGCAGCGTTTGACAAAGGACCAGACAATTGGACATCGATGATATTAGGATCTGCGCCATGACTTAGAAGCGTCACAATACTTCGCGTGTCTCCTCGGGCAGCCGCCCAAGCCAGCGGAGTCCGGCCCATGTCGTCGACAGCATTGATTTCTTTCCAGTTTGGCGAATCCCTTCTTCGAGACTCATCGATGATAAGCCCAAAACAATCTTGTGCGTTTTGGTGAATCTAGCCTCATCGATGAAATCATCGAGATAGCCATCTTTGGCGACCGCGCGGAGAGCACACATAGCGGTGCTGGAAAGACCCCCTTCTAACATAAAATGGCAGGCTTTGTCCCTTGGGCTGTTGTCACTGAGCGCAATTGGTCTGTAGTCGGCGTCCGTTCCAGCGTGAATGAGGAATACGCATGTCTCGTACTGCTTTGCGTAAAGCGCCCATCGCAAGATTGAATAGCTACGGGTTGTGCTGACGTCGCGAGGGGAGGCAATGCCTTTGCTGAAAAGGTATTTCAGGCCATCGATATTTCCACTAAGAGCAAAGCCGACACACTGTGCTGTGTCTGGTATACGTCGTATTGTATCAAGCTGTAGTATTGGCCCAGTATTCGATATGTGAAGTCGAACGATTGTAGAAAAAAGGAATCTCATGGGAAACCAATATTCCAGACTAACTTGACTAGTTTTTTCTTTGAGACAAGATCCCTGATTGCACCCTTTATTGAGGAAAGGAAGCCCCGAAAAATTCACAAAGAGCTGACCAAGAACATGGTTCAATATTGAAGGAGTTGTCACCTTCCGCGACACCTGACAAGCGCAGGGGCAACCTGGCCGACACTTCCTGGAAAATGGAGTCACGCGAAATCCTATACTTTCTAATGGTCTTATGTTCGTATGTTCCTCGCTCGTTTGATGAGGCGGCAGATGTCTGTGGGCAGATGTCATATTGTATGAGGAGCTAACTTGTTCTAGCTGGCGCTCTTGAACCCGACTTGATTGATTTTGCAACATTTCCTCGACATGAGCAATGCGACGATTGACAGCAGCAAGGCCGCTCACAAATTGGTCTCTCAGATATGTTTCCTGTTGGGATGAAGCGACAGTAACGGTCGAAATGGACTCGACATCCAAATAGGGTCTTGTCATATCCCGTATTAGAGAAGCACAGCTCAAGGAATCTTGGTACGTACTAAACTGAAACACCCAGCATGATATTCAAAATTAGCTTTCAAAGCTCTAATAATCTCTTGAAGGCCTTGAAGTCTGCTTTGTTCTTTCCGCCACGCACGTACTCTAATGACTAGGATTTTTGATGGCCAACAGTGCCTTTTGTTTCGACTGGCTTCTGATCTGCCTTGTATAAATGATGCGGAACTGGTGATAACTTGCTTTCGGGAAACAGGCTCGAATTTCAACGAGAAGTGAAACCTACATGAGTAGCAAGTTTAGATCCGCGGACTTCATTGTTAAACCCTTCTCCGTGTCAAATCGCAACCAATGCAAAGAAGGCAAGCTATATGTGAAACCTGTGGCGATGGAAGTGTAGAATGCCTGCTTGTTACGGCTGTTGACGAGGTTTATCATGACCAGGAGAACCTCCTAGCGATAGATTGCCTTGGGCGCTTGTCACTCCACTACGGTGAACTATATGGCTTTGGCGAAGATTGTCAGAGGATTATCCATCATTGGGGTCGAGGACAAGCGTCACGCCTGATATTTACCTTGGATTCTCAAGGTTACACACCATTCCACTATGCAGTGGTTGAGAATCATGTATCAGTTGCGAGGGTATTCATCAATATCCTGCTGCCGGAAATTCAATCTAGGGGCAAGCCCGACAAGAATACTAGGAGCAACATGCAAAATCTGCTTAATATTGCCATCAGATACCAATTTGACGACATGGTTGAACTGCTCGGAGAATCTCAGCTCTTGTTTGGAGGGGTTTCGGCTCACGAAGAAAGCCCTCTTTACGTCGCGGCTCAGATTGGACGCGATGATTATCTCGATATTCTGCTGCGTAACGGTCAAATGGAATTGATAGATGGCTCGGAGGCACTAAATGGTTGGACTCCTTTATTCATCGCCTGCATAAATGGCCACAGAAAAGCTGCAGAGCTCCTTTTGAAAGCTGGAGCAAACCAGGAAGTGCGCGATTTTCGTGAATCGTACCCTAAAGAGCATGCAGCTCTAAGAGGTCATTTCTCCTTGGCTGAACTTTTGAAGCCATGGGATAGAACTCAGATGACTGGTGGCCCTGCCAGAATACCCTTGAGACCTAGTCGTACTGTGGGCTTCCATCTACCTGTCAATGTTGACCAGGCCATTGTCAACATTGGAACTTTGCAAAATGGAAGGCACCAGAATGGCATTGATTTGAAAATGCCTTGGTCGAAAGACAATATATTACCGCTAATGAACATGTCCGTGTCTGTGGGAGGTAGCGTCAGCCATCTGGTTCACTTACCAGTCCTAGGTGACATGAGCAATGAACCGTTGATCTTCCCAATACACGACCCAAGCCAAGTCCACCTAGTTTTCAAATTTTTCTCGGCCGATTCTTCACGCGAAGGACATGAGCGGATAGGAAGTGCTTCCATACTACTTCAGGAGGAAGTGGATTGCTTTGGACCAAACCGCGAAAGTCTTTTTAGGGCACGTACCATTCCAATTCTAGCAAAGGAGACTTCAGATCTCCTGGGCACTGTAACTTTTACCTTCCTCATCGCCAAAAAACTTATGAATTTGAGAAAACCGCCGCCTATAGAGCGCTACAACCCAGAGCAAGGAATACGGGTTGTTGGTCATAGAGGTCTCAAGACTTGGAACATGATGTCTTGGGTTATCATTGGACTAACGTGTAACAAGGTTCTGGTCAAAACACTGCAGATTGGAGTCATCTCCAACTCGGAGAAAACACAGTCCAGGTTCCTATCTAACCGGCCCCCGGAGCCTCTCTGAGACCTTCTTCTAATTTATCCCTGAACAGTCCATGATTTCTGCTCCCAGCCAAGGTGCATCATATGTCGAGGTAAGAAATTCCCATCATACAAGATGCTAATTTATCTAATGGCATATAATTTGGTAATGAAACACCGAGATGAATTAGGGTATACTGGAAATTAATAGTCCACAGATGTGCAGCGTACCCGAGACCTTGTACCGGTCGTTTTCCACGATTTTTCTTTGAGCGAGTCGGGGACTGATGTGCCTGTTCATGATCTTACATTCGACCAGGTAAGTGTCTCCCAAGTTAGCAAAGTTTCAAAGGCTCACCATCAAAGTTCATGCATGCAAGCAAGCTTCAGTGCCCTGGTTAGGGGTTTGATGATAGCAATGATAGCACAGAATACAGATCAGATAACCTTGCCAGAAGAAGACCTCGAGCACGCTCCTTAACAACGACATTTATGCAAGAAACTCACCCAATTCGTAACAGAATGAAGTATACCGTTGACTTCAAAAACAAAGGTAGCAAGCCAAACACGAGAGGATCCTTCATTCATGGCCCTTTCACCAATTTGAAGGAGCTGCTTGTTAATCTGCCCGAGTCTATTGGCTTCAATGTTGAAATAAGTGAGTTACTTTCCAATTCAGTCTTTGTGTTTCCATTCCCCTGACCCAAACTTACTTGACAAAGAATATCCGAGGCTCCACGAAGCGATTGAGGCCGGTGTTGCTCCAGTTGCCCTTGAGATCAATTTATTCGTCGATCGAATACTATATCAGATATTTAATCACACCGGCAGGCGAAAAATCATACTTTCCTCGTTTACGCCGGAAATATGCATTCTTCTGGCCACTAAGCAGCAAACATTTCCAGTCATGTTTATCACGAACGCTGGAAAGCCTCCAGCGAGTGATTTGGGGGCGAGAGCTTGCAGTGTAAAAGCTGCAGTTCGATTCTCAAAGCGGTGGAACTTAGCTGGCATTGTCTTCGCTTCTGACATGTTACTTATGTGTCCAAGTCTTGTGGGATATATCAAACAATCAGGATTTATATGTGGGTCGTATGGGTCCTTGAACAACGTTCCAGAGAATGTCAAAGTGAGTGTCGAGGACACTGCTATAGTGTTTTTTTTTTTTCTTAAATTTGATACCAAGACGAGTCGATCACTAATTAAATTCAGGTTCAACAAGCAGCAGACATCCAGATCCTAATGGCCGACAGAGTTGGCGTCGTTTCAATGGTACTCAACGAGAGCCATACTATTTAGCCTGTGGAATTATCAGCTTCTTTCAATGAATCAATAAATCAAAGAATGATATTATCTTGCCTTTAGAAATGACAGGGGTCTACGCAACTTTTAATTTATAGAATGACACATTCTTTAGTGGGAACATAGCGTAGAAGTCACCTGCATCAATAATGAGTACACAATTACAAAAATAGATACAATCTTAGGCTTGGGCTCCAATCACCAGGCACAATTCTCTACCGAATGACAGGGGACGGTTACACTTAGGTCAAACCACCGTTTCACCTCGACATGCTTCGCTTATGTACCCTACCTTCAGCAGCCATTTGCTTTTCCAGACGCCTACGATATCCTGCTTCATAAAAACAACTATATCTTGGTAGGATCGACTTCTTGAGCTATCTGGACGATCACTGTTCTAAAACTCTGTGAAGTAAATGACTGGCTAAGAGTCTGAGACATACGTAAAAGGCTAGATTGCTAGGTGATCGATGCTGCCGTATCCTGACCTGCCGCACCTTGTATTCTTAGGGTTAGGCGAAATTAAGAATCAATGCCAGATTCAACATCAATGGCATAATCCTCAATTTTGGTTTGTATCTGTATATGCATGTTTCGATAATATGGTCCACTATTTGGATCCCCCTTTTCATAGCGTTACGCAATGATTGGATTATTCGGCGAGGTATTCTTCAGGAGTATTGTTAGAACCCATATGATGAACAGTCTATGTGACTCCATCATTTGAAACAAGGTACAATATAGCACCTGAAGGAACTTTGTGCGAAACTCGTGCTGTCATTGTGCTATCTTGAGGATTGACCTAACATCCAGAGGAGATCTTTGGAGGCGATCTCCCCACCAAATGAATAATATGCACCTGCAGATGCTTTGCTATCTTCAAGTTTATTATGACCATTCAGTTCACTTCAGATAGCCCTACATAAAGCCTAAGAAGTTACAATATGGATTGCCATTGTGGTTCGGAAAAGCAATTAATCCGTTTTCGATGTATAGAAATCTCGGAATATTCCGAGATTCCGATTGACACCACCCTAAATATTGTTTGAGATAAGAAACACTTTGATCAAGTATATATTCATATATTCGGCTTCCTATTATACTGCTCGATTTTCAATCTGGATTAACCTGCAACGACGACGCTCTGAGTATCTCTGATTGGCACTGCCGGGAATACGAGATCGAAAGACATCATGCACCATCACCCATTAACACCTCTCTCAGAGGCCGAGACAAATGCCGCAAGAGATGTGATTCTCAACGCTTGTCCCAATTAAGTAATCTTCTTTCGGGAGATCTACCTTGAAGAGCCCTTGAAAAAGGATCTCATCCCTTATTTACAACTAGAACACTCAGGAAAACTCTGCCCTACTTCTCCTCGTCCCAGGAGATTGGCCAAATGCCAATATGATATTGTCGGCAGTGAACGTGTCCCGGAGTTCCACGAGGCCGTTGTGGATGTTGAAGGAAAGGTGCGAATCAGTTATACCGTTGTTGGGAAACAGCACCAAGCTTCATTAATCCTGTATGTTGGCTGCAACTTTCCTTCTTTTGCAATTCTTGCTCAAGGATTTGTTGTATTAACAGTATTTCTCCTGTGCAGCGCCGAATTTGACATCTTCGTCAAAGTCTGCGAGGAATCACAAATGTTCAAGGATGCAGTAGCAAAATTCAAGCTTCCCGAAGGCTTCGAAGTCGTTATTGAACCATGGCCATATGGTGGCCGTGATAGAGTAACTGACGATAGTCGGTACTTCCAAGGCCTGATATTTGCTCAGGACAAGCGCTCCGGAAACCCAAACTCGAATTTCTATGCCTTCCCTCTACCTATCATTCCAGTCATGGATTATCACAAGCGAGAAATAGTCCGAATTGACCGATTGGCAACAGGCGGCAAGGGCGAAGATCCCCTGACTCTCCCAGAAGCCACCAGAGAAAATCCTATCGGACATTGCACACCAGCTGAATATATCCCAGAGCTGTTGTCAAACGGCACGCGGAAGGATTTAAAACCATTAAATGTGCTCCAACCGGAAGGGCCCTCGTTCAGAGTTGCTCAAGACGAGTCATTGGTAGAATGGCAGAAATGGAGATTCCGGGTTGGTTTCAATCCACGTGAAGGTGCGACAATACATGATATTCGCTACGACGGAAGAAGTGTTCTTTATCGACTCAGTCTCAGTGAAATGGTAAGTAATTGAGGCATAGATATATGATGCTTGCTGCTACTACTATCAGGGCTAATAGACCGAACTGCCAGACTGTCCCATATGCAGACCCACGGTATCCATTCCATAGAAAACAGGCGTTTGACTTTGGAGATGGAGGTGCTGGAAATTGTGCAAACAATTTATCTCTTGGATGTGATTGCTTGGGTGTTATCAAGGTATGTGAAAACGGAAGCAAGCTACCCCTGAGTTATCAGAGAAGCTAATGGAGAAGTAATTAAAGTATTTCGATGGTGTCGTGACAGACGCCGAAGGAAATGCGACAGTTGCCCCAAATGTGATTTGTCTACACGAGCAAGATAACGGCATTGGGTGGAAGCACACCAATTGGCGTACCGGTCGAGCTGTGGTAACCAGGTCTCGTGAATTGGTGGTTCAATTCATCATTACACTAGCCAACTACGAATATATATTTGCGTATAAATTCGACCTCGCCGGCGGAATATCAGTAGAATCCCGCGCAACAGGGATAGTCAGTGTTGTAAACATTGACCCTGGCAAACAGTCCGAGTACGGAAATGTCGTCGGTAACGGAGTCCTAGCACAAAACCATCAGCACATATTTTGCATTCGGATTGACCCGGCTATTGACGGGTACAAAAACACGGTCTACATTGAGGAATCGCATGCAGTAGAAATGAACGACCAAACGAACCCAGAAGGAAATCTCTACCGGATCTGCAAAACCCCCGTGGAGCAGTCAAGTTGGTTTGATGCTGCGCCGGAGAAGAACCGGATTATCAAGATGGTGAATACAGACAAGATCAACCCGATAAGCCAAAGACCTGTGGGATACAAGTTCACGCCTATGGCTACCCAGCTGCTTCTCGCGGATAAACGCTCTATTCAGGCTAGGCGTGCCCAGTTTGCTCAACACCATGTATGGGTCACAAAGTACCGGGACGGCGAGCTCTATGCTGGTGGCAAGTATACGTTGCAGAGTCAGGAAGAAGTCGGGGGAGTCTCAGATGCCGTGAAACGAGGCGAGAATGTGGCAAATGAGGATGTTGTGGTCTGGAGTGTTTTTGGGATCACTCATAATCCTCGTGTGGAAGATTGGCCGGTTATGTGAGTTTTTTCTTTCTTTTTTTTTTCCTTTTTTCTCTCTCTCTATCCCTCGTGTTTCCAGAGTCTATCGCTGATCATATTGTTAGGCCAGTGGAATGCTACCAACTCAATATTCGACCGACCGACTTCTTCACGGATAATCCAGCCATTGACGTGCCATCGAACAGAAACATGTCTTCGCAACTGGTCAGGTCGGATGATTGTTCGAAATGTAATCTTTGAATCGGCCGAATTTATACGTATAGTGCTATTATTTGATAGATTTGTGTAGATTTGCCGAATCATATAGATCGCTATGCGATTGCTCCATTCTTGTTACTATTATTAAAGTATTCTTGTCAATTCTCAGTTTTTAGTAGCTCTAAAGGTGAGTAGAGTAGATACTAGATAGAAACAAAACAGAGAATACAAAAATAGCCCTGAGTGCCGCACTAAGCCCACAATAGCGGTAGACCAAAATGTTAATTTCACGACATCTCTTGATTTTACTGTCAAATCAAGCAATATACTCATATTTTATGTTTCTGCATCTTCTTTTGTGAATCATGTGTTCATTTCATTGCGCCGACGGTTAGTGGTTCTTTGCAAGTAGTAACGCCATAGTACGGTTGATTGAAATTGCTCGACAAACGAGAACACGGCATTCAAAATTGCTATGCATCTTCACCGATGAAGTTGAAGTTACGAAGATACGCCTTGAGGAATGCTGCTCAAAAGAGAGCATTAGGGTTGTGATTGCTTTACATGTACGTCATATCCCCACACGTCAAACATCATAAACAGAAGGTGATCTAGTGACTACAACGACAAGCATGGATAGTAGTACCGTATAAAAAAGTTCCTCAACATCAATATGGGCGACTCCAAGAGATATTTCAATAATTCAACGACAACCCTGAGAACAATTCCGAACCCACGTCAAGAGTTGATAGCATCCTTGACGAAACTAGTGCGCCACTGTCCTCCCTTGAACTACAGGGGCCGCATAGGACGTGCAAAGGGCCTATTCACCGGCCCAACATCAATAGCCTACCTATTCCTCAGATTATCCAACACACATCCGGATCTCAGAATCGAGAGACACACCCCTCGAGAGTGGTGTCTTGCTTACCTTGATTCCGATTCCAGCAATCTCCCGCATGCCCGCGGCCTCACTGGCTGGGGTATTGAGAACGAGTTTCTAGCTTACAACGCAGTAAAAGCCGCTGCTGCACAGGACTCTTCGGCTGTCAAGAAATTGCTTGATGCTATTGCCACCGAATTTCACAATTGCCCGTCCGGCGATAATGAGTTCTTTGCCGGTCGTGCAGGCACCCTGGCACTATTGCGTATTGCGCAGTGGTACACGCCCGAAGAAGCAGATGAAATGATCTCAGCGAGTATGCAGGAATTAACCAGTCACATTTTGAAGCATGCACCGTGGTCATTCCATGGCAAAACCTACATTGGCGCTGCCCACGGAGTGATTGGAATTATCACGCAGCTCGTTCTTTCCGACCACAACCTAGGCAAAAACGATCTGGTTGAAGAGCAACTCCTTGGTCTTCTAAACCTGCAAAGGCCAGATGGCCACTGGCCCACTACTGACGATTCAACTCGGGGGAAGTCCGAATTAGTTCAGTACTGTCATGGTTCGCCAGGGTTCGTAATGTCGTTAGTAAGAATTCGTCCCTTTGTTCGCCCCGAGCTGCAATCGCGCATTGAATCTGCAGTTGAACGCGGACGTCGGGAGATATGGGAAAAGGGTTTATTGCGCAAGGAGCCTAACTTATGTCATGGTATCACAGGTAACATGCTTGCACTAGAGAGTTGGGCCCAACGGGAACATTTTATGGCATATGCAACAATGGAAGGTATCGAACAGGGTATTGCGGACGGGCATTTTGTTCCTGGCGACGATGCCTGTGGTTTATTCTGGGGTGAGGCAGGTCGTAGTTGGGGATGGATGATGATTGATGCAAAACTTGACCTTGGATTTCCTGGGTATACCGACATCTGACAGGCGCCCGTAGTAAGCTTATCCTTTATGTACCTAGATAATCGCGATAATGAGCCTAGATGGAGCAATTTGAGCAGATTTTGACGCAAGCCGACCTTGTAGTGTCTCTCAATCAAGCTATTATGTAGTGAGGCTAAGTTATAGCCATATATACAAGTATAAGTTACAACGAAGAATTCTGCGAAATCGTAAAAGGATTGATGATGTCGAAAGAGGTCTCGAATCGGGCTGTTGGAAACGGCGCAAGATGTTATAGAGTGAGCGAACGATATAAAGAGACACCAGGGCGTAGCGAAATGTACGTCCGGGTCACTAGAAACCTAGCAGAAGCGCACAGAAGAGGAGTCTCGTCGAGGTTCATCAGGAAACGCTTGCAACCTTGCTGCCTTGTGCCTTGAAACTCTCTGCCTTGGGCTACAATGCAGTAAGACGATGATTACACTGATATTCTGCCTTCAAAATCGTGGCTTGGCATTTAGCTTGCAGTTCGGGAGCTTAAAAGCGGATGAATATTGGCGGTTCGCCTGGGCTATCAAACCGCCCGGAAGTTAAACTAGTTGACTGCGCTCGGAACACGACGATGCCCATGAAAAGCCTCGCCCAGTCGCGATGGGCTGTTCCCGAGCGCGAATCCGAATCCGAGTCCGCAGTCATCAGCAGCTTCACTTCAGCCTCCTCAGCAAAAGCAAGAAGCCAAGAACTCGCACGTTTCCTTAAAATCGTGTCTCGTCTAAAATGGAAACTCCCGTTTCTGTCGGAAGGCTACCGCCTGGCCACCGCAGCCGCCTCCCCCGCCGACGTCGCGCACGCTGAGATCATGTTCAAGATCGATTTCCACGAGTATTACGCTCTCCTCGAGCGTGCGATTGTCCATTTGCTGGCTGTTTTCGATATTGTCGTTCACAGCTCGCGGTACAAGGGGTCGTCTGATAACAAAGTCAATGGTGGCGGGACTGGGAATCATCGATATCACGCCAATGTCCTGGAGGCATTGGAGAAGAAATCATGTCCACTACACCCTTCCCTAGGCAGCGGAGCGGTTCGGGAGCAGCTTCGTAGAGCCAAACAGCTGCGCAATCAGTGGAAGACCGCGGACTCCTCCGATGAAGACGAACAACTAAAGATGCCACTGGAAAGCTACGACCTCGAAGGCATTCTGATGGCCATTTTTGCTGGATTGGAAGAGGCACATGCTCTGGCAGAGGAACATGTCATGAAAGCCGAGTCTGACATGGACGTAGAGACGGGCAATGGAAATATATCGCCGCCCTCGGTTGAAGCCGATTGGGACTTTATTGTCGACGCGATGGATTGGCAGGCCGTGTGAACGACATGTATATGTGGAACTTTAGCGTGTGCATCGTACCGATTGATCTTTCTAATTGATACCCAAAGTTTATCATTTCACCATCATCTATTGATTGAAATAGCCCTTGAATCGATTGCTTGAAATTGCGAGGTGTGCAATTGCATGCACCAAGAATGAATTACAGGATCTAGAGCCTATGAACATATACTTTCGTTGCATAATATCCAAGGACCGACCTGCTTGATTCACTTTATTTGTCAACAACAAAGGCAGGCTGAATCATAAAACTAGCAAAGTCCTCGGCAATCACATCAACCACTTGTTCACAGGCCTTCCGTTCCGTATATGAGCGTACAAAACGTGGTTGTGAACCCAAGCTTCAGAATATGCATGGAAGTCTATTTGATCGACACGCCAAATGAAAGCCTCCTCCTCTTTTCCCTTTATTTTCCATCGCTGGTGCACCTTCATGTCGTTATCATTATCCTCCATTTTCTTTTCAAGATTTGGTGGGGACTCGACAACCATGAATACCGATTCGAGAAGCGAAAACCACTCAAGCACCCCTCTTAGTGCGGAGGGATTGCACGTAATCACGGTATCAGGCAGCGCAAGCTGCTCGACTTCTGAGCCATTCTCGGCATGACTGAGCATATATGCTGGGGAATCATAAGGAATAGCTTCGTTGCAAAAGCTTTCTAGTCCACCATGCAGCAGGTAAAGCACGTCACGTATTGGGGCCAACGGACGCACGAAGACATGCGATTTTCTGTATTTGCAGAGTAACATCTGATAGCCCTGCTGGCTAGCCCAGGCCAGGGCAATGCTGCGGGCCTCAAAGCTCACGAAGAGCAACGGCCACGTTTGAAGTAAGCGGTAACAAAATAACTAACTATCATACCGTTTTGCAGAAGAACAACGCTGGCTGATCATTTTCAGAAATTGCTGCTCGCCATGTTAAGATACTTTCGAACGAGCAGGCCTTTTGACAGATATTTTCCACTCATAGAAGTAAGCGTTAAAGCGGCGGCTGTTCTGATGAGCGCTGTTCCCATTGGTCAAATCCGCCTTACGTAATTCAGCTTGGCACTTGCCGACTAGTTAACTGTCGAAGAACCATCTTGCCTTGCGCATCTTCCCACAGAAATGCAATGAAAAGAGCTATTAGGGACGAACTTGTGTATTATGGCGGAGAGCAGCAAAAGAAGTGCACCCAGCGCCGATACCTGTGAACCACGGAAGCGCGGAAAATACACCCAAGTTGCTTGGTATAGGCACTCCATCATTCAGCTGGCGATAAACCAGGTAGCGATACTAATGTGCTGTAGTAACGAATGCAAGCGTCGAAAGCTCAAATGCAGTGGCGGAGATGTCTGCAAGAGATGCGCATCAAACGGCATGACTTGTGTATATGCCTTGCAAAGTCTCCCGACGCAGACAAGAACTGCACGGCCACCGGCTGCAGATCAGTACGCATGTTGATAATCATTCTCTACTGTACGTGCACTCGGACTAATGTGGCGTGCAGATCTTCTTGGAGATTCAAAACGTTGGAAACCCGCATGTTGGCAATGCAGAAGCAGCTGGATCTTATGTCCGCTGAAATTGGAGTCCTACAAAAGAGGTCGTTGCAGCCGCTTTATCAACCCATCAAGACTTCATCTAGTAGCAGTAATCCTGCTGATGCTCGATGGACAAATCGGGCTCCGGTGTCTCCAAGCTATATCGGCCCTACTAGTAGCGAATTCGGTCTTAATGTCCCCGATGATGCACCGGAGTTGGATGAAACGCAAGCGTCGGACAATGTACAGATATCAGTATCAAACAGCCCAAGTGCAGTTCCTCCAGAAGAGGAACAAGGCAATATCAGCATCTCCTCAACCAATCCCCTACTGTCACTCGCCGAAACTGACGTGCTACGGCTTGTCGATATATACGAGGAAGCTGCTGGCTTGATGTATCCTGTGGTCGACCTCGAAAGCATTCGAGAATACATTGTTGACTTTTATCGTCAGCACCTGGATGGATCTGCTGACCATTTATGCGCTCCCCAAAATGGCAACGAAGCCTGGTGGTTCTCCGCGCGTGATAGCGAAGTTCTGAAAATTGTCCTCGCTCTTGCTCTAATCTCTGAGTCGAATGGCAAAAGCGAGCTAGGAAATGTTCTTGCTGCAAATGTTGAGAATAACTTTGCCTCAACGCGGACACAGGTGCCTGAGGTTGACATGAAGGAATTGATCATCCTCACATTGGTGGTGAGTTATCTCCGAACTTGCATAAGGCGCCGTCACTTATTATGAAAATAGGCTCTGTATCATTCTTTTCGAGATGATGATGTGTTGGCATGGCGAACAATTGGCTTAGCAGCTCGCGGGGCCGTACAAATGGGCTTGCACAGATACGACACATGGCTGAGAACCGGAGGGATATTTCCAGGAGATTTGGAGCGTTCTTGGGCGATCAATCTCTTTTGGTGTATCTATGTCTTTGACAAAGAATTCTCGTTTGAGACTGGCCTGCCGTTTGCCATGCGAGACTCGGAAATGGATGCAACCCTTCCCGAACCGGTATGAACCAGTCCTCTTGAATGAGATGCAATAGTGTCGAGTTAACAGCTTAAAAAAATTTAGACCCACAACCATACATATCTAAGATGTATGATTTCATACTGCCGCGTTGGAGGCAAGATTTGGGATTTGATGGTTGGCTGGGGTAGCACAGCAATAGAAGTATCCTCAATTACCGAAGCCCACCTCAATCATCAAATACATGAATGGGAGGAATCAATACCACCTGAGCTCCGTTTGAAGGTCCATTCCGAAGACTCTGTCATTTCGGCGAGAGATGCTAGGCTTGTGACACCGCAGATCCTCCTACACCTGCGAGCGAACCAGATGAGAATCCTTGTCTACAAACAAAACCTCCTCAGCACAGATGCAATTAAACGGAATTTGAAAGGAGCAGAAATTGCAGTAGCAAATGCGAAAAATACCATACAGGCGCTCGAACTCGGCGACGTCTCAAAAATATTTAGTCACCGACCGCAGCCATTCAACCGGTTTCTGTTTTCGGCCCTTGCAACTTTATTTCTCGCCATGTTTCACTTCCCAGAGGGCTTTAGGAACGTATGCCTTGACAATTTCTACGATGCATTGGATGCATTGAAACGATCATCCACTCGTGGAAAGCATTCGCGACGACTTCAAAAAGTCATGAAGAACCTCAAACGAATCAATACCAATAATCCGACCAATAGGCAGGAGGAGTTCGTTCAAGCGAGAGCACGAAGTAGTCGGTCTATTGCTGTAGAGAAGGACCCCGAGATGACACCGACTGCGCAGCTCATGGACGTTAACACTTCACTTTATGCTATTCCGCCAACCTTGGTCAACGGAAACACGCCAGTGGATGACTACAGCGATCTCACCAACTTTTTCGAATTCGCCGGGGACTGTTTCATGGATGACCACACTGATCAAATGAATAACATCTCAACCGAAGCACCAACACAACAATACCAGAACTTTGTGGATATGTTCCAAGCTGAAAACGAAACATTGACTCGATTGATGGCTGGACTGTTGTAGTCTTCATACGTTTGCTACATGTAGACCACTGACCTATTCAATCGTATGATCACATTATGATGTACATATAGAGTGACTATTTACGCACCAACACGGCGACATTTGGAATCAGCTCAAGAGACGCGGAGCAGTTCCCTATCTACTTTCCACAGATCGAGATGTGCTATCAAGTATGCAGAAGCATGCATGCATCTTGCTAGATGATCATCGGACATACAAGTGTCAGGTAGCCATACTATCGAGTCTATTAAGTATCATCGGGAATCAAGTACTTTTCACGCATACTGCTCGTACTATTCCGTGTCCAGGTAAGCTAACATCGAAACTGTTGGGGAAGAATTAGAATCCCCCCCCCTTTCACAGAATCACAATATGTTAACAAATTCCGGAGACAGCCGAGGCATAATTTAAAAAGTGGAGATGGTTTGTCTGTTCGTGAAACTAATGAAAAGATCAGCGATGTGAGTTGCGAGTCGGACTACGGCGAGATGAAAATCCATTGGCTAAACGAAGTCTTGGAAGAAATGCGAAAATAAGCCGCTGGCTATATTGATACTATGGCTATATAACTAGTCTAAGTTATTGGTGTATTAATAACTTACCCACCACATTATACACAGGTTCCCTCGAAAACCCGTACAGAAGCTTAATGGGTAGTGCGTGATGATGATGAGCACTGGAGTACTCCTATGTACAAACGCTGCCGAGGTGCATACATGTGATCTGGACTGTTGTGATGAACCCATACAGATCACCCTTGCGTCGTTGTTTACACTTTGTTTTCTACTTCAACCCATATACATCCATAATGTATATGTTGGCGGCATCTATTATTCCTTACAACGCTCGTTCTATCAGTACGGATAAGGGAAGCTCATTACAATAGTTCTCCGAACGCTAGCAAGTAATTTTTGAGAGGCAGCAGAAAAAGAAAAATATACAAAAGGGCAGAGCAGGAAAGGAAAAGTAATCAAAAAATGAATGGCCATATCAATGGTTCCGCCAACGGAACAACAGAAGAAACAATCGATGTAGCCATCATCGGCGCAGGCATCTCCGGCCTCAACGCTGCATATCGAGTGCAGTCGAAACTGTCAGAGTACACATACAAGATCTTCGAGGCTCGCGACAACATTGGCGGAACATGGGATCTTTTCAGGTACCCGGGAATCCGCTCAGACTCTGATTTCTACACTTTCGGCTTTGAATGGAACACCTGGCCGAAGGATAATCCAATTGTGCCGGGAGAGGATATCAAAGAATATCTGCAGCAATCCATAGAGAAGGAAGGTATTGATCGTCATATCGCGTTCCATCATCGACTGACAGCTTTGGAATGGTCGTCGGAGTCCATGCGCTGGACTCTGACTTTGGAGACGAAGGATCAAACGAGGCATGTTCAAGCACGGTATGTCATTGTTGGAACAGGGTACTATGACTACCACGAACCAATGAATGCCGAAATATCGGGGCTGGGGAACTTCCAGGGAACAGTGATTCACCCGCAATTCTGGCCCGAGGAATTGGACTATACCAATAAAAAGGTAGCCATCATAGGCAGTGGCGCCACAGCTATCACCCTCGTACCCAACATGGCGTCAACAGCAGCGCACACAACAATGATTCAACGCAGTCCGACCTATGTCTATCCATTATCGAACCCGACTCGGCGCTGGTTTGGTTGGTTCATCCCCAGCCTAATCCGAAGTCAACTCAGTCGTCTAATCTTCATTTTCTTACAACGCTTTTCATACGCACTCTGCCGCGCCTACCCGAAACAGGCACGATCTATTCTTATATGGCGTATGCGAAGCCTTCTCGGTGGCGTCTTGCCTGTCGACCCGCATTTCAGTCCAAAGTACAACCCATGGGACCAACGAGTCTGCTTTGCGCCAAATGGAGACTTCTTCACGGCCCTTCGATCTGGTAAAGCAGACGTGAAAACGGGACATATTCGAACCGTGACTGAAAAGAGCATTATTCTCGACAATGGCGACGTTGTTGAGGCCGACATTATCATCACGGCTACGGGGTTGAAGATTTCCGTCGCTAGCGGTGTGCCCATCAAGGTTGACGGTGAAAAGATTTCAATTCCTGAGAAGTTTCTCTGGAATGGGTCTATGTTGCAGGATGTGCCTAATTTTGCTATCATGATTGGTTACACGACTGCCTCGTGGACGTTGGGTGCCGATGCTACTGCGTTGCTTTTCACGCGTATAGTGCGATACATGGAGCGTCGGAATGCTGTTGTCGCCGTTCCGCGCCTCGAAGATCCCTCTGTTTTAACAACTAGAAACATAACGGATTTGAATTCGACGTACCTGGCGGTTGCACAGAAGCACATGCCAAAGACAGCGGAGGAGTATCCATGGCGGCCGAGAACCAGTTACTATGTTGATATCTGGCAGGCTATGTTTGGACGCATTGATCGAGGTATTGAATATATTCCCGCATCTGCGAAATGAGTTTGAATGAAATGATTTTTCGGGATTTGTAGTATGGCTTGTATCAGTCTTTTTCTCCCTTTTTTTTTTTTTTTTTTTTTTTTTTTTTTTATAATATTTGGATATTTGGAATTTGGATATTTATGACACTCTTAGTCTACGACCGCATTCATGGTTTGCAATAGAAAACAGCTCTGGGATCTTCAGACCCTATTGTAAAAGGTTAACCATAACAATAACCCGGAAAGCCAGGTTCGGAATACCAAGCACCCTGTTGAGGTTGCAGGTGATATGTTGTGTATTTTTAATTATTGCTGATACGCTACTTGTAAAGAAAATGCAAGCCGTCACGACATTACGATCAGGTGTATTTCACAAGTGCCGAGGTCTGCCAAATCTCAACAACAATTGGAAAATCATCGGCCCCTCGTTGCTATCTCGTTTGCTGCACGCAGCCCACTAATGAGGATTGACCATGCGCAAGCACACAGGGATGCACTACTATCGTATAGGTGGCTATAGCCACTTGACAGATATGATAAAAATCCTCGTTGTCCGTACTACACGCATACTACGTAGTACACAAGTTGTACTCCTTACTTCGGTACATGGAGTTACATAAATACTCTCAGAACAACACCCCAAAATCCAAAATGGCACACCCAACCATGAAGAAAGAGGAGTTTCTTCGCATACAACCACACACTAATGAATTGATATTAGCACATGGATCAAAAAAGTCGCCTTATAGTCAAAGGTCAAGCATGACCCTATCCGAAATACTCGATCTCCCTATTGCCCTGTTTTCGCTGCCTATCGTGGGATTTCTAGCTCTTCTCACAGGTCCCTTTCGTGCCAGGAAACAGAAATTCAATCCCAAGCAGTCAATTGCTGCGAGTTTGCTGCTGCATGTTGGTTATGCGGTTCTGAGGAGATGTGTGTCACGGCTTTCACCTTTGCAAATCCAGTGCGGCTCCCTCCCTCTTTGCGTTTGGCATGTTAAATATTAAGAGCTAAGAACTTTTAGAGCATTGCTACCATCCACTATTACTACTTACAAGTTCTTTATCTGGGGACATGGGCTCAAGGACCAGAGTATTGCCCTCGGTGAAGGCGCCACAGGGCACTGGTTGGGAAACCCAAATGCCAAGAATGTGCTCATTTGGATTCATGGTAATTCGCAATTGCTACAATGCATATACTATAAATGTCTTAGAAATCCTGGAACTAAAACACGAAGTAGGAGGAGGTTGGGCTGTGCCCGCGAATAGAGGCTACTTTGCCTTCTTTCACAAATTCCTGAAGGAAATGCGCGCAGCAGGCAAAGACATTGCCGTCTTTGCAGTCGCGTACACACTTGCTCCCAAAGCTGTCTATCCAACCCAATTTCGCCAGAGCGTCACGGCCGTGCGATACATTCTCGAAAAGACTGATCGCAAGGCCAGCAACGTATATCTAGGTGGAGACTCGGCGGGCGGTAATCTCGTGCTCGCTGTTCTAAGCCATATTGCACATCCTCACCCGGAGATTGAGCCACTCAAACTCGCCGCTGGCGAAGAGATAGGCGGCGCAACACTGTTGTCGCCCTGGTCATCACTTGAGACGACGTTCCCGCCGCTGGAGACAGAGCCGCTGGGTGATTTGATTCATCCGGGATGCGCCAGACCCTGGGCAGGGAGTTATTTGGCTGATCGCGAGAGAGACAACTATACTGACCCACGGCTAGCGCCTATTGGGTGGTGGCATGATGTTCCTATCAAACACGTATTGGTTACTGCTGGTGGGTACGAATTGTTATTGCCGTTTATCGAAGACTTTGCAGACAGATTGATAGAAGGTCTAGGGGAGGGCAAAGTAGAGTATTTTGTGGGCCCTAGAGAGGCACATGTGGCACCTATGTTCAACTTGCTTTTGGGCGACAGGGCGGAGACAGAGCAGGGCAAAAGGATCAAAACGTTCTACAGGGAGGTGATCAATAATGATAGACTCCCCTCACTGTAGAGTGAAAGTGCTTATAAGTTGTATGTGCCAAATTAATCAACTTTTTCAACTTAAGTCTAGGGCTAGCCGATATGAGGCTAACCATTTATGGTTAGAGAGGAGCAGTCCGCTAGCGCGGCTGCTGCCTGAAATTGTAAGCCGGGCCTGAAAATAAGTCCGGCCAGTCGGGTTGACCCCTTTTTACTTTTATGGGACTCCTTCCCGGCACGGACTTCGGAATGCTACGAATTCCGAACTGCGCCACCGCATCCCCATTTCCGTCGGATTTCGCAGCTCCCACGACCGCCACACGTCAGCTCACATCCTGCAAAGACGTTGTTCAAAGTCATTCATTATTAATCACATATATGCCGACTAGCCAAGTTAAGTCGGGCTACACCGGACTTCATGACGAGAGGAATTCGTGGTCATTGAGCTACTTCGATCGGATTCGAACGTCAACCTGTATCCCGACGACTACCTAGGTATGGAGCAAAGCCGCGATAATGCAAGCACTATAGCGCCAGGGACATCCAGACCAGCGCCATATGGCCGAGCATGCAGCAATTGTGCGCGCGCAAAATGTAAATGTATTCTGCGTGCTAATGGCGACAGCTGCGAGAGGTGCGTGTTCTACTTCCGTTCACTGTACCCTTTGAGAGGCGGTATTCTTATTCAAATATACAGGTGCTTTCGTCTCAAGAAAGTATGCAGCCCTTCATCGTCTATTCGAAAAAAACGTGTTACCCCAAGAAATTCTTCACAGGCTGCTCGTTTGGAGCGGAAACTAGATGGACTAGTGTCTCTGCTAAGAGCGAGTTCATCTCAAGGCAACTTAACTGAAGAAAGCTTCAATGACGTTTCTGACATTGTCAATGCCGTTAATGCCAACAACACTGCTGCTTCTACCACTAGCAGCACTGCAGCTCCATCGCCATCATGCTCATCCAATATCATGAACAACAATAAAGGCTCTCTACGACCGCCAATGCCTTGTTTAGACTTTGACAACACACCCCACCAGGATCATAGAAACGCGGCAACAAAGTCAACCGCTAGTTCATCGACACCGGGCTCTGGCGCTCCATCACCATTCCCATATATTCTACCTCGTGATGTAGAACCTACTGCCGAGGAGGAAAGACTTTGGTATCAGATATTTATTGACAAGTTTGTAGACCATGCTCCATTTTTGAGACTGATCGTCCAAAATATGTCCTGCACGCAGCTGCGCCAAGAGAAACCTTTTCTCTGGCTGAGCATCATGTCCGTTGCTTGCCCATTTGTACAGAAACAATGGGATCTAGGGCGAGCCGTAAGGGAAGTTCTTGCTCGAGAAGTTCTAGTCGAGGGTGAGCGGAACGTTGATTACTTGCTGGGAAGTCTTTGCTTTGCTCAGTGGTATGCTTGTATTTCATCTCTCTTTTCTAATTTGTTCCTTATGACTGACCGGTTCCCTTAGGGCTCACTATCAATTTCATTTGGGCCCTCTACTCACCTTATTATCTGGGATCTGCACCTCTCTCTTGCTTGATTTGGAATTAGACAAGCCGTGTCACCACGAGCTCAATACCAAGAATCCAGGACGACTGATACATCCACGCTTTTCCAACAAACTTCATATCCCGGAATCAAGAACAATGGAGCATAGACGTATTGCCTTGTCCACATACATTTTTAGTACAAGGTAAACCACTTTTTTTTCCCCAAGCTTGGTCTAAAAGGGCAGGGGAAAAAACAAAGATAATGAAAAACAAAATCGGCACTAACACTTTCAATTTACGCAGTATCGCTTTTTTCCATCACAAGGCGGAACTGCTACCCTGGTCGCCATACCTTGATGATTGTTTGAAGCTGCTTGACGATGCAAAGGAGACATTTTCCGATGAATTGTTGATATGCCAAGTCAGATTGCAGCAAATATTGAGTAATACGACTATGTTATACGCACGTTTGCGCGGTTCAGAGAGTGAGCAAAGCACTCGACTTGTCGTACCATACATTCGATCCCTGAAGCGCCAGGTGGAATCTCTTAGGAGCCAGATCCCGGAACACGTTGCCGCAAATAGTACGTTGACTACCTTCGCAAAAAATGGCAGAACATAAATACTAATTTGCTCTTCTTTTTAGAATTTATACAGATCGGCATATTGTATGTAGAAGTGGCGGTGAACGAAGTAGCCATGGTGCGCACACAACATGCAGCACTCATGATGGAAAAAGAGCTCGAGACAATGGAATGTCTACTTGAGTGTCTCCAGTCAATTCAAGCGTGGACAGAACTTTTCAGGTCGTTAGATTACAGCGAGTATATCGGCATGCCATTTGGATTATGGAAACAGCTATCCCTGATGATATTCACTTTGGTGCGACTGGCAACATTAGAGGATCCGGCGTGGGACACGTATCAAGTGCGACGCGCAGTCGACCTACCCGGGCTGTTGAACCATGTTAGCACTTCCATGAGCCAGGTGGCTAACCTGGCGCCATGGAAGCAAAACGCAGACAACGTCCATAGCCGGTCGAGCAAGCTGGTGGCTACCTTGACAACTTGGTCGAAATCAGTGTACGATGGAACGATACCCAGTGCTCCGATTATAATTCCAAATCCACCGTTTGCACCACCTGCGAAGGAAACAGGGACAGCCATGGATGCTAACCATAATCTTAATAATAACAACAATAGCAATAATAGCAATAATAGCAATAATCCGTTGCTTATGATAAACGATGGTGCACAGCAAGTTCAATCCGAGACAGCAGCGGCGGCAGCATTTGCACAACAGCAGCAGGATCAACAGGGGCAGAATCTTTTAGTTCCAGAACTGTTTCCCTACTTCAACCAAGAGCCCTGGACGAATGATGGGTTTGGGTTCTGGGGCCTTTGGAACGGAGGGAGAGCCACTATGGGATGATTGCACCATGTCATCATAACTACATATCATGTATATTAATTGAACCCTGGAATAATTTTCAATGAACAATCTCGAATCATACCCAAATCCGAGAAGAAAAGGAGATGTCCACAAAACCTGATGCCTAAATACATAACCTAATTTGGGATAGTCAGATGCCCCATGTGTTGGAGCGGGATTCATTGATAATTTCGGCTCCGACTGCCGTTCTCCACATGGCAAGTCAAGCTTTGAAACTTATTTACCTGTTCAGCCTTAAGTTTGGGACTATGTGGAGGCCGGAATTTGAGACTGCCGGCGCTGTACACAGACATACATAACTATAGTATAATGGGGATAAAGTCGCGCTTATAGTGAACGGCCGGAGATAAATAATGTTACTTATTAAATCAGAGTAGGTTCAAGATACTGTCGGATTCCATGTTCCTTTACTACCGGATTTGGCTTATGGATGAACCGTGAGGTAAGAAAACAGTAATAAAACGCCCATTGACGTCTTGAATGAATTGCTAGGAGAAATATATCTGTGTGTTTGGCCAAGCCCATTAAAAGGACCATTGAAAGCCAATTCAATATCCAAACTCTTGACTTGTTGAAACTTGGTCTCATACACAGGGCCACGAACATGGAGCAGGTATTCAAAGAGAAATTCAGAAATTCTTTGCAGACCTTTGAGATCTCCTTCGGTGGTATTTGCTAATTCCTTATCCACCCAGCCCCTAGTGTAGCCTCCACCAAAATCAATAAGATATGCATCATCTTGCGTATCTATTAGAACATTATCAGATTTAACATCTCCCCAAACAGCACCACACGTATGGGGCCCCTTTATAGAACAGCTAATCTGGGCCAACCATTTCTGTCTCATTAAGATATACCAGAGGACTTTTCAGTTGCAAAGTAAGGTTCTGCTGTCGGACTCGATGTATAGAAGAGGGTCGTCAACAACACGGCCAGAAAAAGGAATATAACCGATCTCAAGAAGCCTACATGTGTTTACAAGCTCAGAAAATGAGACTGACTGTATTTTTGCATATGCTTTGAGCTCTCTGCAAATGCTACTCACATCCCCAGCGCCCACTGATTTCAAGAAAGCAACTTATTGCCCTCAAATATATACTTTGTGGGGAATAGCTGGCAAGGCAGCAATCTCTTCCAAAATTAGTATTTCAATTTCATCAGGGCTGTACTTTGGAATTTGGAAATACAGGATTGTTCACTTGCTCAGACTCCAGGAGGAGAGCACTCACAAATCGTTCGCTTCCAGTCTTATCTAGAAAGATGGGCAAGAACTTACTGTAATCAGCATACAGTGAGTAGTAAAAAACTTCTAGAAATAAGCAATCATGGAGGGTATATTCCAATGTATATCCAAAGGTGGAATCTCTCAATATCTTAGCAGGAAACATTCCAGTCAGCCAATTCTTCGAGCGGATCCTCAAAGTTTTCCTTCGATTCGGACAGATACTCAGGTTCTAGATGCTCCAGATGTCGGAGGTATTCCGTTAGAAGTGTCGATGACTTTTTAAAGTTGGAGGCTTTCAATTCGATTTGGAAATGTTTGTTAGAGATGAAGACGTTCAATTGGGAGTCCCTATTACCTTCATTGGACCGAAATGGCCCTAATGAGTAGCGTGGCAGTGTTTCCATGCTTGAAAAAGAAGTCGGAAAGTCTATTGGTCATCGCGTTCATGATTGCTGTCCCTTTCTGCAACGAACGCCTAACATGGTTTGTTCGTTATAAAGAGAGGATTATTGACGTCGTTGGCGGCTTGGCAGAATGCTAGCCTGTTTCATACTAGCCCAATACACTACGGCAAGCTCTCCATCCGCAGGTGAGCTAACCGAAATAGGTTGATGCTAACCCCCGTTCTCGCCCTTTTTCTTTTTTTTTCTTTTGCTCTGTGGCTTGCTTGTCTGTCGACGGACATAACGTATCGCTGAATTTACCTTGTTCAGTTACTTAGCTCTGTTGTTTTCATATGGTTTGTCAAGGAAGTTACGGCCGTTTGGTGATCAGTGAGAATGACAATGACTAATAATTCTTGACCCTCATGTTGCTCGCTATCTAGACAAGTGAGCGGCGATCTAGAGGCCTCGTATAGGAACGGATTACAGGCTTTCAGCTATTTTCTATGTGGATCACTGCATACGTAGGAGCTCTAGTCAACTGATCTAGATCTCCACACTAGCTTGCTAGGATTCTAGTTAGGAACCGGATTTCCAAGCTGAGTGAGAGAGAGAAATTTGAGACGGAGTTCGGCATCCCGCCAATCCCGGTCTATTCTACACTTGTCCGGAGATAAGATGGCGGCGTTATAGGCTGATGTGTTGATTTGAAACAAATAAATAACCCAGTGGGCCGACCTTTTGTGTCTGATGTTGCTTGGAAGAAAAAAAAATAACAAGCTTTATCCATTCATTTTGTATCGGCTGTTCTCCTCCGACTGTCCGACTCTTGTGGTCGTTGAGCAAGAATATATAATTCGGACACGATCACAGCAAAGAGTGGGGGTTGGAAATCATCAAAAAGAAATTCAACCCTACTTGGAAATCCAAAATTTAACCATGGACGGAGATAGACGTATCGCGACGGGTCAGACTACCGTCTCGACCAGTTCAACCCTCCTCAATGAAGATTTCACAATCGATAATGTCTCCAAGTCTTACGATGCGAGCTCGGTCGAGCAAAGGCACGATCAACAAGACCAATCTGTTGCTGCAGATGGCGGCGACGATGACGAGGATGTGACTGAGAATGTTATCAGAGAAGCGACTGCTGGCAATGCCGATTTGACTCGCACAATGTCTGTCCATTACATCGAAGGACCGAAATTGTACGCGTTGATGGGTTCTTTGACTTCGATTTTCTTCCTGGTCATGTTGGATGTTTCTATTGTTTCTACGGTAAGTTTCTTTCAACAATCTCTTTAAAAGAGACTAGACAGTGCTAACAGCGAGGATTATAGGCTGTTCCGGATATTACAAGTGAATTCAACTCGCTGGCAGATGTCGGTTGGTATGGAACTGCATATCTACTAGCTTGGTACGTTCTGTCAAACCTCGCCATCATGAATCTATGGGATCAATTCTAAACGAAATCAATTATCAGTGCCTCCCTCCAACCTCTAGCCGGAAAAGTCTACTCCAATTTTCGCTCCAAGGTGAGATCGAAATCTCCGAAGCAGCTTTCAGATGCAGTTCTAACCCACTAACTCAATAACAGAATATTTACCTTGGTTGCTTTTTCGTCTTTGAAGTCGGCTCGCTTATCTGCGGTGTGGCCACGTCTTCAAATATGCTCATTATCGGACGAGCTATAGCCGGTATTGGATCGTCTGGTCTCATGAATGGCGGTTTGACTATCTTGTCGGCTTCGATGCCCTTGCACAAGCGGCCCAAGTATTTCGGTATCATGATGGGTCTTGCTCAGATGGGAACTATCTGTGGTCCGATCATAGGAGGTGCTTTTACTACCTATGTCACCTGGCGTTGGTGTACGTTTCCTTCGAGTTTTCTATGCCAAAAAAAAGAAGAGTGAAAAGAAGAAGAGGGAAGGAAAACTGACAATGACATAGGCTTTTATATCAACCTCCCCGTCGGCGGAGTTGCAGGTGCTATCCTGCTATTCTTCATCTCTGTGCCCGAGACAGTCAAACCACGCACCGAGACAGTCACGAAAATTATCCTCACCAAACTCGACCTCATTGGCTTCGTGCTTTTCGCCCCTGCTGCCATTCAGGTTTTCCTTGCCCTTGAATGGGGTGGAAACAAGTACCATTGGTACAGTGCTACCATCATCGGTCTGTTTTGTGGCGCTGGCGGCACAGCCATCCTATTCGGAATCTGGGAATACTTCCAAGGCGACAAGGCCATGGCGCCCTTCTCCATTCTCAGGCTTCGCACTGTTTGGACATCTGTCTTTGCCATGTTCCTGTTCTTTGGCTGTCTGCAGATCGCCTCATACTACCTCCCCATCTATTTTCAGACCGTCCGAAACGCATCACCAATGATGAGCGGTGTGTGGATGTTGCCTAATGTTCTGAGTCAGCTGGTTGCTACTGTTGCTTCTGGAACGCTTGGTAAGTCTTTTCTTCGCTCTCTAGCTGACAGAAAAGATCCAAAAACTAACACCATCCAGTCGGTCGCATGGGCTATTACCTCCCCTGGATGGTAGCCGGTGGATCCCTCAGTTCCATCTCCCTCGGACTCATCTCGACCTGGAACCCAACCACCTCCATCGGCAAACGGATCGGATACCAGATCCTCCTGGGATTCAGCCGCGGTCTCTCCATGCAAATGCCACTGATCGCGGTCCAGAACAGCATTCACCCCAAATTTGTGCCCGTGTCGATGGCCCTAGTCTCCTTTGGCCAGACATTCGGTGGTGCCGTATTCCTCTCTATTTGCGAGACCATCCTGTCCAACCAGCTCAGCATCGACCTCCCTAAATACGCTCCGGGCGTTGATGTGGCCTCGATCATTGCCGCTGGTGGCTCGGGGTCTGCGGTAAGAGCAGCTGTGGGTAATAATCCTACTCAGCTGGCGGAAACACTCGTCGCGTATGCCAAGAGTGTTAATGCTGTCTTCTGGTTTGGTGCGGCCGCGGCTGCGTTGTGTGCTTGTGTCGCGTGCGGTATGGGCTGGAAGGATATCAGAAAGAAAGAAGCGCCGCCCAAACCCGCTCAGGAGGACCCTGAGAAGGGTCTTGCGGTTGCCACGTCTACTGCCAACTCGGAGCAGGCTACTGACGTCGAGGCTGAGGTCGTGAAAGCTGAGAAGTCGGAAGAAAAGGTTTAATCATTTCATTCGTTTGTTTCGTCATTTCTTTTCAATTTTTTCTTTATACTCATCTCCATGGCGTTCCGGGTTTTCATTCGCATCTATAGACTCTTCGATTTTCATCCAGACATCACATCTCTCCTAATCCATTATCCATTCGAAGAAATGTTCGCTATGTTGGCATTATTTTGTTGCACAACTTTTTGTTCCATATTAATTATATCTATACCTTATACCACTTGCATCGTTAGCTGAATGTAAAAAATACATGCATAGATAGATCAATGTGATAATTAAATTAGTCGTGCTTCGTTTCATGCTTTGCTCTGACTTGCCTTGGGGATATCTACATATCTAGAAGTAAGATGTGATGGTAGAAGAATGAGCTCAGATGAATAGATAGATAGGAGCTATATAACATAATATAATAAACCCAGACAACACCAAACCAGAACCACAGCACAATAAATTGTAGCGAGGGAGACGAACATGTTTTTTCCAGCGATGAATGGAAACAGGAGACACGGCAAGAGATGGAATTTGACAAAACAACAGAGGTAGCATGGCGTGATGGATATAGAGTGCGCTTGAGAGATATAATGATCGTAGATGAGGATTGTCGAGGCGGATTTGTGGCGTGATGGTATCGAGAGAAGAAAGGCAGTCCAGTTGGATGACGATGAACAGAAACGAAACAAAAAAAAGGGGGTTCGGTATGAATAAATATTGACAAGAAGTGAAGTTCGGCCGAAGGTAGATATCATAAACGCTTCTAGTTGATAGCTCGATGGACGGCAAATGAAAGATAAAAAAGAAACATCGTCAAGCACGCATATATATATGTATATATGTATACTACTTCATCTCAACATATCCTTTTTGTCTCCACTCGGCTTGCATATTCATCATCTCCGTACGTTCTTCCACCCATTTGTTGTTTTGGATATTCCATTCGCGCTTGCCGATTCGTCGTTGGCGAATGCAGCAGAAGAGGAACACGATCGCTCCGGTGCCAACGACTGCACTGGCAACCACGATGATGGCTATTCTGGAACCTTCGGACATTCTGTCCCATTTTTGTGCTGTGGATAGATGCACTTTGTTGAGTTCCTTTTCGATCGTTGAGTTGCCACTGTTGGTTGTTAGCCGGGGTTTCTTTTCCTTTCCTTTCCTTTCTAGGATAAAAAGCGAAGAGAGAGAGAGAGACTTACGGAACAATTGCAATGCTCTGCCAGTCTCCACTGTGATTCGTGTAATTGTACTCCTTCCCTGTGGAGAAATCTTGAGCTAATATTTGCGACACATACATGGTATACGGCCCAGCGTTATAGTCGATTTCACCGCCAGCCCAGATGATTCTGCCCTCGGGTTGGGAAGGATCACCACCGGGCCAAATTCCCATGCGGATCGTGACGGGGGTCTGAGGATACCATGTGCCGGAGCTGTTGGTGGCATCTTCGTAGGTCACGGTGCGTAGAAGAGTACCATCATACCACCACTCGAGCTTGTCGCTATCCCACCAGGTGGTGTAATTGTGGAAATCGAGCGTGGCATTGGAGGTGAGGTTGTGAGTGACGCCGGTGTTGGCGATTGTCTGGCCCTTGCCGAACCAGTTAGACTGAACATGCATGCCCTCCGAGCCAACCCATTCCCAGTCGACTTCGTCGAGATCGTCCGACTCGAGCACCACACTACTGATCACGCCGTGGCCAGGAGCGGCTCGCACATGGTATTCCATTCGGCCCCAAAAAATGTAGAAGTTTGATCGGATTGTCGGCGAGTCCATTTTCTTGTTAATGGTGAAGCCTAGGGCGTCTTCGGTATAGTTCATGACCCCATTGGTGATACTCCACGCTGTGGTGTCTAGCTGTGAAGAAGAACTCAAGTTCCAGGTGTGAGTTGTAGAGAGTGCCGGGTCTGGCGAGCATGTTTCGTTTAGGGGCTGGCACTCGGTACTTGTCTGAGCAGAGACAGTCGAGACAAACGCAGCCACAAGGGCTGCTATCATCGCAGAGCGAACCATGATTGCTGGTGAATGAAAGCCGGCGAGGAGAGGATATCTCCGCACACTTCCAGCAGGGGGAAAAACGAAAGTTGGTTCCGGATGCAAAAAGAGCGAGCACCGGGCGGATAAACAAATATCAAATGACTGTACACTTCTAACGGCAAATACAAAAGGAGGGACGGCTACAAGTGCAAAAAGAGCGACATTGACCTTGAAATTGATAGTGACAGTGAGAGGGACGGAGGAAAAGAGAGGAAAGCAGGGCCAACTAGTGAATGAACGGGGGCGCCTCTAGGCACTACACCCGATAAGCCATGGCCAAGTCGTCCGTACAAAACCAGGATCGAACAGGAAAAACGCCCCCAGTGGCAGGGACTGGCTAAGCGCTAGCCTAATGCTTGGTATAGCACTAGTCTATTAAGTGGTGCAATGGTTTCACTCGCCGCGCCGTGGTTCTGCAACCTCGCTATGCCTGGCCTGACACTTGGAGATTGGAAGTTGGAAGCCGGAAGAGCCCTTGCATTGGCTTAGATTGCTTTAATTTCTTGCCAGCAGACACTCTGGAATTATATGAGTACAGATGGACAAATAGATGCATGTGTGTATTTTTCATATGCAATTCTTACATCTTTCTTACATCTGTACGCATAGAGTGGAGGCTCGCGCTATTTCCAAAATTGAGCAGCCGCACTGCAGCGTTTCACCCGAGGGCCGCCGCTGATTGGCCGTCTGCAAGACCGTGCGGCCCGCTCCCGGGAACCAGAGCGTGTGATTGGTTGCCCCTTTTCTGTTTTACAGCCGCGAGTAATTTAAATGTATTTTTTGCCGATATCTCCGGCATAATCACAAATTTCACAACACAAATACGAGAGTGGCGCTCGCTACCTGAGATGCACATCTTCCGTTGCTATTTTTGCCTTTCCTTTCAATAGATAAGTGGACATCACACAAAGCTTCCAGTGGCAATGTCTTCGATAGAGAACAGCCTGCCACCAATCAGCAGAGCCAGCTCCCGTGGCTTGTCTTGGCGAGTCCTGAGGCTCTCGGCGTCGTCTTAGATCTTGCCCTGGCAGCTGATTGGCTGCTTCCAAAGACCATTCAACCCTGGCGTCGTGATCCAATGGTGTACAGAGTATGCTTCCTGGAGCTATACAAGTTCGTCGATATATTGTATCGCAAGTAATATTATATATATATCTATAAATATATCTATATATTATATTCAATCGTTCAATCCCAAAGATCACACAGATGTAACACATATCCTGCTGCCTAGCTTCACCGCCTGCTAAAATCATACGATCTTCCGTCTTCTCCGCCCGCTCTCTCCAAAAGTAAACACCGCCAACTCGATAAATAATTATCAAGACAACGCACATACGACGACTCGGATGATTGTCCTGTCATAGCATTCATTTCCTCCTCTCGCCAGCGACAGTGGCATTTCTCGTCTGCGATCCATTCCCGCCATGGTCGAAGTCGAAGCTCAACGGGCCGGTCCCATCGACCGTAAACAACGAATTATCTCGCGCAGAGAGATTGAAGGCTTGGTTGCCGATGGGCGCCATATTGTGATATATGACGGCAGAGTTCTAAAGACAGATGCCTGGCTCAAGTTCCATCCTGGTGGCCCAACGTCGATCAAGCATATGGTTGGTCGTGATGCCACCGACGAAATAAACGCGTACGTACAGCAGAGCTCTACGTTATGTCGCTGAACGTGCCTTGTTTTGAATAAATGCTAAACCTTATTCGTCATGCGGACAGATTGCATTCTGCAGAAACTCGAAAGCGCATGCTTTCATACCAAATTGGGCGTATTCAAGGACGATGGGTCAACTTCCTACCTCCGATCCAGGGAGGACAGTTTCGCCCTTACGGCGAGAACGAAACCGCAGAATCTGAAGGATGCTCGAGTGATTCGAGCTCGCGCTCTAGCTCACCGGTCTTTGATGAGCCGGAGGGTACTGGCTTGCGTCGAAGAAATTCGACATCAACGAATGCTTCATCTGTTCCATCGACACCACCTAGTGACCAGAAAACCGATTCCCGTTTCTCCTTTCTCGATGCCCGAACAAGGCAAGAAATATTATTAGACACATCGAAGTACCCCTCTCTTGACTTTCGCTCCCAAGATGCTATCGTTCAGAAGTATCGTGAATTGGATGAGCGGATACGTGCGGCCGGTCTCTATAACTGCAACTACTGGGCCTACTTCGTAGAATGTTGCCGGTACTTTTTGTTTGCTGCGCTTAGCTATACCTTTCTCCGCTGGGGTTGGTACATACCGTCGGCCTTTTTCCTCGGCTGCATGTGGCATCAACTCGTCTTCACGGTGCATGATGCCGGGCATATGGGCATTACTCACAGTTACCAAGTCGACTCAACCATTGGCATGACCATTGCCAGCTACATTGGCGGACTGAGTTTGTGCTGGTGGAAGGACAACCACAACGTGCACCATATTGTCACAAACTCCCCGGAACACGACCCAGACATCCAGCATATGCCCTTTTTCGCCATTTCTCACCGACTGCTGACAAGTCTGCGCAGCACTTACTACGGAATTATCATGCAATACGACTTTGCCGCTAAAATTCTTCTGCGCGTTCAAAATTATACTTACTATCCCATCATGCTCTTTGCTCGATTCAACCTTTATGCTCTGAGCTACGGATTTCTTTTCTCAAGACGAGCTAGGGCAAATGGACCTGCGTGGTGGCACAGGTGGTACGAGATTGCCGGGTTGGTGTTTTTCTGGTCCTGGTTTGGATACGGAGTGCTCTACCGCTCTCTCCCCGACTGGTCCAGCCGCATTACTTACCTCCTCATCTCGCACATGGTCACATCACCGCTCCATGTGCAAATTACGCTTTCTCATTTTGCCATGTCAACGGCTGATCTCGGCATTCACGAATCCTTCCCCCAAAAAATGTTGCGTACAACCATGGACGTCGACTGTCCGACCTGGTTGGATTTCTTCCATGGCGGCCTCCAATTCCAGGCTATTCACCATTTGTATCCGCGTCTTCCGCGTCATAATCTTCGAGAGGCTCAGAAGCTGATCCTTGAGTTTTGCCGCGAGGTTGATATTCCATATGCTATCTTCACATTTGTGGATGGTAACAAGGAAGTGATTACCCGACTCGCTGATGTTGCGAAGCAGGCAAAAATAATGGAAGAGTGTAGAAAGTCGATTGCTCGAGAGGGTGTTTTTGCCAGCCATCACTAGTAGTTGTCGAGTTGTCCGTGGATTCATAGCAACTTCATGCACATGTGCAAGTGCATACACGTTTGGCCCTCATGGCAACAAATTCATGACTCAATCATCGTACATATCATTAAATGACATCAGTGTATATATTCTCCTATAGATGCAAGGACCACAAGATAATGTCGATGCCTTATGAATATTACTCATTATTATATATTTATCGCCTGAGAATGTCCATAGTTACTACTCCATCTCCGCCCTAGGCGTCCCCATAAGCTCACTGATAGGCCTCGAACCACCGCTACCAACATCATAATTCTGTGCCGATAGCTCGGAGACTAGGGTTTCGGTCCCGGAAGCGACACGGTTGTGACTATAGGACGCGGGTTTGAAGGATGCTTTCCCTTCTTCCATCGCGTCATTCTGAACTTGGCATGTGCGTTGGTACTGTATGCGACGTCGATACCACATGAACAAAATCCCAACTGAGCAGAGTGTTAGGATGCCTAGAGGAATCCCGACGCCTAGGCCAACTTTTTGTGCGGTGGTGAGGGCTGAGGTGTGCGTTGAGGAAGATGATGGTGTTGGTGTTGACGTGCCAGTTGCAGTAGTAGCGACAGGTATAGACGTTGATATTGAGACTGACGTAGGTGAAGACGTTGAAGATGACGATGCCGATGAAGTAGAAGAAGAATTTGTCAGCGAACCTCCAAAATTATAATACGTCGGCGCTGGATCAGTGGAATATCGCTTGTTCACACCGAAATATACGCTTGTCAGATTCGGCGGATTCGCGACTCCATCTGCATCCAAGGGCTCTAGCTTAAATACGCAGCCTGATTCTCGGTAGTTGGCGCGTGTGGCGTTCCAGATGTAGCTGTAATTATTCGTTGAATTTGCTACACATGTATACATACATGAGTCAATTATCAGACGGACAGGGTAGAAGGATAGAGGCACAACGCACATTCTAGAGCCACCGCGGTCTCGCAACTTTCGTAGAGACTGAATCGCGCGGTGACAACGTCCCAGGTGACATTCACGAGATCACCCACTATGAACTCGTCCTCTTGGTCGGTCGGAAAGGTGAATCCCTCAGCTCGCACTGTTGTTGTCTGGGCCACTGCTAAAAGGAGGAGCCTGAGCCACATGTTGAAGCGCTGGCTTATTTGATGGTGAGTCAACTTTTCGATTCCAGAGGCTTCCCATTTGGAGGGAAAAAAAGGCTCTAATTTATGCCTAGGTAGGAGTTTAAAATGCCCGGAGAGTCCCTTTATGTATTTCCTACGTAGGTACTGGATCCAGCTGATAATTCCCTCTTTTCAAGTGTCTTTACCAAAATTGCAACCCCGCATGATTTAGCTGCTAGATAGTATAAATATATCATGAGTAGGGCAAGCGTTTTGCTTCATTGGCTGGAGCGCCCTAGTCTACCTAGAAGTGCATGAATATGTTGCTTTTCTTTGTTTCTCGCGTCCGTGCATATAGTCACTGACCAGCAACATCTAAGACATGCCGCGGTAGTCCATCGTTGGAGTAACTGCTAACTAGTAGTAGATAGTTTATGTAGAATGGAAATCTAAGCTGCAATCGTACAAGCTTTAGTTAGTAGCCCATATAACCTTAAGATGCTGCAACACGTATCGGCCATGAAGGAAAAGCTATTACGCAAACATAGCGCTCGCAAACAGTGATTGAGAAGCCGAGTAGTTAAACATAAGCCCTACAATTATGCATATGCGTTGCGAAGTCGATCTATGCTCTCTTCCGTCTCTAATAGTAACTGTTTAATATCATGTCATCCTTACGCTTCGTCGGGTAGATATACAGTTATGTAGACTATAACTGGCGATCATATTCTAAAGACCGTGAGTGAAGCGAGTCTATAAAGAGACCAAGCTATAGCATTGCAAGAGTTGATTGGTTCTTCTGTGTACTAGGTGGAACTAAGAGCGATATATCATTGGCTCTTTGCTTGATATTGTTCGGCCAATCATGGGGCTGCAGTCCGCAGTATGATGTCATCGACACCAAGCGAGGGGGTACACAGAAACATTTCTTTTCCATGCAATACGTATCCAATGCACTCTCTATACAGTAAAGCCCTTGAGAGGCCCATAATTTCTCCATATCGGGATATTCTCTATATCAAATTGGTTGGAAATCCTGTGCACTCGCTTACAAATATATTAATTCTATTAAGGTTATTACAGTGGGGTGCGAAAGTCGTAGATATTAAAGCGAAAACTCATTTGTAATTTTTTATAAATTTACCTTTCTTTTTTAGTAATGTCTGAGTGGGAGAGTCCGGAGACGTGTCATAATCATTATTAATCGTCCTTGATAGTTACATAGTTGAGTTACTTGCTATATAGATCATGACTAGAGCACGCATTCCATCTCACGATTCAGAATAGATCAGAGTTATTCATTCAATCAATCTTCCACATCAACAATCTTATTTACCATGTCTCATAATATACTCATCACTGGCGCCTCAGGCTACCTAGGCGGTTCTTTACTCGCCAGCTGGAATCAAGCCAATCTCCCTCCCTATCAGAAGCTCTATGCCTTGGTCCGGAACGAGGAGCAAGCCAAGGCAGTCAAAGAACTGTACGGCGCGGAGCCGGTTCAGATCGATCTGAACAATGAATCCGATATCAAGCAAGCCATTATCAGCCGCGATATCAACATTGTTTACTGGATGATCAGTGCATCTGAGATTCGTGTGCCGAGGATCATGATCCAAGCGCTCGCCGATGTCAAGAAGCGTACTGGAACGGATGCGCATTTCCTATTCACAAGTGGTGCCAAGGTTCTCAGCAGTCATACGGGGAGTCCAAATGATCGGCCTCTGCTAGATACTGACCCGGGGCTATACGAGCTTCAGAGGACCGCGGATGGACCCCAGCCGTTTCTAAACACAGTACGACCTTCGCTCTTCTTGATCAAATATTATCAACTCATATCTAATATTATGTGTTTTTACAGGGCGCCAGAACAAACGCTGAAGTTATTGATATCGCCGAGAGCTATGGTGTTCGAAGCTACATATTCGTACCTTGCATTGTATATGGCAGAGGAGAGGGATTCGGCAATCCCATCTCGATCCAAACCGTGGCTATTGTCCGAGCTGCGAAACGGATGCAACGGATGTATACCGTTGATGACAGCTCTGCGGTATGACCAGCACTGTTCTTTTCTTTTCTATTTCGTCTCCCCTATCCCACTAACGCCTGAAATATTTAGTCATGGCCTGTATGTCACTTATCCGACAACACAGCTCTGTTCCTTGACATCCTTCGTGCAATTCTCTCGGGACAAATTCCGAACTACGGGAAAAACGGATTCTATCTAGCTGCGTCTGGCTCTGTGAAATGGCACGATCTTTTCGGTGCCATGGCAAAGACCCTTGTCAAGCGAGGCGTTATTCATGATGAGTCTCTCACACAGGCAGATGACGCTGCATTGGAGCAGATGGCTCCGGTATTGCAGGGCGTGAAATCGTTCGTTCCTGCGGAGATTGGTGGCCAGTAGGTTATCCCTTTCTTTCTTGGGTTGCTTTAACATTTCAAGTATTGCCCTTCTGACATTAAATACTAGTTGCACACTTACGGCCGTTAATGGTCATGCCATCGGTTGGAAAGCAAAGTATCCACCAGAACATATTTTTGAACTTGCTGAGGAAGAAGTTGACTGGGTTTTGGCGCATTCTTGATTAGCGTAATGAGTTGTATTCAATGCGTATAATGATTTTGAAAATTCATTAAGAGAATTCGCTTAGATTAGATGGTTAGTACTTATGGATTGATAGTTTATATCGAGGAGAAAGAACATGAGGCAAAAGATGTGTACCTAGGAAGGCCTCACGAGGAGGAGATATATTTTTCTCATGAGGCACCCTAATAATCGGCAACCGCAGAAAAGGTTCTGCACTACATCGAGGATCTCAACAGTGTACATAAGGTTGTTGGGGGTGCGGTTCGGGCCGTGCGGTAGATCGCTACTATTTTTGTATCTATATTCATTACAGATCTCAAAGAGGGAACCTTGGTTGGTCTAAATGATAGCCTGGACGTCTAGGGGACGGCTGGGTCGTAGATATACGTAATATAAGTCTTCTCTTCTGAGCTTGTTTGAGACCGTGCAACTTAGGCAGTGGCTTAGCATAGAGCTAACTTACCTATAATGTAGGATTAAGACTGCCACCTATATATTTCAAGGCAGTAGCATATCAAAAAGTAATGTTTGCTCCTAACCTACTTGAGTTGGTCTAACGATAGGTGTTAGTGTTACATATCCGACGCTCTTCGGCGGCAGGGGTCTATGCCCCCTTGAGGCTTGCTCAGATAAATCCCTGTGATAAGGCAGGGCAGTCTGCTCCAGATATATGCAGGAACTCAACTATGCTGCTACATGCATGGGTATTGGATAATATTGTGAACGAATGCCAATACATTAGGGCTAACTGAATCTTACCAGAACAGGCCTCATCTGGCGAGCATAACACCCAACCAACCAATCGGTCAGACCATTCTATAGACTAACCTCCCCGGGTTATAGCTCTACAAGCCTCAAAAATCTGTGGCAGACCAAAACCCGCAGGTTAAGTATCAAAGCCAATGGTTTGATTGGTCAGTCGCCTATACTAACCGCAACAAAAGCTCGGCATGTTTTCAACATTACCGAACCGGGAAATATTTATATGAGCCGTTACAACCAGCCAGCTTTCGGATACGGGGCTGTAGAAAGAAATGATTGGCAAGGAGATGAATGCGGCTCGGCCGTGGCATATAATCGTCAAGTTTTCTTATGTAAATGAAGACTTAGTGCTATGAGTATAGTAGGCGGGTCTTGCCTTGGCTACAGGCACGCTGGCAGACAGTCAGAAACTAGCTGCTACTAGGAATTAAAGGGAGGCTGAGAAATTGAGGCTTTGGGATTCTGAGCGGGGAATGGATAGAGTTGTATAACTCCTTTTTAAAAAAGGTCAATTGCCCATTACTATAGTCGAGCTTCCCCTGTTTAAACGCCCACTTTCGTAATCGACAGAGTCAGACTGACTAAAGGACAAATACAGATGCGACCAGATGCATTCCTTCTGTTATTACTGGCTGCAACGGCTGATACACAGTGGGCTTTTCTACCTACATGTGCTGTATGTTGCCTTCCAATATCGTCTAGCCGGTGGACTTGACTTCCAACGGAGACAGAGACAAATCTAATTTAAATTGCATAGCAATCATGTCCCCAAGAAGGAGTCGCCGCAGCGACAAACTGTGATTCCACCGATTACAAGTGCTTGTGCGAAACCCACGAGTTCCATCTCGTGTCTACGTGCTGTGTTCGCGCGAACTGTGATTCGGAGGATGACTCTCGTATGTCTATATTCTTTGAAGATGTGTTTCGTTTTCAATCCATTTTTATAAATGGCTGACAACTACTCTGCATTACCTAGTTGTATTCGACGATAGCCAGTCATTTTGCGATGCGTATGGCGTGGCCATCACCAAGATACCGGATTCGGAATGTACCAGTACCTTTGGCGCAAGTGTAGCGACTGCTACTGCTACTGCTACTGCTACTGGGACTGGGACTGGGACTGGATCAGGTTTGTGTATCTTTCTCAGCGGTCTATTTCAATGCTAAGACCACAGCAGCGACAGTAACCGCGGAGCCTTTCACCGTCACCAACACGGTATCCATATCCAACGGCCGAGTCACCACAGTCACATTCACATACTCCCCTTCTGCCACCTCCACTGCCAGCGCTGGCAGTTCCTCGAGCGGAGGATCAACTTCTAACAGCGACAATGACAACGGCAGCTCCGACTCCGGGTCATCCACGAGCGCTGCAAGTAACGGAAAGAATCACTCTGGTCTCAGCCAAGGTGCGAAGATAGGCATTGGCGTTGGTGCTGGGGTAGGCGGTCTCGCTATCATAGCTGGCATTATCTGGCTGAGCGTTTATTGCTGCTGTGCCGGTCGACGGCGAAAGTCACCACCAGCGTCGTCATCATCAGCAGCAACTGCATATACTCCAGTAAACACAAGCGGAGACCAACAGGATGAAAAGCCAGCTGCAGCAGTTAACTTGATGGTTAGTGACAGCAAGCCCGAATTGGATGCACAGCAAGTACAGCAGCCGCAGCAGCAACAACAAGCTCTCTCGACCTTGAGTCAAGCCCAACAACACAATCCAGCCGCCGTGCCTTCATCGGCGCTGCCTGCGGCTTACGCCGCTCCGATTTCCCCTATAGATGGCGATCGTGGTCGGACGTCGTTCGCACCAACGGGCTCGAGTGGTGGGCATAATTACTATTATCAGTCTCCGGATGGAGGCGTGCAAGAAATGAGTGGAACCTCGTCATATCGATATGACACAGCAGTTGCAACGCAGGCGGAGATGCCAGCTGATAATATTAGGCAATATGCCACTAGATACGAATTGCAATGAGCTAAGACATCTATCTCTGTACAGTCTAGGTAGTCAAATGATGATATTATTACTATGAGTTCTACATTTTATAAGTAATGTCTCATGCAAAAAAAAAAAAAATGATCATCTCATTTCATACATTTCTTTTCTTTGTTTCCCCCCGGGTTCTCCTCTTTTGTTTTTTCCATTATCTGACTTGTCTTATCAAAATGAGAAATTCAATCCTTTACATACGTTCTCGCCTCCGAGGAGCAGCACGAATAATGTTGTCCACGCGCAGCAACAGCTCTGCAGCCTCCGAGGCAGAGCTGACAACGGCCCTTTTGAGCTTGTATGCCTCTACCACACCCAATTCTGCCATGTTGCCGATCTTATTCTCAAAAAGATCTAAACCAGAGCTTGACATACCCTTGCTGATGGCTTGTCGGAGTCGCGCAACGAGGTCCGAGCTGTCTAGACCGGCGTTATCCGCGAGGATTGTGGGGAGTTGTCGGAGTGCGAGGGCAAAGGCATCAACAGCTAGAGAAAATCAGCTAAATAAAGGAATGCCTTAGTTTGATAAAACTCACCAAGCTGCTTCTTTCCCGTGGTGTTCTGCGCAGCCTGCTCAACAGCTAGACTCATGGTCATCTCAGCACAGCCGCCGCCAAGCGTCACCTTGGGCTCTTTCACGGTCTGCGAAAGAACGGCAAGGGCATCATGAAGAGACCGGTCTGCTTCGTCGAGAAGTTGTTCCGACGAACCGCGCAAGACGATGGTGCAGGCTATAGCAACTATCAGTCCCGACACGCTTTTAGAAAATAAAATACATATTGGGGGAGACATACCTTGACCCTTGGCTACTCCTGAAAATCGAAGTAGCGTATCTTCTCCGATAATAACCTCCTCGACAAGATCGGCGTGGCCGAGTTGGACCTGTTCTGGGTTGTCGAATGTCGATGCAATCTCGGCGCCTGTGACGAGGGCTAGTCGCTCGACACCTGCTCGGTATTAGTACACATTGTACCGATTGTTTGGCTACCACAGACTCGCAACGTACCGTCAAAATCTGCGTGTTCAATGCTGGCAATTCCGGCTTCACTGAAAAGCTGCTCGGGCCAGTTGTAAATGAGCTGTCGGTTGACGCTAGAAAGACAATTAGTTAGACCGTGACCTCATTCTGTGAAGATCAGAAAAGTCCTTACAAGCAATTGATACCGTGTGACTTGATTTTTTCAACCTTTTGGCGCATCTTTTCCCGCTCGGCCTTCTCTAGTTCAGCGAGTTTACCTGTGCCGTCAACCTGTTTGAGACTCTTAGCACCATGACTTGCCATGCAGCATCTATAAACTCCTTACCTTGACACGTGCACCAAAAATCTTAATCTTATCCGTGTCCATGGCTGTATTGGCAACCATGATCTTGGCATTCTCCAGACGTTTTGGCTGGTTGACACCGAATTTCTTATCAAGAATAAACCCCTCATCCAAGTAAGACTCGGAAAGCTTGCCACCGGCTTTCTTGATGATCTGAATGTGACTGAGATCAGTAGAACCCTTTAATCTGAGCACAGCGTCGCAAGCGAGGGTCGCAAAGTGATCGCGGTCCTGAGCGAGAACCTTGGAGCTAAGTGTCGTGCGGGCGATGGAGTGCAAGTCCTTGCGGAAAGCGATCGGGTCGTTGCTGCGGTCAACAGCGGACTTCTCGAGGGCTGCAAGCGCGGCTTTGCTGGCTATCCGGTATCCGTCTATGATTGTCTGGGGGTGAATCTTCTTGTCCACCAGGATCTCGGCTTGTCTGAGCAGCTCGGCCGCCAGCACTGCGACAGAGGTGGTTCCATCGCCGACCTCGTCGTCTTGAACCTTGGAAATGTTGACTAGCACCTGCAAGAATGTCCCTTCAGAAAATGTATTTCCCACTTGAAGCAAGATATTTCGTTACGAACCTTAGCGGCGGCGTTGTCGAGGGCGATTGACTTGAGGATGGTCGCTCCATCGTTGGTCACCAGAATCTCTCCGGTCGAGCTGTCACAGAAACGCTATATCAGTCAAATATATTTGGAGCAGTTTCAAGCAACCAGACATACGCAGATTGTAATATTTTGTCCATTCCCTTGGGGCCCAGCGTCGACTTCACCAAGTCTCCCACAGCAATAGCACCCACGAAAGCGGAGAGACGAGCATTCTCTCCCTTCTCCTCCACCACGTCATCAGCAAAGATCTGAGTGGGATTATTGCCCGCCATGGTACCGGAATGTGTGCGTGTGTATATGTATGTATGTATGTGTGCTGCGATAGCGAGAGATGAAGGCGGGGAGTTGTTTTGATAAAAAGTTCGGCTGGCCCGTGCGTTTTCGTCTCCGCTGGTCGACCTCCTTCAATTATTGATCGAGCCTTGCAACTCACAGAGCTCTGCTTCTATGACTGCGCCAGCATAATATTTGTATAATCAGCTAAAATGGTTGCTGCACCTGAAGAAAACCCATCACAGCCTGTCTCCCACAAACGGCCATTGTCTGAACTGGCAGACGTGACGCCAGGTATGAACGCTCTCTTGTTAGAGTCTTGAACGTCTCCAGCTAACTTTTTTCCATTCGCAGGAGAAGCAGGAGCAGGGGAAGACTCCTCGTCAGACACCGACGATTTCGGCCCAGCTCTACCCTCAGCAGCAGCGCCGAAGAAAAAACGGCGCAAGCTAGCTTTCGAGAGGGTCTACGTGAACGCACTGCCGGCGTCTCAGCGGTATTCGAAGTCGCTCATGCACAGGGACCAACTGTCGTATGTGAATGTCACGCCTTCGACCGACTTTCTCATTACGAGCTCGATTGATGGCGTCGTCAAGTTTTGGAAGAAGATGGCTGTTGGGGTGGAGTTTGTCAAGGAGTTCCGCGCGCATGCCGGCGAGATTACGAGCACGACTGTCAGCGCGGATGGGAGGAGTTTTGCTACAGCTGGGATGGATAAGACTGTTAAAATTTTTGATATAATAACCTTTGGTATTTTCTCCTCGCTGCCCGTGTCTATGTGTGTGTGCGTAAGTGTGGCTACTGATGCAGTCTAGATCTTCTTGCCATGTTTGATCTGCAATTCACGCCGCGATGCGTCTGCTGGGTGCACAAACGCGGCGCATCGCTGCCCCTGCTTGCCGTCACAGACGAAGCCAGCCCTTCTATAGTCATCTTCGATGGTCGAGGAGAGAACCGCGACGCCTTGTACACTCTCACCTCGATTCACAGAAAGCCCGTCGTCGCGCTCGCATTCAACAATGCCTTTGACTGCGTCATCTCCGCCGATGAAACCGGCATGATCGAGTACTGGCGCCCATCCGACGACTTTACAAAACCAGACAATGTCTTTGAGCTTAAATCATCTACGAATCTGTTCGAATTCCGAAAGAAAAAATCCGTCCCGTCGTCCATCTCGATTTCGCCATCGGGCCATCAATTCGCTACTTTTTCATTTCCTGACCGACAAGTGCGAGTATTTGATTTCCAGTCAGGGAAATTGTACAGGACATACGACGAATCGATAAGCACCATTACCGACATGCAACAAGCGGGAAATGGCCTCGAGCGACTCGAAGAAGTCGAATTCGGGCGCCGAATAGCCATCGAACGCGATATCGAGAACCCAATTTCCCGACCCAAGATCAACGTCATTTTCGACGAATCAGGCCATTTCATCATGTACGGCTCTCTGCACGGCATCAAATGCATCAACACCTTCACCAACCGCGTGGTGCGCGTATTCGGCAAAGACGAACCCTTCCGCGCGCTCAACTTAGCCATATACCAGGGCCAACCGCAGAAAAAGGGCGTTGTCACCGTCAGCATGGCAGCAAGCGCCAACCCGCTCCTCCAAGAATCCGAAGAACGCGACCCGATCCTCGTTTCAACGGGCTACGGCAAAGTGCGCTTCTACATGTTCACCAACGAAGACGAGATCTCGAAATCGACGCGCGACGTTCAAAATGAGAAGCCGCGCGACGGCGACCAGTCCGCAAGGGACTCGGCGGCATCCAACAAGAAGGCCGAAATCGGCACATCGGCCACCCTGCACACTACCCTGGGCGACATCCATCTACGCCTATTCCCGCAAATCGCGCCTCTAGCAGTCGAGAATTTCGTCACGCACGCGCGCCAGGGCTACTACAACAACACCATCTTCCACCGCGTAATCCGCAAATTCATGATCCAAGGCGGCGATCCGCTCGGCGACGGGACAGGCGGCGAGAGTATCTGGGGCGGCGAATTCAAGGACGAGATCACGCCCAACATCAAGCACGACAAACCGTATACGCTTAGCATGGCGAATGCGGGGCCCAATACGAACGGATCACAGTTTTTCATTACCACGGAAAAGACGCCCTGGTTGGATGGGAAGCATACGATTTTTGGGCGTGCGGTGCAAGGGCTGGATGTTGTGCATCGCATCGAGAATGTGAGGGTGAAGAAGGAGAAGCCGGAGGACGATGTAAAGATTGTTAGTATTACTGTATCTTGATCAAACCACAAAAAGAATAATACACGTCTGGGAGAATATTTGATTTGTACGGACTATATCCCTTGCATGCTGCATGCATTATGTACGCCCCCAAAACTCCGCATTCCTCGAAATAAGCTTAAACAAACAAACTATTTACACCGTAGCCCATCTGGGACCACGTTCCAGCAAGGCCAATCCAATCAAATACAAAAGAACAAAAAGGGACACTATCTGTCAAGCTGTTGTTTCATAGGCAACAATACAACATACATACAAACATGTATATATGTATATAGTATGAATGCATGCAATCAAGCTATTCTCATTCATCATCATTGATCGGACTGACAGGGCTAAGATCATTGGATCGCGCAGTCGGTCCGCGCTGCAAGGTATTAGAGGATGTTTGGCGTTGCAGGGTGGATGACGACTGAACGCTCAATTTGCTGAGGCGGTTCGGGTTGGTGTTACTTCGTGGGGTTGGTGCTCTGCCTGCAGCGACACTTCCACTTCCACTTCCACTTCCACCACCGGTTCCTATGCTTGATATGTCTGTGCGGGATCCGTTGTTTGTTGCTGCGGTGGTAGTGGTAGTGGTCATTGTGCCGCTTTTGTCTGCTGCGGCTGCAGCAGCAGCGGCAGCCATAGAATTCCTGAATGCCGTGCCGTCGACGGGGGTGATATCGTTAAACTCGCGAGTGTGAGCGGTGGCTTGCTGGGGGCCCCACATTTGGTTGTTGTTGTTGTTGTTGTTATTATAATTATTGTTGTTTTTGTTGTCGTTATTATTTACAATGCTCGAGCGTATCATGGACATGCTTGGCTGCCGTTTCGATTTGGTGATGGTGGTAGCAGCAGCAGCGGACTTGAAGCCAAGGGCGATATTGTTGCTGCTGCTGTTTGTTGTTGAAGGGTTGTTGATGCTGTTGGCTTTGGCTTTGGACAGGTTTCGCAGACTGCCCGAGAAGAAGCCGGCCGCACCTGGATCGACTCCTGGATGACCCCCCGAAGCAGTGATATTGCGGCGGTCGTCGCCGTGATAGAGGCCGGGTCGCCTGGCGTCGTGACGCTTCTTGTACCATGTTCCAAAGACGCCGAGGGCAGTGAACGCGACGGCCAGGACGATGAGCATGACAACCCATCTCCAGTGGGTGGAGAACCTGGATATAGTTAGTCAGAAAACAAAGTACAGTCGTAGTGACATTGACAACAAAAAAAAAAAAAAGAAAACCAACCAGCCCGGCGAACCGCTCGATTTCGACGAGCTGGACGCCGATGAAGTCGAAGCCGCGGCAGCTGTGCCGGTCGTAGTCGTAGCCGCAGCAGTATCAGTTGCGGTGTTGGTGCTCGAGGTCGTAGTGGCGGTTGCAGTCAGGGTCGACGTGTATCCGCCGGCGCAATAGCCATTGTACCAATTCACCAGCAACTGCTGGTCGGCAGCGCTGCACGAGGAGCATACGGCGCCAGACGAAGTGAGACTGGTCAGGTAGGACGACTGGCAGAAACAGCTGATGTAGGTCTGGTCGTTGGTGACGGCGGCCTGCGGCGGCACACACACCGTTTGGGCTTGCAGCAGGGCGTTGCACGAGAGGCCGCATTCGGGGAACGTGGACGAGGCGGACGACGGCAGGAAGGAGAAGGAATCCGACGAGGTCTGAGCGGACACAACTGCCGACAAGAGAGACACGGCGAAGAGCAGTGTCTTCCTCGCCATGGTCGTAGAAGCGAGCGGTGCAGGGTTGAGATGGGTTGGGTGGTTTGGTGGGAGCCGTTTCAGACGGTGCAGAGGGGGGGGGGACAAAGGAACGAGCGACTAGACGGCCATTTCGAGTGGCAAGAGAGACAGAAAGGGAAGGAAGCGAATGTGATTGATGCAGAGGAACAGTGCTAGCAGGCCATTCTCGACGTCTGCCAGGCACAGCGAGCGAGTGAAGACTTGAGGAGGAGGAGGAGGCTAGGTCGAGGATCAAGAACTAGCCCAGCACTAGTTATACGATACTACTAGTAACAATCAAATCTCGAACAGCAACGGCACGCACCGTCCGCGTGCATCGACCGGAGCAGGATCAATGTTACCTCATGAGCGATCGTAGCAGCCGGGACTGACATCCGCGCGAGTCTCGCTGATGGTGATGGTGACTCTGTCTGCTCCTTGTGGTCGCTGAGCCAAGTTCATGCGTATTGGTCATGTCACGATACGGGAACCAGTGCTCCTGATTGGCTGCCGCTGTTTTGGCTTTCCCGCACAGGGAAAAGCCTGGTTCCGCGCGTTCCGTTTGCGTCTTCGGTCGGTTTGGATTGATTTATAGGGAATCAACCGCAGCATAGCCGTAGCTGCAATGATGGGGAATTACTTGCTATTTCCAGTTTCGATGCTGTGATTCGCATCTGTCGCAGGGGCACTTGCTTCAAGCGAATATGTAGTATGTGCTGCCTGAGGCATGACGCTAGACCGTTCGGGACTAGTCTGGATGTGTAGTCCAGTGACTCCAGTCTCAGCTTCAACTGCACATTTCTATCGCAATTCCCAGGTAAACATGGTTGGAATTACGCACATACTACCCTATAGAGCATCTCAGCAAAGCTAGGCCGCTTACGTGCAGTCGAGCTATGCTGATACGCTTATCTGTGGGGTATGCAGATGTCCCACCTGCGTCAAGAGTCAAGACTGCTGCTGCCACCAGAATGAGATGAACTCCCCGAAAACCGTCAATATTTGAGCTCAGAAGACAATGGCAGACGTCCCTCATATCTCAAATTGGGTTGACGGCGCCTTCTCATCGCCCGCCTCGGCTCGCCTGGTGGTCGTCAACCCTGCAGATGAGTCCCCCATTGCGACCGTCGATGCCACAAGTCGGGAACAAGTGGACGAGATAGTGTCGAGGTCACGGCAACATTTCAGCAGCCCTAGCCCGTCTTCATCATGGGCACAAGCCGACGCTTCAGAACGGTTTTCCGTGCTCTCTCAAGCAGCCACTCTCCTGCGCGCACGCATCCCCGAATTCGTCGACCTGGAAGTCCGCCAAACCGGCCGTCCAGTGCGCGAAATGCGCGCACAGCTGGCCCGCATCCCCGAGTGGCTGGAGTACTTTGCAGGCCTGGCACGCGTGCACGAAGGTGCCGTGACGCCATTCAAGGGACCGGTGGTCAACACGCTGGTGCGTCTTCCGCTCGGCGTCGTCGCTCAAGTCACCCCCTGGAACCATCCGCTGCTCATAAGCACGAAAAAGATTGGAGCAGCGCTTGCAGCGGGGAACGTCGTGATTGTGAAGCCCTCCGAACTAGCTCCGCTATCAATCTTGAAGATGGGGCCCCTGTTCCAGGAAGCCGGTCTGCCAGACGGTACGCTGCAAATCATCTGCGGCTACGGTCGAGACACCGGCAAGTTCCTATGCGAGAACCCTTCACTAGCCAAAATCGATCTCACAGGCGGCCTTGCGACATACCAAGCCATTGCGCCAGCGGCCGGACGCAATATGATCCCCATCACGGCGGAACTGGGTGGCAAGGCACCAGTGTGTATTTTCCCGTCGATGGAAGTCGAGCAGGCAGTGAAGGCAGCGCTGTTCGCTAGCTTCATTGCCAGCGGCCAGACCTGCGTCACTGGCAGTCGCCTCCTCGTTCACACGGATATATACGACGAGTTCGTGGCACTGTTGACGCAGAGAACCAAGGCATTGCGCGTCGGCGATCCGACTGACCCGCGCACACAAATCGGCGCTGTAATCAACAAAGCCGCCGTCGAAAGGTGCGCGGCATTCGTCTCTCGCGCTTTAGCGCAAGAGAACGGCAGCAAAGCAAACCTTCTTTGCGGCGGCAAGCCCACGACAGTAAACCAGCGCGGCTTCTTCTTCGAGCCCACGCTCATCGAGACACACTCGAAATCAGACCTGGCGTGCAACGAAGTCTTTGGACCCGTCATTGCGATCCTGCGTTGCAAGTCTGAGGACGAGATTGTCCGCATCGCTAATGCCACCGAGTACGCCCTGGGGGCTTCCGTGTGGACCCGGGACTTTGCACAGGCGCACCGCGTTGTAGGGAAGATTGAGGCGGGGATTGTGTGGGTGAATGGGCATCATCTGAATGACCCTTCTTCACCGTGGGGTGGGTTCAAGGCGAGCGGTGTCGGGAAGGAGAATGGCCGTGAGGCATACGAGAGCTATACGAAGGTGAAAAGCGTCGTTTATAACTACGGAGTTCTGCCGACGTGGTTTGATGATGAGGAAGGGAACGCCAGATATGGATAGTTTAGTTTATACGATTGATTGTATATAGCCATGCGAACAAAACTTCATGCCTCTTAAGTTATATGTAGACTGAAGAGAGACAACTAAAACGTAGCAGCCAGCCGCATCGTCAGATAATCACCGCTGTTAATAGGCGCATACTTCTTCTCGCTCTCCGACCCAAACGTCCCTGGCAACGCCTCGATGGTCCTGTCGAAATTCGGATTGCAGAAATACGCCACACTATACCGCCGCGGATACATATCGCCTGAACCTGAATCCGGAGGCTGTACTACACGATGATTCGTGCTCTTGATAGTATCATTGCTCCATCTCGCCAGCAAATCGCCGGCATTCACAACAACCGTGTCCCTGATGGGCACCGCGCGCACCCACGTATCGCGCGGCGACTTGACTTCCAACCCGCCAACATCGTCCTGGAACAACAGCGTGATCGAGCCGTAATCCGAATGCGCGCCCGCCCGCACAGCGTCCGGATTGTCCGCAAACACCTTCTTGAGCACCGGCGGATAGTGCAGGAGCCGCAGATTATTGTCCGCGGCATCCGTGAAGCCATCGAAAAAGCCCTCGTCATATCCCATCCCCAGCGCAATCGCACGCATAACCTGCATATGCAGTTTGCTGCAGGTATCGTGGAACGCGCGCATGGTCGCAGTGAAGCGTTTCCCGTCGTCATCGAAGTGCTCCGGCCATTTGTTCGGCATGCCTGCCACCCCTTCGCGGCCGATTTCCATGGTCTCCTTGTAATCGGGGTTGGACGCGCGCAGGCGCAGTATCTCATCCGGGTCGGACGACTGCGTGACTTTCTCGCGCCCGAATCTCACATAGCCGCGATTCGACTGCGGAGTGTCCCAGCTCAGCAGCTCTTTTTGCGCTTCGGGTCGCGCGAAGAAGTGCGCGGATTCGTTGAAGATGGTTTGTACGGTGGAGGGCGGGATGCCCGTGTTGGAGAGATAGAGGAAGCCGCTGGTGCGGAAGGCATGGAGGATGGCGGCGGCGGTGGCTTTTTTGCTGCTTTCGTCGTCGGTGAGGAAGGGGGAGAAGTCGATGAGCTGGCTGGAAGGTCAGATATGTTCTTTTCACCATGATTGCGGAGGGATGGGATTACCGGAATAGTCAAATCGTCCTGCTGTACACCGGCGATGCCATGCTGCTGGGTATCAGACATGCTGTATATTGACTAGTGTGTAGTTATTACTAGGGCATCAAAGAGTCAACAATAGAAAGAATAGAGCAAGAGCAACAGAAGCATAGAAACATACCTATCAGCCCTTATCTACACATGGACTCCACCAAAGAGGGGTTGCTGCATGCACCCGCGACAGTCGCATCGGTGGCTGGCATGTTATCAGTTTACCAGTCAGTAAGCAGCACCGATGAGGTTATTTCCAGATTCAGCACCGCTTTAGGGCTACTGTCCTGCCGTGGCTTGCCGAATGAGGAAATTCTCTCTGAACCGCAACTAGGGCATACGTCATGATCAGTAAGTTATCGTAAAACATCTATCAGATTGTGCGATACAACGACGTAGCTACTGACTGACACCATAGCTACGACTTGACCAAGAAGAATATACTATATATACATGTCTAGAAGCTATACCCTCCGACAAGCCTTTTGACATCACCACAGTTAACCTACAGCTGCGTTTTTCTCCAGACAGCCGGCCAAACAAGTATAGTGCTAACCAGCATTGCAATGGCAACCCCCATGTCACTCACGGGGATCCATCCCAATAAAGACCCGGGAATTGTCAAGTTCAAGGAATCAATCACAAGCTGGTTCAAGAGAGACGCCGTCGATGGAATTGGCTCCGGGTCCTTCTCCTTCTTTTCATTGACATCTGTAGAACTACTGTGAGGACTCGGTTCTGCGGGGCCACGGAGAAGAATCAAAGTAGTTCTGACGATTGCTATACAGATGGCATAGAACCAGAACTTGTAAGCCTCGAGCAGAATGGGCGTGTACCACGAAACAAAGTAGATATTCATGTCATGTAGCTGCAGTCAAAGTTTTAACATCGTGCCATAATTGAAGTTGAGAGATGTGCTTACTTACCATGGTCGTTCCCTCCAAAACAAGATACATGCCCAACGCGCTGGATTCGGCCAGCTCCATCATTGATGTCCTCGTTCTCGTAGCACTTCCTGCAGCCAAAATTTCTTGAACATTTTGGAAACAACCGAGAAAATCGAAGAAACGAAGATAGCGCCGCGCTTAGAGGAGATCGTCAATACGGAGTCTAGTACACTACCATAGAAGAAACAGCAATCAACCTACCTAGTCCTATCTGTGCTGCCGCAACCGAGCATCTCATAAGTATAGCATGGTCGAGATCTATCCCGGTCGCTATAAGAACCAAGGCATGGAGCAGACGGAGGCCCAAGTCTAGGCCGGCGGTGGAACTGGTGAAGCTGGCCAGTTGCTTAAGGCGCGAAACGGGAGACAATTGAGCCATTGGACCAAGCCTCGTACTGCTTGACGAAAATGACGAGATAGCAATAGTGTATCTCTCGAAAATTGCCTGTACTGCTCTTTTCAAATGAGAGCACACAGATTCCCCGCGGGAAAAAGTATGATGTTGATGCTCGAGCGCAATCGATAAGGTCAAGATAGCGCCCCGTACTAGGGAATTTGCCCCGTCCCAAGATAAGCGGCTCACGTTACCCGATTAGGTATTGCAGATTGTAGTCAAGTATGTATTAACTAGTTGCATGGAGTTAAGAACCCTGCAACCCCATCCTTTTGTCCACTTTCAATGCTCATACAACTTCCTCCGCTTCGTTTGGTTTCCAAGGCACTTCTTCACTGCAACGGTCATGGAATCTCCGAAACACTCCCTGCAGGACTCCTCCAGGACGATGAAAGGCCTCGGCCACAGTATGGATGAAATCCACGATAGCGAGGAGGGGATGACCTCCGAGCTTCTCTCTGCTGGCTCTGAGAATCTCCATCGGACTCTGGGGGGAAAGGAGATCCAGATGTTGGCCGTGGGGGGCGCTATCGGAACGTGTGAGTTGTACCAAATATTACGGGAGGGGGTATGTTCTAAGCATGAAATATAGCTCTATTCGTACAGATGGGCGCAAGCCTGACAAAGGGTGGTCCAGCAGGCCTCTTCCTGGGGTTTGTTTTTTATAGCTCTGTCATCTGGTCTGTCAACCAATGCTTCGGTACGTCCGCCCTCCCATTTTCCATATTCGCTGTGCAACCGCTGAAAGAGATACATGTACAGCCGAAATGGTTACCTATCTCCCGATCGCTTCACCCTTTGTTCGTCTAGGTGGATTCTGGGTCGATGATGCTTGGGGCTTTGCGATGGGTTGGAACTATTTCTTCCTTATGGGTAAATGCTAGCTAGTCCTTGAAGCTATTATTATGGCGCGCCCCCCCCTGACTGAATTGTCCGCACTCAGCCTTCGCCATTCCGTATGAAATCACGGCAGTTAATGTGCTACTTACCTACTGGACCGACCAAATTCCAGTAGCCGCAGTCGTGATGATTTGCTTCGTGATCTATGCGTGAGTCTCCTAGCCGAGCTAGTCCAGTGAAATAAGAAGAACTTACTTGAGCATTGTAGTGGACTCAACGGGCTCGCAGTGCGGTACTTTGGAACTGCCGAGTTTTACCTGGCTATCTTCAAGGTTTTCCTTATGCTAGGACTTATTGCCTACACTTTTGTCACCATGGTTGGTGGCAATCCAGATCACTGGGCATATGGGTTTACTTATTGGAAAAACCCGGTAAGCCAAAAGCCAATACTTTCATCCTTTCTTGCTACTTATTTTTCTTCAAGGGTGCATTTGTCGAGTACCTCGTTCCAGGAAACACCGGACGCTTTCTCGGATTTCTTTCCTGTGTAGTCCAGGGCTCTTTCACGTCAGTTGACTCATTCTCAATGCCGCCCTCCGTTGCTATGTGGCTGATTTGTATTATACAGCATGGTCGGTCCTGAATTCATTTCCATGACTGCTGGCGAGGCAGAGAACCCTCGCAAATTGATGCGAAAGGCATTCTCTTCTTTCGTCTGGCGTCTTCTCATCTTCTTCCTTGGTGGTGCATTGTGCATTGGGATTGTCATTCCTTACAATGACAAACTGTTACTCCGATATATTGATGGAACCGAGGGCAGCACCGGCGCTGCGTAAGTCCTCCATGCCACTGTCTATAAGATAGGCTATTAACTGTGCCATAGCTCTCCGTACGTCATCTCAATGGTTCACTTTGGAATCAGGGGTCTCCCCTCCCTGGTCAACGCTCTAATCCTGACCTCTGTCTTGTCATGCGGTAACAACGTCGTTTATTCATCTATCCGTACACTCCACGGCCTAGCAGTGGACGGGAAGGCGCCAGCAATCTTTGCAAAGTGCAACAGGTTCGGTATTCCGGTTTACTCGGTTCTAGTGGCGCTTGCATTCTGCCTCCTTTCCTTGCTGCAGCTCGGAAATACGTCTGCAACTGTCCTTAACTGGCTTGTGGGAATCTGCACTGCTTCCTACCTGATTAACTACTTCGCCACGGTCATAACTTATCTACATTTCTACGCCGCTCTTAAAAAGCAGGGCGTCGACCGAAGCACTCTGCCGTACCGGGGATACTTCCAACCCTATGCGGCATATTATGCCGCGGTAATGACATTTATCATAACCCTTATTCTCGGTTACACTGTATTTATCGACGGTAATTGGGATATTACAACCTTCTTTACCTCTTACCTTATGATCGGCTTCTTCATCGTGGCGGTTGTGTTTTGGAAACTCGTCAAGTGGACACGCTACGTTCGTCCTGGCGAGGCAGATCTTCAGCTTGGAGAAACGAAAACCCGAATTGATCTCTATGAGACAATGTATGAACCACGCCAGAGGGGCAAGGTTTCGGGTTGGTTCAATAGCTTGTTCGAGTAAATTCAGTGGCAACTCGTGGTGGAGTTTGAAACTTCGGTGGCTGTCTCTGCTTCATATATTTGTATATTTTCTCTTCTCTTTATGGTGGTTGTTCTCAGATTTAGGGAGCGTTTGATAATCTACTAGTCACTTTGCACAAATACTGCTAATGACTGTATATCTAAAGATATTGCTCTGGCGGGACCCTCACTGTACCTAGGTAGGTAACATAAATCTATTCTGCTGAAACATTTGATTGCTTGCTATGACCCTAAACTTGTCATGATATACTGACAATCACATCCTCCACTAATATATAAGATCGTCTGCATTTAAAATCAAACTCGCGAAAAACAAAGGCTCTCGCACAAATTCATCGGCTCGAATAAACTCATTAGTCGTATGTGCTCGGTTGAGATTTTGCACCAGATTCACAGGCGTGAACCTGTAGATGTTCTTGGTTAACCCCCAAAAGAATTTGGTATCGGTGTTTGCTGGCATCAAATATGGAGTGACAATAAGCTCGTCATCCTGGCCGAGAGGCTTGAGGACATTCTTGATGGTGCCGGATAAGATGCCAAAGGACTCAGCGTCAACAGGGGAAACGGGAGCTGGCTCCAAGGCATCAACTCCAAATAGGCAAATCCTGCGTGCCACTGAAGGATCGCATGATGAATGGAAACCGCGGAATACCATTTCATGTGTTTTCGCAATGGTCCTGACAAGAGACTCATAATGTGCCTCCACCTGAGCAATACTAGTTTCAACTGCAAGGCGTAGGTTGACCATGATAGACGCTGTTTCGGGAATGGCATTAATCTTAATACCACCGTTGATCTTTCCAACGGATTGGCTTGTCTTGAAGTGATATCTCATATCACCAAGAGCCTGGTCCAACTGCTCCTGGCTGATATTGCCGTCTTGGGCAACGGCCTTGCTCAATGTGCGGCGAACAGACATTGGGAAACTCGACTCAGGAGCATAGACGGCGGCACACTCTAAGAAATTGAACATAGGATTCTTCGGAGTGATCTTTCCTAGGAATGGGTTGCTCTCAATTGCGACGACGATTTCCGATAGGATGCCAATAGCATTGTGATCAGGCGGATTACTCGCATGACCACCGGTCGATGAGACATTGATTCCAACATCTAAATACCCCTTTTCTGCGATGCCAACCATGGCAAAGGATCGGTTGAATTCTCTCTGGATGCCCGTGGACCCCTCATCCATGATCAAATAGATCCCGTCGTGTCCGTATTGTTCGAGCAGGAAAGTTGAGATTGGCCTCCCGCAGTTCTCACCACTGATCTCTTCGTCACAGCCAAATGCCAGGATAACTGTCCTCTTTGGTTGGAACCCGCTTTTGATCAACAGATCCAGGCTCTCGATGATAGAAATCAGATAGCCCTTATCGTCAGTTGCACCGCGACCCCAGATGCTCTCCCCATCGTAGTGACCCTCATATGGCGGATGTGTCCAGTCTTTGACATTCTCCATAAGTACAGGCACCACGTCTTGATGCGCCAGCATGAGAATTGGCTTGGCCTCTGAGGGTGGAACGCTGCCTTCCCATGTCAGGATCAGCCCATGTGTGTTAGCATGATCCAACTTCACGCTTTGAAACACAGTGGGATAGACATGTTTGAGATAGTCCTCCACCTGGAAAAATACATCCCATCTGTTGTCTTCGCCAATGGGTCCCAACTCATCGTAACTTTCAGATGGGATCTGAATGATTCCCGAGAGCTTTCCGATGACTTCTCGCTGGTATTCCGCCGAATCGACCTTGTCGCGAACGTAAGTCTCGACTCGTTTATTCGTTGGGGACAGCGCCGGGCCTTGATGGCATATCTCGGACTGTGCCTCGGGGCCGTATGCCTCTAGCCAAGATAGGGTAGAGGAAGAAGATGGAATGGGATTTTGGAGGAGGGCGATAGACACTACAACCAAGGCAAACGCCACGAACCAAGCTGTGTACAAGCTCTTATCTCGACGCTGATTAGCCTTTTCACTCATTGTGGTGATAGATATCTTTCCACTGGAAGAGATATTCCAAGACAGAGATGAGGAATTCTTGAGTCATATACGAGTTTATCTGGAATATTTCATTTTATAGTCTGGAGATTACTACGAGCGTACCGCAAGTATCATTTACATTTAGCAATTAACTTCATAGCTCTACATCCTCTCTCCTTATCAGTGTTATCAGTGTTTATCCTCGGGGAGAATATGGCGCTATCTAAAAGTTAGGGTTTGCTAGCATTATCTCGTACTAACAGATCTAGAATCCTAGTCCGCCTAAAGCCCTATTTAGGAACTTTACTCCGCCATAAACGTCTTCCCCGCTTATCAAATAATATCATATTGTCTATATCATGATAGCTGAATATAATTACCAGGCACAGTCTGCTTCATTTCGCAAGATGCACCTACCGCAACTGCTAAAATGTCGAATCTCAAGGCACCTTCTTCACCATCACCAGCTACCAATGATTTCCGCAGTGACACGTTCACCACCCCAACGCCGACTATGTTGGCGGCGATGGTGAACGCCTCCTTTGGAGACGATGTGTACCAGGAAGACCGCATCACTACCGAATTCCAACGGGAAATCGCGCGATTGACTGGAATGGAAGACGCCCTCTTCATGCTCTCTGGAACAATGGGCAACCAAATCGGAGTCCGTGTTCATCTCAACCAGCCTCCGCACTCGGTGCTGTGCGACTATCGCGCCCATGTCTACGCTGAAGAAGGATCTGGGTTGGCAGTGTTGTCTCAGGCGATGGTGACACCCGTCCATCCTGCCAATGGCATATACTTGACGTTGGACGATGTCAAGAAGTGGACTGTCCTGGGAGACGATGTACATACGGCACCAACAAAGGTGATCAGTCTCGAGGTGACCCTTGGAGGCGTAATAACCCCAATGGAAGAGATACAGAAGATCTCTGAATTCGCACACGCCCATGGTGTCAAGGTTCATTGCGACGGGGCTCGCTTGTGGAATGCCTCTGCCGCGAGTGGACATTCTGTGTCTGAGTACTGCCAATATTTTGATACTGTATCAATGTGTGTATCCAAGGGACTCAGTGCACCGGTTGGTGGAGTTCTTGCCAGCACCTATTCTAACATCAAGCGGGCCAGATGGCTAAGGAAGCAGCAAGGAGGGGGCATTCGACAGGCTGGTGTGCTAACTGCCCCAGCCCTAGTGGCACTACAGGAAATCTGGCCAACGATGAAAGACACACATGAGAAAACCAAGAAACTGGAGAAAGATCTGGCAGCGTTGGGTGTTGTGCCTCAAATCCCGGTTGATACCAATTTCTATTTCATCGATGCTAAAAGGTCTCACCTAGATATGGGCATTTTGTTGGAGCAGTGTGGAAAATTCAATGTGAAACTTATGGATGAACGGATTTCTCTACATCATCAAATCAGCGACGAGGCGATTGAGAGCCTCAAGGCTGCCATTGCTGCCGCAGTACAGATAACCAAGGCCTTGTCGTCTGGCTATGTCTCTAAGGCTACATCAGGTGGCTATTATATCACCTCAAAAATGAATGAATATAGCTAGCACACTATTTACAAGGCTAATGTTGACTGTCAACCTCCTTCAATTCTGCATTGTGTAAAGTAGACTTTTTCAATGAGCGCATTTAGAGCTAGGCGTTGTTGAATTTCTCAAACTCGGATTTCTGTTTTCAAATAGTCTTTGTACTATAGGCCAGTATATAATGATGGTCTAGGATGCAATTCCATGGATTTTACGTTGATATCAAAGCATCCATGAGAAAGGAATATAAGGAAAGAAACTTGAAAAGAATGAAAAGGTCTTAGATTCTAAACTAAGCACTTTGAGTTGGGTCACCCAGCGCAGCTGCTGGCTGATAGTCACTAAAATCGTACTCAACATCATAGTCCTCCTCGTCGACATCCCCGTCACTGAGATCGACGTCTTGAAGGTTCTCTCCATCGTCGACCTCATCGGCGGTAAAACCATAGTCCTCCTTTCGGATCTTTTTCCAACTAGCAATAGTCTGTCTTCGTGTAAGATGAAAGGGAAGTTTGGACAGCGGCACGCATCCTTCCTGAGTCACTTCCACCGTCTGGCCAATCGAGCTGGCAGTATCGGTCGCTTTGTCCATCAGGATAATATGGATGAAGAACACCATGCCACACTGAGCAACCACTTTCTGGCCTCGCACAAACATGGGATAATCCATCCATGTAGGCGAAAAAGTGGCACCCAAACTATAGCCGCAACTATTGAAGCGTTGATCCCGGAAGCCGTTCTCGTCTGCAACACGAGCGTAAGCTTCGAACACGTCGCCAATCTCTTTGCCAGGTTTAAGTGCGGCCATAGCTGCCTCCATTTGAAGTACATTGACCCGGTGCATTTCTCGAGCCAGCTTGGTAATTCCGCCGATAGGAATCGTGCGCATTAGACATGCATGATAATGCTTATACACTGCGGCATGCTCAAGTGTGAGCTGGCGGTCAATCTTTTGCTTGCCCGTTGAGTAACGAGTGAGAACAGCCTTGTTACCAGATACAAGGATATTCTCATTCGCAGGATCATCGCCGCCACCCTCATAGACAGTGCCGGTGATTTCCCTCCACAGATCACCTTCGTAGGCACCGGGCTTGGCCAGCTTTAGGGCACGTACGAGGGCAAAGTCGGCCAGATACGCGGCCTTGCGAACCTTGCGCATTTCCATCTCCGATTTGACAATGCGAAGCTCGGTGAACAGATCACTGTGATCTACCAGTACACAAAGGCCATGAACAGCTTTTTCCAGCGCTTTTCCCAGGCGGTGGGTCAAAGAGCAGGAGTCAGGTTCGTAACCGATTCGCTTAGATGGCGAGTTAATTCCAAAATCCTCTAGGACCTTGGGTACCAAGGATACGGGGTTGCTTCCAGCGTTGTCAGATCGGATGAGGATGTCCTTCTGCTCCAGAGTTGACGTGTAGAGAGCCTGGCGCAGATCGGGGATTCGAGTGATCAAGCGCATGGACCCATCCTTGTGGAAGTACATGGCTTGGAAGAAGACGTAGCCAAAGGTATCATAGCCGGTCAAGTAGTAAAGAGTCTCTTGCTTGGTGATGAGGAAGCCATCAAGCTTCTCTCTCTCCATGAGCTCCAGAGCCCGGCGTTGACGCTCTTTGAACTCGGCCTCTGTAAAGTACAGGGCTTTCTTGAAAGGCTCCGCTTTCTTGATGGGTGCCATATTTGTGTGAAGAAGAAGAGAGTAAAGAGAGGTTGTGTGTTCCCGAGGTCTCCTGAGTTGTTTGTTGTGAAAGATCTAAGAGCGCTCTCGTTTACTATATATACCCTGCCAACTGGCATCACTATAAACTAACATGAAACGTAGCTCCTCAGGCCCAATTTGGAGTATTAGCCCGAGCGCTTTATCTCCACCAAGCTATGCAAAAACATAGCATTATCAAAAGTTGACTTTCCGTGGGGAAGCTGATATGCCGAATGCGGGAATTTAGTCCTCGTTGATTAGGTCTAGATTTTGGCTATCATGCAATGGGCCTAAACATGGGGTATGTTCCCATATAATTACAGATAGGAGCTGCTTTAATCTCAATAAACGAAAGCCCAATCTAACAATCAAACTGCCTTTGTGGGGGGTGTGCTATACAGAGCAATGCCTCTAGTACTTGCTTCCAGCATCGTAGCAGCTATCGGTGTGGCTCTTTTATTTTCCCATGTCTACTGGACGTTGATCGCAAGTCCTCTAGCAAAAATTCCAGGCCCAAATTGGTTCTTCCTAACCAGCCTAAGACTCAGTTGGGAGGAATTCCAAGGTACACGCACGCGGACAATCCATCGTCTTCATCAACAATACGGCCCAGCTGTGCGCATCGGCCCCAATGAAGTCTCATTCAATAGCCTCTCGGCCTTGCGCCAGATCTATGGGGCCGGCAGTCCTTTTGGACGGCCATCAGCTTTTTACCGCATATTCAGTATGTTCGGGCAGACAAGCTTGTTTACGTTTTACTCTTCGTCCGACCATGCGGCTCGAAAGAAGATCATGAGCCAGGTGTATTCCAAATCGGCTGTCCTGAAAAGTCCGGTAGCCGACTCAATACAGTCAAAGACCAAGCAGTTTATAGATCTAATTGAATCGGATCCGCGAACGGCGTCAGACTTGGTCAGGAGCTTGCATTTCTTTTCTCTTGACAACATGACTTGGATGGTTTTCGGGGCTCGCGGAGCCACGAAGGCTTTAATGGGGGAATTGTCGGACAGACAGATCCTAAGTGACATTGAGGAGCCCACCGCACGCCGGTATTCATGGTTCCAATTGCATCTACCACGATATACTCGCTTGGCCATGTCCTGCAGCTTCTCACATCTGAGATCAATCATCGATGCGTTTGGCCTTCTCCCAGGGAAATTACCGTCAGCGTATAGTGGCCTCCAAGGTTTTGCCTTGGCGACTTTTAACACTCATCGTTCGTACAAAACCTCAGCATCACCGCCAGCAAGCGAAAGCGGTCTCATGATGAGATTGCTGCATGCCAGAACCGGCAATTCTGGGGGGAAACCTCTCTCCAACATGGAAATTGCCGCAGAGTGCGCTGACAATCTTGATGCCGGGCTCAAGACAACAAGCGATACATTGATGTTTGCTCTCTGGGTGCTATCTCTCCCCCAACACCGAAGATATCAAGAACGCCTTATAATGGAAGTGAAGGACGCCAAATCTGTTCGGGCAAGCGATATGTCGATTTTGCCAGTGGATGTATGCGATCGACTGCCCTTCCTTGACGCTATAATCAAAGAAACATTACGTTTATATGCTCCTATTGCGGCATCCCAGCCACGGACCAGCACTCAAGATACTACTATTGACAGTTACCACATACCTGCCGGCACAGTTGTCAGCTGCCAGGCATTTTCTATGCATCGGAATCCAGCTGTCTACCCACGTCCCAACACCTTCGACCCCGATCGATGGCTGGCAAGCGACGCAGAGACAGCTGAAATAAAACGCTGGTGGTGGCCATTTTCTAGCGGAGCAAGAATGTGTCTTGGAATGCAGTAAGTCGTAACCTCTTCTTTTTCAACTACATGTCTCCCTCACTCACACACTCGGAATGCAATAGTTTTGCGCTTGCAGAAATGAAGACACTGCTAGCAGCTATCTATCAGACATACTCGACCAACTTGAGGCCGGATTTTGAGAACTTATCCCCGACTGCAACTAGCCGGTTTGAACTGGTATATGATGACTCGTTTCCCATTGCCGAAGTTCGTTTTATCTCACCTTAGGCACCATTCTTTGATCGTAATGAATATGGAAAGCTGACCCGCGACTAGGACAAGAAATGTTATGTCAGTTTTGAGAAGCGATGAACATCCCCGCTTGATGTTATGCTGATTCATAAATTGGCGTGAGGCTATTATATCTATCGGTAGTCAGGTACATAACACGATCCACATGTAGCTAGATTCCAATAAACCTAGGTAGATAGATTCGACCTGGCAACAATATTCTAAAATTTAATTCTACTTTGATTCTTCAATTACGCCCATATCAATGTCTTTTGAGATCCTCGATGTAGTGCAGAATCGTGCCTGCGGATCCCGATTAGGTTATGTAGTGCGCCTCATGATGAGGAGATATCTCCTCCTCGTAAGGCCTCGCTAGGTTACTGAATACACACTTCTTTTGCCTTATATTTTCTCTCATCAATAATGTCTAAGCAACTTATTATGTTTGCCAGCGAAACTGTCTTTCTATGAATAATGTACACAATCTTCAACTCGGCTTCACTTTCCAAAATGCTACTGTTGCAAAAGAAATCAGTCATTCGACAATAGCCACATCCTTCATACTTTTACTAGTACCAACAGGAATTGACATCTTACTACATGTACATGTAGGATTAAGCCATTTGAATGGCTTAAGAACCGGAATATTGCATCATAATATGCAATTTTCAGTCAAGGATATTTAGGGTATTTATGAAAACGGCGCATCCGTCAGGCGACAGACCACTGCCTTGATCTGAGTGTAGTTTTCCAGGGCGTAGGAACCAAGTTCGCGCCCAAACCCCGATTGCTTGAAGCCGCCAAAAGGCGCTTGATAGGAGATCATGTTATAGTTGTTGACCCATACGGTTCTTAGAGTGGTTAGCCACTATTTTATTGTGCATATATACCTAGGTATAGGGGGAAAGATAAAGCGTACCCAGCTTTGAGAGCATTAGACATGCGTATAGCCCGATTGAGGTTGGACGTGTGCACACCAGCAGCCAGCCCTAGGAAGGTATTGAGTAAGAGGAATTGGTTTGTTGAGGAGTTTAGATCAGGACACGTACCATAACTGGTGCTGTTACCAATCTTGATGGCATCTGCCTCATCCTTAAACTTTTGCACCACAATAATGGGTCCAAATATCTCTTCTTGGGCGATCTTCATGTTTGAAGTCACGTCGGTAAAGATGGTGGGCTGAATAAAGTAGCCCTTGGTACCGTGGCGCTCACCACCTAGCGCAAGAGTAGCACCCTCTTCCTTGCCATGGTTGATGTACTCCATTATACGGTCGAACTGGAGCTGGGAGATCTGAGGACCTTGGAATGTATCGGGAGCAAAGGGGTCGCCAACCCGGTTCTGAGCAGCACGCTCTTTAAATCGGGCAATAAACTTGTCGTAGATACCTTCCTGTACTAACAGGCGCGAACCGGCACAACAGCACTGTCCATGATTATAGAAAATGCCGTAGTTAGACCAGGAGATAGCATTGTCAATATCAGCGTCATCAAATACGATATTAGGTGACTTGCCGCCTAGCTCGAGAGAGACTTTCTTCAAGTTACTCGTAGCAGCAGCCTGGAGGATAGTGCGGCCAACTAGAGTAGAGCCGGTAAAGGCGACTTTATCAATTTCCATATGGCTTGATATAGCGGCGCCAGCAGTACGACCAAAGCCGGATATAACATTAATGACACCGGGCGGGAATCCAGCTTCAATGATTAGTCTACAGGCATATAGAGCTGAGAGAGGGGTCTGCTCGGCGGTTTTCACAATCACCGTGTTGCCAACGGCGATAGCTGGGCCGACCTTCCAAGCCCATATCAGAATTGGAAAGTTCCAGGGGATAATTTGACCACAAACACCTATAGGCTCGTGACGGGTATAGGTCAGGGTCTCGTTACCGGTATCGATTGTCTGACCGATGATTTTATCTGCCCAACCACCGTAGTAGCGCAGACAGCCGGCAGCATTTCTGACATCGTTCTTAGCCATGATGAGAGACTTGCCATTATCAAGTGATTCAATAGCGGCAAGGGTCTCAATGTCGCGCTCGAAAAGATCAGCCAGCTTGGTGAGCATACGACCACGGTTTGAGGGAGTCACCTCAGCCCAGAGCTCGAAGGCCTCGCGTGCGACTTTGACCGCGATATCAACGTCCTCTGCGGTTCCCTCGTGGACGGAGACGATTGGCTTTTCGGTGGTTGGGTTCACAGTCTCGAAGGTCTTGCCTTCGAGGCCCTTGACAAATTGATTGTTGATGAACCTAGAGTTCATGGATTAGTCACGGAAGACTTTATATATAGTCATTTAAGAGCAAAGGGGAAAGATAGGGGACAGACAAGCCCAATGGCTGTTCAAATGTGACTATGGGAGTCTGGATGCTCGTGGACAGCGACATGACTTGTTCTGGAGAGATAGATCGAGAGAGATGATAGGAATGACGAGGGAACGAGGAAGTCCACGGGAGTCACTTCTTATACCTAGGTAGATGACAAAAGACTCAGTGCAGGGACCGAGCTCGGAGCACGGAGAACTACAACAACTCGGTATTCCTAGTTACTGTAACCACGTCAATTTGTCTAACGATTTCCAGGAATCTTTCCTCGGGAAAATCCTCCATTGCTGGCGGAGGGGGACTTGTAGATCTGATTTTGACTGCTCGGGCTGGATACCTGGGTACATAGGATAGCGCACGTAGAATCATATCCGCCTCAGGGAACAGTGATGAAATGTCTACTTCCTTTAGATGCTCAACAAGGAACGTAACATGACTAGATCCATATTCTGGAAATGATGCTATGATAGCATAGATTTGCTACTTTTAGCAAGGTCTGCACGATCCCAAAGAAGAGGCTTACCATAATAGCAATAGTGATTATAGAGTTCCCGTTGATGCGTACGAGAATTACAGCAAACCATGCAAATGGAAAAATAATAGCACTACTGCATGGCGGAATAAGATTCCTAAATGGGTGGGCGGAGTAAGATACTTTTTGTGTCAAAGCGATGGGACTCAGAGATAAGCAGTAGATCCAGGCCAGTTGATAGCACGGTGCATCATGATACCTAATATCTGAGGAGCTAACGCACAGGATTCAGAGAGTGATGCTGTAGGAATTGTGCAACCACGTAAATAGATTCAAGCTAAATCAATGTCCAAGAAAGAATAAAGAAATGACACGCTGAAGCCTAATGGATATTGTGTTGATATCAGAGATAGGGCTAGCTACCTACCTATTTAGGGCAAGAGATAAGGGATGGATTACGCCAGCGGCACTAACTACTTAAGTACTAGTTAGCTAGATAACTATCAGAGACTCAAGCGTACTGCTTCACTCCAACAAGGCATGCATCAATCAATATGCGAGTGACTAAGGGCTGTGCTCGCTGTCGCCATCGCCATGTTCGCTGCGTGGTTCCTGTCGGCGCCTCCTCATGCTCTTACTGCGCACGCTTAGGCCAGCCATGCCATCTGGAACCGCGCTTCAAGTTCCGCCCTGTCCGCCATATATATCAGCAGTGTGATAGTGCTCCCACCCGCTACGACCTTGTCTGGGATGCCCAGCAGGTCTGGGTTGGTGTCTCCAGGCCAGGTATGGCTCCTCTCTTTGAGGCGACAATAAGGTTTGTTTAGTAACAGGAAGATATTCCAGTCACTTTTGTTCCGGAGACCGACGGCTTCACGCATGAACCACCTGAACCGGAGGAGAAGGACCAGGAGCCCGAGTTATCATATCCATCCCCAGATGAACCTATCCAACTGATAGCCCCAAATGCGGCTGTGTCTGTCCCTAGTGATATCTTTTTAGATAGTACCCCCAGCCCTGGACCAGTCGATGCCTCGACACTATCCCTACGAGAGGCATTCTTGATCCGCTCCTATATTCAAAAAATCGCAGCCGTGGTGAGTTTTGTGATTTAATGATGTAGCGTGTGGTCTAACGGCAGTAGGCGGATATCTGTGACCCCCAGTCTCACTTCAGCACCGAGGTGCCGCGCCGAGCTCTTGAGGAGCCAATGCTTCTAAAAGCTCTCCTAGCACTCGCTTCCAGACACGATGCTATATTGACAAATAACAGCGACTGCGAAGCGTCAGCCTTTCATGGGGAATGCCTGGAACTGCTTATCGTCGCCCTCAATCAGCCGCAGGAGAACTATGATGAAAATCTCCTTATCACCGTAGTGGTGCTTCGGTTCTACGAAGAGCTGGAAAGGAGTACCGATGGGAAATACCACCTCCTTGGATCTAATCGTCTGCTGAACCTTATGTCTCGATCAGCGTCGTCTGGGGGATTGGCCGAGGCCGTGAGCTGGCAGTTCCTGCGCCAGGCCATCTACTCATCTATAGTTCAGTGCGAGCCAATGCAGCTGGATATGCAGAATTATGAGCGATCCTCGGTCTTCCACCGCGACGATGACGCGGCCTACGCCAACGTCATTATCTTTTTATGTGCATGCATCATTCAACAATGCTGCACCGCGCCAGGATACGCCATTGACCGGAAAAGCTGGCAGCGCTTGGCACACTCTGTGGAGGAGTGGCATCGCAACAAGCCGAGGATTTGGCACCCACTGCGCTATGAAGCCCCTGACCTGTCCGCAGATCGACCCTTTCCTGAACTATGGATTATGTCGCCCCCGGCCGGTCTGTCTGTCTCGCTTTCAATTCTCCAGATGAAACACTAACTCTTCTAGTGGTCGGTTTACAGTATTACCACGCTTCTAGCATATTCCTCACCTTGTCTGACGCACCACCGCAGCAGCTGACGGACTATGAAATATCCCGAGCTCGACTAATTGCAGAAGTCTGTTTTCAACGTCACCCCCCTGTCAGTCATGTTGTATTGCTGATGTTCAAAATAGAGAAAGATAGCCAGTCACGTAGTTACGGCCATTGGACTATCATTATCCAATGAAAGCGTTCAAAGTAGCTATTTCATTGCCTCGCATCTCCTTCATCGTTGTAAGTCATTTTCTTGTTGAGAATCCGGGGGGAGCTTTCTGATACCATACATAGTTGGATATTGTCTGCGACAGCCCGCCGAACAGCGGGGAGCACTGAAGTTTCTGTCTCGTGTAGAGAAGAACCTCGGGTGGCGCACCTCGTGGATTGGGCAAGAATTGGAGCGCCAGTGGAGTGAGTTGGCGGTCGTTGGCTCCAAGGTTGATTGATCCCAAAAAGCTGGCCACTTCTAGCCAGCTTTTTGCTCCGCAATCTATTACATATGCCTAATTGCACTTCGGCTGAGCAATACTACAGCCTCGACATGAAGCTAATGTAGAACAACACTATCACCGGCCATTTATAATCATCATTTTTATGGATAAATCCCGGGAGTCAAAGTGATTGCAAACACGGAGGGATCTGGTGTCGGTTAAATGTTGCTTCACTGGGCCCCTAAAGTGTTGATATCGAAGGCCTCACCTGCTTGGATCTAGTCCTAGTGGTAGGTTTTCTATTCATTCCTAGCTCTAGAATGCACTTCACAGAAGTCAACGTGCTAGGGTTATGGCTGGCAAGATGCTGGTGTTATCACCAGATTTTTTTTTTTGTTATACGAATGTCAGTACGATAATAATGTTGTGACGGTTGCCTAGCACGTCCTAGCATGAGGATGGTTCTCCATGATAGATTCAAAGATAAAATCTTTGCTGCCGGATTTGTGGATAATGTCGCGTGTCTCCGCGTTGAAAACTGTCTGATGAATAAATTGAAGAACTTGCTATCTCCTCGAACGGTCTCTAAATTGACAGACGAGATGCCGAACGCCATTGCATCCGATCCAGAGGGAGTTTGCGCATTGCGTTATTCGGAGGTGCAACGTCAGCCGTTTTCAATGCGAGCTCTATCTACTGCTGACTCTGCATTTGGCAAATTTACTATCGGAAGCCACCCCCCAGTCTATCAGGGGCGTCTTCTCAGATTTTTCCGCAAATAGCGCAGAGTAAGCCAGTTGTACGTCTTCCAGGTGGTGCTGGTCAAGGAACAGATAAAGCATAACCGTTGTTTCTCTTCCTTGTTACCGCATTTCTCATGTACTTGGTTGCTTTTTCAACATCAGAAGCTTAAAACATGCTATATTATCCATTCTCTAAGTATTCATGACAACTTTGAGTCTAGTTATTATCCACTTTCATGTTTAAAACATGTTCCTTCTAGCTTTGGAATCATCTTACCCGGCAAACATTCTCTCGTGACGACGTTCGAAGGGAGACTGAGGTTATCCACCATATAGGGCATCATATCTGGTTACTCTCAGGAGGTCGGTAATTGTAATAATACTCAACCCATGACTTTCTTTTGTGGACTCCGGGACACGTTCACTCACCTGCGGTTTCTCAAACAGGAAATCAGACTCAAAAGACTATTACATTTTAGGGAGGTTAACTTACGGTGAGCTAGAGATCTATTACCGGACCAAGAGTAACAGTCATGTATCAGATAACGTAGCGCCGTCTGGGCGGTATTCCAAATAGATAGGATAGGCTGATTAACACACAAAAGGGAGCTTGGATGTCTGTCCATACGTGCAAAGAAGAGAAGAGTTGATAATTGCCTGATTAGGAAAAGCAGGACGCACTAGTCCAGATTCGCAATAATCAGCGGCTGATGATTGATCAGCTTCAGCACCTTTTACTCCTTCCTCCACGTCACCCCAGGTTTGACCAACGTTGGACTGTATATTGTCCGGAATCGTCACTAGCCCTCATGAATAAGGAGTACATGTCATCGCAGAATCAAGGCTCACCGCTGGGGGCGAAGACCGCGGTTGATAGTGCTCCCCGTCGCCGGCGATGGGCACCGAAGGTCCGAACAGGATGTCTGACTTGCAAGTGTGTATATCACGTAACAACTCACTGTTCAGCACATTCATACTAATGATTGCGATCATTCAGGATCCGCCGAGTCAAATGCGACGAGGCTAGACCGAGGTAGGTTGTCTTTTCGTTTATGATGATGCGGGATTGACTAAAATCAAACCCTCCAGCTGCGGAAAGTGCCTGTCAACTGGACGCAAATGCGATGGCTATGAGGACGAGGAGAAAGAACTTGACCTTGTTGACAGCACGAATGCAAAAGCGGCCAACGGTCGTAGTAAAGGCCATCATCCATATAACGCAGTCATCACACAACCGCGGCAACAAAAGGACACCAGCTCAACAAGGCTTTCGTCCTCGCCATACTGCGTATCATGGATACCGTTTTACGGTGGTGAGCTGGAGAAGAAAAACTTCGACTTCTTCCAGTCCGTAACGTCCTCCAGCCTAGCTGGTTTCCATGGCAGCGAATTCTGGGCCCGAGACACCCTGCAAGTTGCGCACCAGTATCCCGCGTTATTTCATGCTATCACTGCTTTTGGCAACATACATCACTGTTATCTAAGCGATGTTACACCATGCGACATCCCGCGCGCAACTGCCGATAGCAGTGGCATAGAGTTTGGTCTTCGAGAATTCAACAAGGCCATCAAGTGGATGTATAAGCTGATTGCGCAGGAACAGATTACTTTCCGAGACCAGCAGGCTATTTTGACGACGTGCATCCTGTTTACTTGCCTCAGTACGCTCCAGGGGCGGCAATTACAGGCGTTTATGCATGTCAAAAATGGAATGAAATTGATTCAGCACTGGCGTCTTAGCCAACAACACATATCCGAGGCAAAAAAGAAGATCGTGGATATGCTATTGTTGATATTTATTGGACTAGATACTCAGATACGTCCCTATATTAGTGGCCAGCAGGCTCTTCTGCAGTGGGGAGACGAGGATATTTTAGCTTCTTCATCGTCGTCGCCGACATCATTTAATAAACTACAACCTTTCCAGTCTTTGTTCGAGGCATATTTTGAATTGGAAGTCATTTTTAACAAACTTCTACGATTGAATTATACCGAATACTTTTCTGAGCAATGGCACTTGGAAATTCAATTCTTGGTCTGTCAAAGCGACATATGGGATGCCCGGTTTTCCCAGCTGCTGTCGACGATGGCTTGTCCGACGACTTCTGAGCTGGGCAGTTTGAATTTAATTCGGCTTCGACGAGAGTACGCGCGGTTTATTATGTTTCCCTTCACGACACACAGGGGAAAAGGCAATGTTCACGACGAACTATCGCCGTTATGCCTAAAAATATTGGATCTTGTCCAGAAAGTACTCGAGAGGGAGCCATACATTGAAACTTCTTCTGTCAATCAAGAGCGAGAACATCAAACTAACCACCCAATTTTCGTCCTCGGCAGCACAGTGCTCGAGATACTGTATGTAGTCGCAACTCGCAGTCGCGACCCCAGCATTCGACGTCAGGCGTTGCACTTGATCAAACTCCATCCTCGCCGCGAAGGGATCTGCGAATCCATGTCAGCTACAAGAATAGTACAACGAATAATCGACATTGAGGAACAGGGGTGTCCACGAAGTCTTGAGTTATATTCATCTTTTGCACCCTCGAGCCCTGATGAGAAACCCTCCCCGCTGCCCGCCTCTCATGCATCTTCCTCTCTGTCCGTACCAGCTTGTTCGCCACCATGCAGCAACAGCAACAGCAGCACATGTACATCCAGAGATATGTCTACTGCTGCGGTCACATCAAAGATCCCATGTTCCGATCATGGCAAGTGGGTCTGCGAAATACATAGGGTGGTCGACACTCAATATCTTCTGTATACGGAGCGTCAGCTTAAGGTGTTGATTTGGACGTTAGAGGATCGTATATTGAAGAGGAAAGGGAGCGAGATGATTGTGTCATGGTGGTAGCAATCCAACTTGATAGAATCAAAGGCAGGTCCTAACTAACAATACATGACCTTTTATATTGGCGACCAACTTGAAACATGAAGCACAAGGTCCGCTGTCCAAAGGCACTGGAATGGTATTTGATACAAATTGGATGTAAATATTTCTCTCTGTGATGGACGTGGCGTGATCAAGGCTCAACTTCGAGATTCACCTTTCAGCCTTTGTATTTGATATACTGTATACTCTCTACATCTGTCTCTTGTTTGAAATGCTAAAACCACCTCACGTCGGGCGTCACAGCCCTATAATTTCTCAGTACAATCAATATGCTTCAAAGATACCCTTCAAATTCCCAGCACCAATCCAGACGGTGATTATTCCAGCTCCAAGTCGAGTCCCCAGGGAACCACAGATTATGCACCATGATTGGAATTGTCAGCTGGCCGCTAGGATCTCCACTAATCTCGATATCCTTAAGCACGGGCAAGGCATGGGATAGATTTCCCACGATTTTTTCAATATGCGTGGTACTACATGTAATTAGAAAGGATGTTATCTCAACATATTGCAGTCCCCGGCAGTGCACCACTATAAGAGATGGGGAGAGAGGACTACACTCACAGAAAAGAATCGTTATAGTCACAGTTTCCGGTAACATCTGTGAATAGAAAGCGTATTTTCGACATATTTTTCAAACACGGGAACAGAGGCTTCTCTGAAACCAGGATGCTTTCGTAAAGGTCAATATTATATCCCAGATAAAGAGACTCGATGTTTGGCCAAAACGAAGCAGCGGACAAAAGAACACGACGGCCGTCTGGGTCCCAGTCAAAGAGCAAGCAGACATTCCGCAATTTAGGAAGCGATGAAGCCAGTTCATCGAAATCATTCTCATCAAATGATGGGAGCAATTTAATGGGGATGACATTCTTCAGTACGTATCCTTCGAACCCACGGGCAGCTTTCTCGCTTGTACGAATTTCAAGCTTTTCCAGTCTATCAAGATGCTTCAATGACATAACTTGCTCGGTATTCAGTGTGCCCGCGGTGGTAAATATGATACTGAGGGACTTCAACTCTGCCAATGAGCAAATAGGCGAAAGTACATCTTCTGGGTAGTCTCCGTCAATCCGCAGTTGCAACATCTGCAGGCGCCCCAGGTCCTGTAGAGCTGTGATAACATCAGCTCTTACAATGACGCTAAGCTCACGCAAGCTATGACATATCGAGCTTGTGTCGAATTCTTCTGGCTCATCCACGCGATATTCTAGACAAAGGCGTCTAAACGGTCTGGTAAGTAACCTCTCTAATGTGGATTTTGAAAATAGCTGGCTCATAATAGCATCGACAGTCGAGCTTTCGACATTGCCTTTGTTGAAGAACGAAAGTGCCCGAAGTGATGGAATTTCCTGGAGCCAGCAGTAAAAGTCATCCGCATTCACCTCATCGGTGATGCTGTCTAATGGCATTTTGAACCTGAGGTCTTCGAGGCGCGTGCATGTGTCTTTCAAAGCTGAAAGAAGTTTCAACGACAGCTTTCCACCAATTGAACAGAATGTTAAGAGAGATGGTTGAAGGTATGGAACAATATAGTCGATGGAATCGTTCCTTAGGATAATGCCAGGCATAAACGAGATCTTCTCAAGCCTCGGAATGCGTAGCTGCGTGCATGCCTGAATAATATCGTCATGATAGCGGTTATCGCTCAGTCCGAAAACAAGAGAGCGGACGAATGATAAGTAATTATGGGCATTTTGCGAGTTGCGAATGTGCCATATTTCTCGTAAAGTAACCTCGCTCCAGATAAATCCGACGGTTTGGGCATTCCAGGATCTGTTGACGACCAGAGCGTTCGACAAGGAGCTTTTCTCGTGGGAAAGTGCACTGAAAATGGTATGTCTAAGTTCAGCTGGTAGGCGTGCGAATAGATCTGCCATTGTGCACCTTAATGACGAGGTGGCAGGAGATCGTAGGCGGATTTACAAGAGAAGATGCCCATGGAGACCAGAGCCACAGTGCTAGATAAAGTAGATATGGTTGTGGTAAACAAAGAGTTGTGGTGGAATACCATCAAATGCCAGGCCCATGTGACACATGATGCCAGTTTTTCAAGGCAGGCACGATGCACCTCCTACTATTGTGACCTCGCAACAGGCTAATCTCAACATCAACAGACCTGATAGGTGGTGACACGTCGATATGATATTGCAAGACAGTTGTCACCGACATGCCGCTACAGAAAAGCCCTCGCTCTCTCTCTCTCTCTGTGTCTCTCTCTCTTCGTCCGCCCCCCCCCCCTTTCTCTCTTTTACTCTAATTGTGCCGGGCCATACTTGAGTGCCTAAGGCCGTAAGGGGAGCAAGGAAGGCGCTGCGCCGCGCCATGAGGCAAGAGCCACGGACGGCAGCCCCGCATTCCGTAGTTATTCTGCGCTAGTCTCATTGTAGATTAGTGCAACGGGCCTGACGGTAGTCACGGTACGCTCTTGCCGGATTCACGAATGGAGAGGGTTGATTGGGCTGAATCTGATGCCTGAACTTCTCGACAACAACAACAACTTTTTCCTTTCTGCGAGCCCAATAGAGTGTCTCTGGCGAGCCCCGACGACTGCGCAAGTATCGACTTTCATTCACTTAGCAGCTCTTGCAAACGCTGCCAGCATTCCTGGACCCGCCCGTGGGCTCTTTGTTCATCCTCCGATTGCTCTTACGTACCGACCGACCCGCCTCAAGAACGACATCACACAACAACATTCGTTTGATGCACAACCCATCAACTTCTGGTATCGTCCATCCTATCTTAGCGAAGGTTAGTTGACCCGATTAAACTGGGGTGAGCATATTGCCAATTGTGGCTGAGCAACATCTAGCCAGACAGAGGCCCCCCCCACTTGGGTAACTCGTCACATGTTTTCTATGAGTCAAAAATACATACAGTTTCAACTTCTTCAATTCAGCGCGCACAAAACCTCCACGGTACACTGAAGTTATTTCATTGATATGCAATCGTAACTATCACCAAAATGACATCTCCAACGACTTTGCCAGAATCCGTCACGCCGACTATCAGCCTTCCAACAAACGAAAACGGGTCGTCACGATCTACAGACAGTACACAGAGTTTGCGATCTGATACGCGCCGGATATCTTTTATAGGAAGTGACCCGCCGAGAAGACGATCTGCGCAGTCCAGTGGTTCGGACAGTCAAGCTGTTCCTGAGGGTATGATTAGCAATAGTGGCAGGCAGACCCCAGTAGAAGGCAGGCCACCGAGAAGAATTTCGTCTCCTCCGCCTCCCAGGTAAGTAAATAAGTGCTCTGCTTCCTTATTACTTTACACCTTTACATTGGCCTGTCAAATGCTAAAAGCTGGTTGTTTTAGCACTTATCAGCGTGGTGTTTCGTTCGATACTTTCGATAATCGAGATGCGGCCGACTTTTCCTTTACGTTAAACTACAAGCACAAAAATTACCAGGCTACCAGACGAAGTCGCACGTTTCTATGCGGCACAGATCAGAACGACTACTCGGAATTTGCCCTAGATTGGTTAATCGATGAGTTGGTCGATGACGGCGACGAGGTGATATGCCTACGAGTGGTTGAGAAGGATTCAAAAATTGCTAGCGATGCCAGCCTCGATGGCGGCAGGTATCGTAAAGAGGCGGAGAAATTGCTCAACCAAGTTATCTCTAAAAATCAACAAGATGAGAAGGCTATCAGTTTGGTTTTAGAACTCGCAGTCGGCAAGGTTCAAGAGATTATCCAGCGAATGGTACGTTGTAGAAATCTCCAGTTCGGCCGTCCAAATTTCTTCCAGCAAAAAAATGGCTTACGGGAATGTAACAGATTCGCATCTATGAACCGGCTATTCTTATTGTGGGAACGCGAGGGCGTAGTCTAAGTGGCATGCAGGGCTTGCTGCCTGGCTCGGTGTCCAAATACTGTCTTCAACAATCGCCCATTCCAGTCGTCGTCGTGCGCCCCTCTACCAAGCGTGAGAAGAAAAAGAAGAAACGTCTTGCCGACCCAACCCGTCGCAGCTATGGCAATATACTTCAAATTAGCGAACAGCAAGGCAGCGGTTTATTCAACAAGAAAGTCAGCTCGGATACCAATGTGGCCAAACTTCCCGCAGAAGAAGCAGCGGCAGTCGCTGAAGCGGTGGGGCTTCCTCGACGCTTTCAACATGCACACACGGGCAGTGACTCTAAACTGTCCACTACCAGTTCAAATACAGAGGAAGATAATACAAAAGACGGTTCGCGCACACAGACACCTCAACCGTCACCGGAAATGGAAGATGAAAATGCCGGTCGAGTACTCAAGAGCCCTGGACTAGGTAACTTGGATAGTCCACCGGAAAGCGAGAGTGAGAGCGAAACAGAATCACGAGGTAGAAATCGGTCGCCTCAGGTAGAGATGATAATGCCTCTCGACACGCAGGGGAATGATGACGACAACGAAGAAGAAGACGAGGAGGCTATTCAGCGAATTTCGAGCAAGCTACAACTAGCTGACGGATCATGATCAGTCGACAGGTTTTTGGGTCTCGAAAGACTATATTGTTCTTTTTTTTTTTTTTTCTTGCTGCATGATGATGATATGATATGACTTTTTTTTTCCCTTCTTTTCATGTTTATTCTACAACAACAACGGCTTGTTGACGCTCCTCTCTCATCTCTCTTCTACTATGAAACCAGCAAGCGATCATGGCGTGCCATTTTTTTGGTTGAAAGTTGATCTGGACGCCTAATGACAGACAATAAATATGAATGCTTCGTAAATTAATGAGACATCTCTTGTTGGTTTCTTATTCCAGGCTACCACTAATACGTATTTGACTGAATAGGGCATACATCATGTGACCTGCATCCGGATTAGAAGCCGGTGATAGATTCAACCAGGAAAGCAGAAGACCAAGCGATGCAAAACAGAAAACAGTCACAACACCCGGCGAGCGGGACATAAAAGCATGGAAGCATGCCCGGGGCGAAGTAGTCCTCGCCCTACCTTTGCGTTACGTCAACTCTGATTCGTTCGGTGGCAAGGGAGTTATATGTGTTTATGTCCGGTTTGTGTTGCTTCTTCCATTTTTGCCTCGTATTCAGGCTATTGGCTTGTTTGCACAGCGCGCCAGGCAGAAGCCGATGACTGTATGCGTTGCCTGCCGTGAGGCCGGGCGATCCATCCGGGAATGTCCACTGAGCAATAATAGAATAGCATAACTAGTTATAGTCGAGAGTGCCTAGGGACTAGGCAGTATGTAACGATGTACTCTCATCCTATCTGAAATAGACGATTCCGTGACAGCGACGGCGCTAAACCCTGTTGGACCAAGTTCCCGTCGACTCGCCCCAAGCCAGCCTCAGGCCTGCACTTTTTTTTTTTGCCTGCCCTCTCTCGCTCTCCCTCCTTCCCTTCCCTCTTTCCCTTCTCCCCCCAAAACCAAACACCCTTCTTCTATAGGAGTCTCCTCTTTCTGTTCATACAGAGGAGGTTGTTTTTGTGTGTGTGTTGTCGCAGATAACAGTCCTTGTTATCTTGCGTGTTGTTTCCTCGGACAAACAATCACGCGCGTGATTTTTCTCCGGCAAACCCTTCAAACACTTTGTTGTGCGGCCTGGGAAACCCGCAGCCACCAAGCTAGGTGAACCTATTTGGGAAACCTGGTGTCTTAGGGAAACCCCATTCTTTTTTTTTTCCTTAATATCACGCCGACACTCTTGATCATACCATATCTTCTTCTTATTCTCCATCCCCTCATTTTACTAAAATTGTGTGGAGGATTTATCCTGCTGGGTCAAGAGTACTCGGGTCCGTTTCTTCAGAAATTTTGACCCTTGTATCCAATTCTCTTTGCCCTTTATTTTTGTCGGGCGTATTCGTACTACCAGACAAGGGATTGAAAAAGAAAAGGATTTGCACCTTTTATTTTTTCGTTTAATTTTCGCGGCCAAATTTCTTTTTGGAGTGCGAAATATTTTACCCTTGTTTAATCATCAGATAGAGACACAGCATCTCGCGCTTTCCAACGTCGAACGATCTCGCCCATCCGAATGAGCTCCATCTCTCACAAGCAGCCGGGTCTTCAGTCTCAAGGACAAAGCCACTCCTCTCCGGCCGCTTCAAACGCTAAGACGTCGCCCCTGGCAAACAACGCTGCCAGGTCGTACGCGAACGCCACCAAGAAGTCCAACGATTCTGAGCCTGCCTCGGCGCACCATGGAAAATCGCCCTCTACAGCTACGAACACAGTGAACGGCAAATCATCCATGCAGGACTCCCAACCCTCGACAGTGACCATTGTCAATGGCGCTCCTTCCGTCCATGCGGATCACAGCAGGAAACAATCCGTAACTATCAGCTCTGCTGGCACCACTGGATTTATCCCAAACGGTGGCGCAGCCGGTAACCCGAATCGCAACAGTATTCAGTTTGGATCGGTAGATCAGAACTCGCCAGCCATGGGTTCTCCCGCGATGCCTGTCAGTCAACCACAGGCTGGTCTCGGTGTCGCGCAACCTGCCAATCCTCGCATTACCTCCCCTTCGACGTCCCCATCGCCGATTCCTCAGCCCGCATCGAGCGGCGGCCGGCCGCCGTCCACATACCAAAACCAGGGCAATGCGCCAAACTTTGGCAGCTTCGCTGATGCCTCGGGGGATGCTGTATGTTACACAACTGCGCTTCTGTTTTGGCTCCCGTTTTCTCTCTTTTCCCGTGTCTCTTTTTCTTGTTTATGGCTTTTTCGTTGTTATTATTTGATAGCAGTCATGCGCTAACTGCCATGCTTAGCGGAGAATGAACCAAGCGCCTCTTGGCCCACCCACGGCCACTCATCTCCGTCGCGAATCTTCACAGTCCGGCCATGGCGATATCAGCGGTCACATCCCTGGAGGACCTGGCGGACCTGGTCGCGGTGGTTATTCGCATCCAGGTGGCCGAGGCCGTGGATACTCGAACTCCGGATACCAAAACTCATACTCTACGAGCCCTAATTTCCGAGCCACACCAAGTCAACCTCGAGGAGGACCGAATATGAACGCCCCCCCGTTCCATGGTCCAAATCAAGGACGTGGTATGCCGTTCCCAGCCTCTCCTCACCAGGCCGCTCGAAGCCCGGCCATGCATAACGTACACCCTGCTACTACTCCGCAAATGAACCCCATACCCATGGCACACCCTCAGATGCAAACTCAACACTATGGCGGCTACAATCAACATATGGGACCCCAAAATGTGAGGAATCGAAACACTTCTTTTAAAAAACCCTTCAGGAAAATGGAACCCAATCAAAGAAATTTCACCAAAAAGAAGAGTTCACATGGAACCCCTAGCAGTGCCTCTTCAAACACTATACCCACGCCTTCACTCCCTCCCCCTACTCCCACCATTAACCCTTCTCATCTTCTTCCTACCGTGAATCTTGCTCCAGAAAGTGGTGAATTTGAACATTATCTAACAATGTTGAAACCTCAGAATTACCCTCATGGTTACGATCAAAACTATTATTACCCCGGCTACGCAGTGCAGCAAGGCATGTACATGACACCGCCTTCACCTCAGCCCCGACCCGGTATTCCTTACGGTCAGCCCGGTGCCTATATACCAAGCCAATTCCCCGCCGCAGGAGTTCAGCCACCAGCGCAGTCCACTCCGCTGTCGAGGAACTCTTCTCAGGTGTCTAACGATCGGCCCGGCTCGAGTCTCGGCCAGGGGCCAGCTCCAACAGCTGCTGCTACTCCAGGTCATGCTCACAATGCAAGCAGAACTTCGAACAGCCCCGCTCCACAAAAGGCACATTTCATCATCCCAACGCCGAAGAAGAGTGCTATCGTCATTAAGGATCCCAACAGCGGTGCAGTTAAGTCGTTTGACAAGCAGCCAGCATCCCCAGCACGTGCTACGCCATCACCTGTCAAGGGTGCCGCTCCCACGCCACCTCCCCGCACTGCTAGCGGCACCGACCATTCCCGAACTGAGAGCAAATCGGTCAAGACCGATGAGGAGAAGAAGAAAGAACTCCGCGATGCTGTCAGAATGAGGATCGAACAGGAAGAGGCCGAAAATCGTCGCAAGGAAGAGGACGCTCGCAAGGCAATTGAGGATCTTTCTCTAGCTGACAAGGATGACAGTAAATCGAAGGAGCCTGCCCCCACTGAGCCAGTTGAACCGGAAACCAAGGTAGAGACCGACGAGCCCAAGGAAGAAAAGAAGCCCGAGGAGAAGCCTGAGGAGAAGCCTGCTGCTCCTGCTCCTGCTCCTGCTCCTGTTGACGATGAAATTGACTTTGATGCCATCGAACGTGAAATGGCTGAGCTTGAAGCCAAGGAACTTGCCGCTGAAGCTGAGTACTACAAAAAGAAGCAGGCGGACAAGGAAGAGAAGGAACGCAAAGAGAAAGAGGAAGCTGAAGCTTATGAGCGCAACATGAAACAAGCAGAACGTGAAGCTGAGGCTGCTGAGGAAGCCCGTATTAAAAAGCTCGAGGCTGGCGGCGAAGACGAAAGCTCAAAGAAGAATGCCGAACTTTTTGCATCTTTGCGCAAGGGAGGTTTCCCTGCTACTGAAACCTCCACGCCGGACGATAGTGGCGCTGCTACGCCTGTTTCGGTTTCTGATGCCTCCATGGGACCTCCCTCCAAGCCGGCCAGTATTTCCAAGGCAAAACCAGGTCCTCTTAAGCTTGAAACCAAGGCTGTCGAACCTTCACAGCCAAGTGCAGCTCTCAAATCGCTGCACAGTGCCAAGTTCTTGGATGATCTAGCCAGTGTTACCTACCCTACTTCCATCGTCTCGCCCAACCCGGCTTTGAATGCCAATGCTCCATCCGATCGCAAATTCAAGTACAACAAGGAATTCTTGTTGCAATTCCAGAATGTCTTCAAAGAGAAGCCCACTTTGGACTGGGATGTCCGTGTCCGCGAGACCGTGGGAGATAGCGGCGATACTTCACGACCACAATCTGCTCGGACTCCTGGCACAGGCCGAACTGCTTCTCGCTCTGGAATCCCATCCAATTTCAAAATGGGCACCTTTGTGGGTGCCAACACACCTACCGTTGGAGGGGCCTCAAGAGATGGTTTCCCGACTCCCGGTGCTCGCATGCCGCCTATGGGAAGCGGTCACTTTGGCGGGCCCTTCGGCCGTCCTGGCTCTATTGGGCCTGGCGCTATGGGTAGTCGTAGCGGCTCCACGACTATTCACAATGTACCTCAGTCACCTCGCCCTGGTTCTAGCCGGGCAGGTACACGCAGTGGTAGCAGACGCGACAAGCAGGCCGTCAAGAAGGAGGAAGAGTCTAACAAGTCAATGCCGCTCACAGCCAATGTTGCTCTTAAGCCCCTCGCTGTGTCTACAACCGGTTGGAAACCGCGAAGTGTTGGTCAAGCTGCCACCGCTGGCCCAACTCCAGGCGGCGACTCTGCATACATGGCGCCTGATGTCGTGCAACGTAAGGTGAAGGCCAACCTCAACAAGATGACTCCGGACAACTTCGAGCGTATCTCCGAGCAAATTCTTGCAATTGTCTCGCAATCCAAGGACGAGACCGATGGCCGTACTCTTCGACAGGTTATTCAACTCACATTCGAGAAGGCCACTGACGAAGCGCACTGGGCTCCAATGTATGCCAAGTTCTGCAAGCGCATGCTTGAGAGCATGAGTCCGGATATTAAGGATGAGAACATTAAGGACAAGAACGGCAATGTTGTTGCAGGTGGCAGTCTGTTCCGTAAATACCTTCTCAACCGCTGTCAAGAGGAGTTTGAGCGTGGTTGGAAGGTCAACCTACCGCCTAAGCCAGAGGGCGTGACTGAAGAGGCAGCCTTGATGTCGGATGAATACTACATCGCAGCTGCTGCCAAACGTCGCGGTCTCGGTCTTGTCAAGTTTATTGGTGAACTGTACAAATTGGGAATGTTGACTGAGCGTATTATGCATGAGTGTGTGAAGAAGCTTGTTGACTACGAGGGCATCCCTGATGAGGCCGAGGTTGAGAGTTTGACAAGTCTTCTACGCACAATCGGTGCTAGTCTGGACGTCTCTGAGAAGGGACATGCCATGATGGATGCGTACTTTGGTCGTATCTCTCTCATGATCGATACTCCTGGCCTACCAAGTCGTCTCAAGTTTATGCTTATGGTAAGAGCCTAATGCTTTGAAGAATAATACATCATAAGTTGTTCGGTACTGACTATTATATCAGGATGTTGTCGACTTGCGTGCTGCCAACTGGGTATCGAAGGGTGGCGACAAAGGCCCAAAGACGATCACTGAGATTCGTGAAGAGGTACGTGCAAGTCAATTTTTTCCTCCTTTCAGTGCAGCTTTATTAACTCCTCATATTAGGCCGCCCGTGTCCAACACGAAGCTGAAATGGAACGTCTGCGTCAACAAGCCAGCCGGGGCAGCGGCCGTGCACCACTCGGCCGTGGCGACGCTCGCAACTTTTCAGGCGATTACCGCAACCAAGCACCGCCGCCAGACTTTGCGTCCAGCAAAGTTGGCAGTGATGATCTACGTCGTCTCAAGACGGCTCGCACGGCCAACCAGCCTGTGTCATTCGGACCATCGAGCATGTTCGGGTCTCGCAGCAGCAGTGGCCGCAAGAACCTAGGCCCTGGAGGCAACTTGGTTCGTGGTGGCGAGGACAGCGGAGCAAGCAGCCGCACGGGAACACCGCCTGCAGGAAAGAAGGAAGATAAGGAGGCAGCATCCTCCATCAACGCATTCAGGTTTGTTTTATCTAATAAACATGATTGAAGTGTATGTATACTAATCTTACATTCTTACAGCGCCTTGGCAAGTCTCGAGGACAACATGGCCACATCACCCCCTTCAAACCCGACGTCACCTGAACTGACAAAATCGCAACCTGTGAAGAGTGAAGGAGAAGCAGCATAGAATTGAGAAGAAGAAAACATGAAACCCAAGAAAGAAAGAAAACAGCAACAAGAAAAAAAAAAGAGAGATTCAAGCAGTTGTTCTACACATAACCATGACGGCATGAATCATTGCATAACTCGGTTTTCATTAAATTTTTCTTTTTCCATCATATTTTTCGGAAAGACAAAAGTTTGGGTTGTTTATAACATATTATAATCTTTCTTCTTTTCCTTCTACTTCTTCTCCATGTCATTCTTCATCCTCTTTTTTCTTTATTCCCCAATTATCTATTCACTTTCTTTTTCTTTCCTCCGTTGGAATAATTCGATTGACTAGCGATGTATCAATATTCAACATGGTTCTGTCGAATCTACGCGAAAGTCAAGTCCGCGATCACCGTCCGCCAATATTCCGACAGACGACAAAACGCAACAAGGATCAGGTCGATTATCCAGCCGCGATAGATGGAACGAATAATTGGGAAACAACGACAATACGAAAGAGAGATCAGAAAACAGCAACCAGGGAAGGGGGTGATGAATAATTGATACGGTCTTCTCCTTTCTTTTGCCATGTAGAATAATAATCTTTTTCTTCTTCTTCTTCTTCTTCTTCTTTTCCTCCTCGTCTTCTTCTTTCGACTTTCGAGCTTGTCTTTGTCCTTTCTGCATCGTCATAGTGAAGCTCATGCTCACTCATTTAAATTGCATTGATTCGTTGTCTTTTGTTTCTATCCTGGTTTATGGATCCTTTTGGTTTCTGTTCTCGTTTTCCCGCTTTTTCTCCTTCTGTTTTCGAATCGAATTGATTCAAGTCGAATCGAGATTGATTGATTGTTGCTTCTTTCAAGTTAATACCCGAATACATTTCTCTTTTTCCATTTCAGCTGTTCGATTCATATTGATATGATATGTATTTAAAAAAGTTTCGTCACGCCGGTTGTATGTATGTACGTTTAGTAGGGTCAAAAACTTTTTTGAGGATTTAATATGATGATAATTATATATCTAATCTGTGCTGGTCTGCCTACGTGGAAATTTCAGTAATTAGGGTGAATCGAAAAGCCCGAGGATTGAATTATTTTCTTTTTAGTATATATTAGAAAATAGCAAAGGGAAAAGAAAAGATCTATCTCGAAAAGCCAGATGCTCGTCCAATCTCATCCACAGCCCTAGCCGCAAACTCCACGCCCGGCGATGACGATGACGCGGAGTCGGAGGAGGGTACGTGGCGTTTTGAGGATGCAGTAGCAGAATTAGAATTGCCACCGAACCAGCCGCTCGTCCATCGTCCTGCTGCTGGTCTGCCTTCTTCATAATGAGTGTTATTATGGTTGTTGGTATTATGATGCTGATGATGTATAGACGCCGTAGACCCACTCAGATCATCCGCATCAATCTGGTCAAACGAAACCTCACTTGCATTCTTGCGCAGTCTCGTCTTGCTCATCGACGACGACGGGCGATGACCATAGCCATAAGCGAGAGCAGCAGCATCATCATCATCAGAATTGTTGCTACTGCTGCTATTGCTCGTAGTCGGGGTGAGTTTGCGCTCTTCTTTCTCCAGGGCCGAAACGAGGATTTCTAGGCGTTCGCGCTGCGAGGAATAGAACCGCGCTTTTTCGTTGCGTGATAGTTTCGCCACTCGGTCGGGATGTAGGATTCCGCTTGCGGAGAGTTGTTCGGCTTGCGCGTCGAGGTTGCGGGTTCCTCTTGGGCTAGTAGTGGTGGAGGAAGAGGTTACGGCGCCGAGGGCTGAGGTGACGAGAGAGTACCAGTCGCCCCCAACTACGAGGCCTTGTGGGGCGCCAGGTCCGGATGATGGCAAGTTGAATCGAGAGAGGAGTGACTGGGCATATCCAGCAGGACCGGTGGCGTGAGGTGAGACTGCTTGCTGTTGCTGCTGCTGGGGCGGCATGCCGAGGACTTTTTCTTTGATGAGATCGACTAGCTGGTAGAAGTATTGCAGACCTATGGTTTTGGCGCGCTCATGGCTACGGCCAATGAACTCCTCGATTTCTCGCTCGTGTTGCTCGAAGAAGGGATCGACATATTCCTGGAATAGGATGCGGGCGCCTTGGGTTTGGGGAAGGACGAGGTAGGACAGGAAGAAGAGACGAATCCAGCTGTAGAATGGGAACCTGGGGAGGGGAAAGAAAAAAAAAAAAAAGTCAGCATAGATATTTCTTGAAGAATGGCGTTGCCCATACCATCCGATAATAAATACCGTCCATGACTCAGCTAGCAGTATGCCCGACAGCACAACCCAGTACATCAGCCATGGCGTGAGCTGTGCAGGATTACCGGAACGAATGGCTTTGTAGGAAGCAAACGCTGGGAATAATATAGTGATAGCCGAGCTAGCGAATATGTATATTAGCCATTATGTTTCAAGAACAACCTGTGTCGGCCTGTTCGAGCTGGACGGGCTGAGCATATCGCAGTTCGGCTGACTCACGACAGGAGGTCCGCAAAGATGCCAAACATTGCAAACGTGTTTCCTTTGAGATGGTCCAGCTATATATCTCAATATCATAGATCCTTGCTTCACACGAGTAAAGCTTGCGGCGTGAAGACTGACTGCAGGACGAAGACGAAGACGAAGGTGAATCTGAAGGTGAAAGGTGGAGTGGGCAAGCGGAACGAAGCAAAGTCGATAAGAAAGAAGGCTTATCGGGAAGTGGGGAATCTTTCTTCCTCCTTTTGGCTTTTCAGCTCATCACTTTCATCGCTGCGACTTTGTGACTTGCTTTCCGCTTGCAGTGCGAGCCTGAGATGCTACGTCAAGAGTCGATGTCGACGATCTCTGCAAGGCTCTTGTCACGTGCTGTGCAGGACGGTCACATGAATTCGCCCTCGGACTGTCGAGGCATCACGCGAAGCACTGCGCCTCTTTCGTGGAATCTGAGACCACGGTGTTTCATTATGCTGCTGCGGGAAAATTCACATGAAGTCATAAACAGGTACCTGCGTATTCAATTGAGGAGGTAGGTGAGTATATAGCTATGTCTTGGCATCAGCAGCACTGCAAGCCCTAGCCCTAGCCCTGACCAAGAAGTTCTATGTTTCTATGTCCATCTAAGAATACATCTTATGCCTACGTATGTGACAAATGAATTCATGCCATTGTTCGGCGAGGTCTATATTCTCCAGGCGAGCTCTGATTGGCTCAAGGCGTTGCTTTGTTTAGTGAACGTATGTTTATAACCCGACAACAATACTCACATTCTAACATAGTCAAGGTTTCTCTGCGCAGCCCAGCCGTTCTCGAGTGGCTAGCCGTTCATCAGTCGGTCCAAGGCCTTGAAAGATATTATCTGACATACCGAGGAGCATTACCCTCTTTACTTATTCCTGACAACAGCATGGTGCCATTCATATCAGACATCTTGCTCAAGGCCCAGGTTCTCGCCACATTCTCAAAAAGGGCAAGTGGTAGAAACTAGTTTGAAAAAAACGAAAGGATCGACCAATGAGCGCCGCGCGTGAATAGCCATGCTCGATCTGGTCTAGTTCCTAAACCCAACGTCGGCCATATCATGCCAGAACTAGTTATCAAGTGGCATCAAACAAACAGGAAGATCAGTAAAAGACACATCAGTCGAATCTCTCATATATTCCTACATAAACCAAAACACCATGTGCATTGCCATAGTATCGACAGCGCACCCCGCTTACCAACTCATTATAATCGATAACCGAGATGTATGTATCTATGTTCGTCTAGCCCGGATCGATGGCTTAACACGCTCGCAGGAATACCTCCACCGTCCCACAGCCCCGGCTGCATGGTGGCAAGAGCCAAATAGCCAGGTGCTTGGCTCGCGCGATCTCGCTCGTCCCGAACAGGGAACATGGATGGGCGTGACGAGACAGGGGCGAGTCGCAGTGCTCACGAACTATCGCGAACCCGCGCCATTTAGCAGCGTTAGTCGCGGGGTAATAGTCAATGAATTTCTGACTGAGGCGCCCTCTGCACGGCGTCAGTCAAACTCGTCGTCGTCATCATCATCAATAAAGCAAGATACAGAAGAAGAACAACAGCGAACTACACGCCAGTTCGTCGCAGACATGATTGAAAGCCAAACAGCGAAAAAAGCCGGTGGCTTCAGTCTTGTCTGCGGCAAGATCGGGGAGCCGTTGGCCATCATCTCCAATCGGATGCCCGATGACATTGACGCGGTTACGTGGATTGCTGGGAAACGGGGTGAGACGGTGGGACTGAGTAACACCGTCTTGCACGATAGGACGTGGCCCAAGATTATAAATGGGGAGATTTTAATGAGGAGCGCTATCGAGGCACACGTTGTGTCTACCGCCGGTGACGGATACCAGAAAGACATCAACGTCGACGACGAAGAAGATTTGATCTCAAGACTCTTCGACGTTCTCAACACCGACTCTCTACCGCGTCTGCAAGACCGCGAGCCTATCAAGGAGCAATATATGAGCCAGCTGAAAGAGTCGATTTTCATCCCTTTGCTTGGTGACCGTGCAAAATTTGAGGCCGAGGTTGAGCAGTTGGCCAAACTGGGGTTGCAGGGTTATATGTCCGGGCTATATGGGACACAGAAGCAGACAGTTTTACTGGTTGATTATCGCGGGAGAGTGAGGTATGTCGAGCGCACGCTTTATGATGAGCATGTACATCCGATACCTATAGGGGAGGGGGATAGGAGTTTTGAGTTTATGATAGAGAGAGATTAGGCAATTATATCCTTCATTTCTTTCTTTCTTTTTTTTTTTTCCCTTGGTGGTGGTCAAACCTTCCTCTTCAACAACCCCCTGAAAAAGTCAAAGCTATTGCTATCACTCTGCAACTGCCACACTCTTCCAGTCGGTCGATCCTCCCATCCCAACTCCTCAGCCAGAAGCAGTCCATAGTCACGCGTAATGCCCTTGATACGCGCCCTGGCACCCCCTTCTTGCTCCAAAGTGACAATCTGATGCATATGCAACCAGTCGGCATAATACATATCCTCAAAATTCTTGTCAAACCCTACGCGCAGAAAACGGATATACAATTCCTCAAAGACAGTCAGAATGCGCGCAAGCAATTTCTCGAGGATAATGGGACTCGACTTGGCAGTGGCCCGGGATGCGAATTTTTCAACAATGGCATTCAGCGATGTGGTCGGGGATGCATTAGCCGCATTCACGCCGATGCCGACTACGGAAAGGTACTCTTCCGAAGAGTAGTGTGAGTTGACGAGGATGCCGGAGATTTTGGTGTATTGTTTCTTGTCTGGATGTGCGGGATCAAGGGCGTCTAAATAGGGTTGTATAAGTATGGAGGGCACAGTCTAGAATTCCGGTTGGGTGATCCACTTACAAACATCATTCGGCCACTTCATTTTAATCGGTAGGTCCTCGTATCCCTTGTCGTATTGTTTTATGCCTCGGACAACAGCCATCGCAGCGAGATATTGAATGAATACAATAGGTGCGGACTGCATCTTTTCCATGGGATGCCGAATCACGGTTGAGAACATCAAAGCGCCGGCTGGTGATACCCATACATTGGATCCACGTCCTCTTCCAGCAACTTGAACTGTCGCTGTCATTGTAAAGCCAGTGGGCAGGCGTCGAAGAAGGCGAGTATTTCTGGATTTAGCCCGAGTTAGTACTGTCTCTTAATTGATGTTGGGGGGGGGGGGACCAAGTTGACTTGCTTTTCCAACATGGTATTAGTACTTGTAACGACTTCACCGTAGATTATAAACCTTCCGAAATCAAGTACAGCTTCCCTCGATCGGGACTGATAGTGCTTTAGATGTGCATAGAATGCATGGTGGTTGAAATAGGGTGTTAGTTTAGACAGCGGCCATTCGTCGTGAACCAGGAGACGTTTAACAATCGTGTTATAATCAACGATGCCCTCGTCAGCGGTAGCACTCGATTGATCACTTGGTGGTTTCCCACTGTCTGCCCCCGCCGCATCAGGCAATGCTTCTTTCAGATCTTGCATCTGATATTCAGCATTGCGTTCGATTTGAAACGTGTCATTGACGTCTTTGAGGAATTCTTTGTTCGCATCATCACCCTCACCCTTGGTGATTGCTTCTTCCAGTGAAGACACGAGAGTTTGAGTATATTCAGGCTCGACGGAGGACAAGTGTAAGCAAGAAAGAGATGGCACCGTAGTGGTTTCTTGATTCACTTGCAAACCCAGTTTCGTCAAACACGCCTTCAAAAAATCCATCCTCATCTTGTCGTCGGCCGCTAATTGTTCAATAACTTTTTCATATTCAGGGCCGCCGGCGGATTTGTCAAGGTTGATAGCTGCAAATCTGGAAACAAGGAAGTTAGCGAAGAAGTATCTTTTTTCTTTGTTGGAACCATGTGCACCGACTCTGGATGTGGCCCCGTCAGAACAACTGATCCCTCGCCTACTTGGCGATATATGACTGCAGCTGCTCCCTTGCCAGGGTTGACAGAAAGCTCTTCGGTATAGCTGGCCAAAACTTCCACTCCCTGGTCAGCATACGCTTCAGCATCAACAAACACGCCGCCGCCGTTGTAATAGCTGTGAAAAGAGTCCGGCACCGCGTCACTCGAGAATGCCGACTTGGACACCTTCAATTCTGCCGCACGAGCACCAGCCTCACTATGATAGACAAAGCCCGCGAACGCACAGCCGCGACACGTATCCGGAAAGAAGGCTAGCTCTCGCTCGCCAACGACTTGCATCTTCTTGTCGCCGACTTCAAACTCGCATCTCTGGCTTCCGTAGTATCCGCCGGCGCAAAAGCCCAGGTATGCGCCGCCGTTGTGCACGAATTGAGAGATGCGCCGGTTGCCCTGGCCATTGAGAGATTGGCAGTAGCCCAAGTCTCCGCCACCGGGCATGACGAGCAAGGCGCATGTGGAGATCCATGGCTCTTTGACTATCATGTCTGCGGTGACGGGGATGACAGCATAGTTGGGGGCTAGCAGGCGGCGCAGAGTGTACAAGCAATGGCGGACAGAGTCGACCGTGCTTCCATGGCCTAGAATAGTCAGTGTGCAAATTAATAAGGCGATTGATTGTATGTATTTATTTCTGGACTTGTTCAGGCGCACCGGAGTAAACCAGGATGTTGAGTTTCGCCGGATTCACGACTCGTCCAGCAGACATGGCGGCGGGACGCTTATGTATTTTTTTTCGCAGGCCAGCCCAACAGAAACAAACACAACTTGTGTGCTAGAGACTCAAACCAACACAATGTCCAGCGAAGACAAGAAAGTGCTAGCCACGGCGACAGGCCCAGGCGACGACGACGAGCCCGATGACTGGTGAGTGGAGAGATGAAGAAGGAACTGTGGCTCCGACTGTGGACTGACTGCCTGCAGGGACAAGCGCATTTTCAGCACGGGATGCTCAGGTACATTCCAGCTTCTCGCGTTACTTCTTCCCGACAGGATGATAGATACTCACTCTTTTTGGTGCGATATCAGTGGAGCAGCTGAAGATGAATGACTGCTACTATGATAAAAAGGACTGGCGGAGTTGCAAGAAAGAGGTGTGTCGCCCTCGCTCCCTTTGCAGTCAAGCAGATGCTGTCTGTAGACAGCAACGACAGCAACAACAACAACAAGCGTGACGGTCTATAGAATATGGTGATAGACAGAGGCACTCCGCAGATACACTGGCTGACTGAATTCTCTATGGGCAGATGGAGGCCTTTCGAGAGTGCTGGAAACGACAGGGGAACGACGAGCGGACGGCGACGAAGAATGCGTGATGATATACCACTATTTTACTCTTGTGCTCTCACTGGTCAAACTGTACGATATCATAGAAACGACACTCTATCATTTTCCTCGTTCTTGTTTCATTTTCTACTGTAATTTGTTGCTTCTCGTCGAGCAGAACGTGGATGCCGGCGTCTGATTGGCTGGAAGCGGCAGCAACTTTCAGCCGACATCATTCATCTTCACTCTTTCTTCTGACATCTATCTCTCCCACCTCACCTCACCTCACCTCACCTCACCTCAACACCACCCACCATGTCCTCGCGAGCGCTTCGACGCTCCTTCGCAGCGCTAGATTCTCTAAACTCGCAATGCACGCGCCCATCAGCCTCAATCCTACACTCAAACTCGACCCGCATCTTTCATCGAGCTCAATCCACGTCAACATCAGGAACAACAAAATCCCCAGCTCCAGTCCCTCCCTCCAAAACAGCCACGCCAACAACCTCACAATCACAATCATCAATCGACAGAGCCGAAGCAGCCAAAAAACCCTTCCCCAGCACCCCAACAACACCCAACATCGCCAAAACCGGCCTCCTAGACCAACCCCTCGAACTCTCCCCCGAGGGCTACAACAGCGCCAACGAAAAAGTAGACTGGACGCGCAGCTTCCACGGGATAAGCGACAAGCCATTCGCCCGCGAAATCAGCGACGTGCTTCTCGAAGCCGCGAACCCGGAAGATGTCGAGATCAAGCCGGATGGGATTGTCTATTTGCCGGAAATCAAGTATAGGAGGATACTGAACAGGGCGTTTGGGCCGGGAGGATGGGGGCTTGTGCCTCGGGGAGAGAGTATTGTTACGCCGAAGACGGTGACGAGGGAATATGCTTTGATATGTCATGGACGGTGAGTCTGGCGATATGTGATACATGAAAGAAAAAAATATAAAAAAAAGAAAAAAGTGCTGATGAAAATAGACTCGTCTCCATCGCCCGCGGCGAACAAGACTATTTCAACCCCGACGGCATTCCGACCGCGACCGAGGGCTGCAAGTCGAATGCCCTGGTGCGCTGCTGCAAGGATCTGGGCGTTGCCAGCGAGCTGTGGGATCCGCGCTGGATTCGCAAGTTCAAGGCCGAGTATACCAAGGAAGTGTTTGTGGAGCATGTAGTGAATAAACGGAAAAGCAAGATTTGGATTAGGAAGGATGAGGATGTTGCGTATCCGTGGAAGGCAACGAAGTAGCCTTTTCTCTCTCTTTTTATTATTATTTTTTTTCCCGTGTATATCTATTGTTCTGTTCATTTTTCTCGGGTTGCCAACTAACTTTTTTTTTTTGGATATGGGTTTAGATACCATTTAGTCTACAATCTCAACTTTATGCTGAACACTCTTGCAGACATATGTTATAACCAGTTGGTTATAGTATGTATCATCAAATCACTACCGTACAAGCTCACACAGGCAGCCACTCATATCAAGCAGCACATAACGAAAGAAACAAAACTCCTGCTAATATAAACATAACAACATTTTATCTAGTCTTGAGAAAGGGAGAAAAGAAACATGACTGAAATATCATTCAAACAAGCCTCATATCAGAAAATTGGCGTATCTAGTCTATGCATCATTTATTGCGTTCCTCATCCTCATCCGCTGCAGGCGTTTGTTGTTGCTGAGCAGAGCGAGGAGGCGACTGGTATTGTGGCGGAGAGGTTCGGTACTGAGGAGCTGTTGTAGTAGTAGTAGTGATAGGCGGAATGGTGGAATGGGATGTGTTTCCATAACTTGCTGCATATGGATTGTTGGTTTCGTAAGGGCTGCTAACTGTGCCCGGGTGGTCTGAAGAAGCACCGCCCACGCTGACAGCGGCAGAGTAGTAGCTGGGGATTTCGTAGCGGTCGGTTGCAGAAGTGTTTGTTTGCTGCTGCTGGTGGAATGAGGAGGATGATGAGGATGGGACAGCGCCTGTGACAGATGGAGGTACGAGGAGGGGGGATGGTTGGCGGATAGGTGAGATTGCTTCGTAGTTGTTGCTGCGGCTGGTTTCCAGGTTGTTGTTCATGTTGTAGGTATCGATGGTATTGCCACCCTTTCGACGGCCTGTAGACGGCGCGCGGAGAAGCGAGGCTTGATCATCATTGACGCCCAGAGTGTCGTGGCCGACGACGCTCAACTGCTCGCGGCTCACGGCCGAGGTCGCGCTGGGAACGCGATACAATTGCGCCGATTCATCGGGACGCGCCAGGTCATACCCTGCCGGACGACTGTTCAGCGCCTCGACGAAATCCGCTTCGCTCATCTTCTTGATGGACCCCGGACGGCGTTGCTCGAGGGTGCCGTTGTTGGTGTTGGCGACGGTCTCGACGCCGCTCGATTTCGCGCCCATGGCGGCTCTAGAATCCATGGTGGACTGCAGCTCGATCATTTGGCTGGTGGGCACGAGCCGAGCGGCCTCTTTCTTCTCTGCGGCCTGTGTGCGGTACTCCTTCGCCTTGTCGTCCGTGATGCTGACCGAGTACGAAGGGTTGCTGGGGTCACCGAGGGCAGCGCCGCCGCCGCCGGGGGCCAGAATGGGCACCTTGCGCACCGCCAACACCAAAGCACACATAAACTTCGACCGGCGTGAAGCGCGGACCGTCTCGTTGGACCAGTTGGACTTGTGCCGGATTTCTATGCGCAGCTCCAGTTTGTCCATGCTGCCAATGCCGATGACTTCAATCTCGATATCCGGCTGGAAGTCGCGGTTGTTCTCCTTGTCCCGGACAAACTTCTCCATCTCCATTTTCAGCAGCTGGATGTCGGCGAAGGTGGTGCCGAAATCGACGTAGAGAGAGATGCGTTCGCGCATGGCCCGCGCTCGCGTGAGGTTGTCGATCCAGGCGGTGTTGAGCACGTTGTTGGCTGCCTGTGTGATGCGTTGATCGGCGACGGAACGGAAGACGGTGTACAGCAGCGAGATCTCCTCGACAAAAAGCTCCTGGCTGTTGATTTCCACGCGGTCGCCAATGTCGAATGGATGCTTGACAAACAGGAAGACGCAGGAACCGAGCACTTCCTGTGCGGTGACGGAGAAGACGAACGAGAGAGACAGCAGAGACGTAGCTGCGGCCGCAATCACAGTTGCGGCACCGGTCGTGACAAAGGACACAAACACGAGAACCATGATGATCATAGCAACGCTTAGCAGCAGGCTGTCCAAGACGTGAATGGCCTGGTCGACATCGTGCATGCTCCGGCCGATGGACTTGCGCACACGCCCAAACTCGGCCACGGTGAGAATCATCTCCTCCATGCTGACATCGCCGTTGCCGTCGCGGTCCAGGATGTGGAAGCATTCGCGCGCCTCGGCCTCGCGAGTGGCGCCCATGACCTCGACAATGTCTTCTTCAAACAGAGCGTCTCTTCCCTCGACAACGAAGGACATCCAAATACGCTTGGCTAGCGCTTCAGACGCGTGCCGCTTCTCCAAGGCATGAGTAACCACGGAATGGGCAGATCCCCCCTCGTAATGCCTGCCAGTGATCTCCGAGGCGACATTACCAAACACAGCGGTGACCTTGTCACCGACACGGCCAACATTGCGTCCCACATTGCGAATCAGGCGGAGCGGGTTGACCGAGTCTCCACGACCAGCGCTGTCCTTTTTATTGGCGCCAATGATAGTGGCCGATATGATCTGGTCTTCCTCCATAAACTCCCTGCAGTATTCGGGAAACATGGCGCGGGAGGCTTCATAGAGAAAGCCCAGCAACTCGACATTATGCTTGGACTCCTTGATTCTGAGATCATACTGCTTCCGATGGTAGCTCACAGAGATCATCTGGATAATAGCTTTCTCGACCAGGAAGATCAGAGCACAGATAAGCAGGGCGAAAAGGATCTGTTTGATAGTGCCCTCCCAGGCCTTTTCTCCCGTATCACCCGCAGCGCGCTGGTCGGGGTTTTCAGTCATGATAGGAATAAACGTAGCCAAGGAGACAATGGACCATCCCAGCAGCGAAATGGGGATCTCCAGCGCCTTCAGAATAAGCGCATACTTCTTGATGCCGGCGCTGGCGAAGCCCGCAAAGAATTGGAACAAAAACGGCAAGAAATGGGCAAGAATCTTGGATACCCACAGACTGACCCAGACGACTTCGATCCAGGTGAAAAACCAGACGATTCTGACGCCGCCAATGGCCGCATGGGGCGCGGCCGTAGCGCCAACAATGATGGGGATGGCGATTATCAACACAAACGGCGAGACATAGATGAAGTAGCGAGTGACGACGGAGAAGTTGAGGATGGCATAGTAGAATTGGCCCATGCGGTTGAGCGTGGTTTTCCCATCATCCTCGTGCAGGGACTGATCTCCGAGATTGGTCTTTCTTCGCCGGCCAGGACCCGGTCGAAATGGTGCTTGCTGGGCTGATTTTTCGACATTGTCGAACCCTGTATTCTGGCCCCCGTTGGGATAGCTTGGAAAGGCCGCGATGTTGTTGTTGCTGCTGTTGTTCTTGCGGGCACCGGTGCCTTTGTTGCTGGGCACGGCGGTTAAGGGAATGTCGATAGTAGCGTCATTGGGATTCGCCATGTTGTTGTTGTTGTTGTTGCTGTTGCTGTCATCGGGCAGCGCGTGGAATTTGTTTGCTGAGAAGCGTTTCTGGGTGATCCCAGGACGACCCTGCTGCATCTGATCAGGGAGAAGAGAAGAAAAGGGTAAAAAAAAAAGATGATGAAAGCGAGCGAGCTAGTTAGTCAATTGGATCTAACGAAAGTGGGGGGTTCGTCGAAGAACCGCGGCGGCTTTTTTGGTTTGGTTTTAGTTCGAGATGGCGATGGCAAGCCAGCAAGCTATTTGCATGTTTTGTGGACCGACTAAACGATGGACTACCGTTCATAAATTGTGCGCTTTTATTCACACACAGAGAGAGAGTTATGGATCGGAGAGCGATGACGATTAGCCCACTCACTAACTAGTCGGAGAAACAAATTGAGGTAACAATGACAGAACAACAGAAGGAAAACAGACGGAAAACACAGGAAGAAGAAGATGAGGAGAAGAAGAGGAGGAGGAGAAGAAGAAGAAGAAGAAGAAGAAGAAAACACAGAAAATATTTTCGATCTGATACACCGAGATAACTATTTAAATTAACGAGGACAATGACTCTATTCTTTCCAGATCCTTGAACCCCGTAATAAATACTAGCGTGTATCCAAATGCCTTAGGAAGGCTAGACGCAAAGGTGGAGCCACTGCGATGAACGGGATGGCGCCGGCAGGCTCTGCTGATTGGACGCCTTCTCGCAGCCATTGGGCTCGGCGGGTTAATATGGCGGCGCTTATTGGGCGATTTGCGCCCCTCTGGTCCACAGTCTGGGCTCCGTTTCATGATTTTTTGACTTTGTGGGCGAGATCTTGGCGGGTATTTCAGGTACGATACGATCTTGAATTAATAAATCGGATCTTGACATCAGATATACAGAAACCTGGGAAAGGAGCATTTGAGGAACAGCGGCCAGGAAAGTGTGCAGTACGAGGTAGTACGATCTGCAGTGATGCGGCAATCCTTCATTTGGTATGCCGTACATGTCGTGCACAACGCATTCCATAATACGTTGTGTGCACTTGCAGAGATGATCGCTATAAGACGCATATTATGGCCTGTTAATTAATTAATTTAATCTCTGGTGTAGTTAGATATGTATTACGGGATGACATGTGAAACACGCTACCCTCAATCTTGCTGAAAACATTAATTCCGGACGACGACAAGACTTACATACAGCCCTATTTCACAGACATCTCATCCCCCGAATCAAGCCGCATCTGCCTCAGCTCAGACACAACCCGCTCCCGCGTCCAGCCCTCCTTCAACGCGCGAATCACCACATCCTGCTCGCTCTCCGGCGCCAGACCACTAGGAGCCGGCGGACGACGGTCCAGATTCGTGGGAAACGGGTATCCATCGGCAATAGCGCGGATGAGACAAGACACTTCCAGACTTGGCCCTTGTTCTTCTTCTTTTTCTTCTTCTCTAGTGGCACGATAGTACATCTCAACCAAAACCTCCCAACAGCTCTCCACAACTACTACCGAATCAACGGCCTCCATACACTTCCCAAACGCACTACTAATCTGCAGCAAATTCGCCATCCGCTCCAGACCAACGGTGCGATTAGCCCCCGCAGCATGGAAAAGCGCCGGGTTGAAGAATAGCGCATCCCCGCGTTCCAACGGGATGGCGACATAATGAGAGGCGAAATAGTCTCTAAACTCGGCCAGAGTCCACGCCAGATACCCCTCGGCAAACTGCTGGCTGAATGGTAGGAGCCACGTCGGGCCGCTGGCGAGCGGCATGTCGGTATGCGCAATCGCGCCCTGAAGAGTCAAAAAGGCACTTGCTGAATGCATGGTGCGCGGGTATTGGGCGCAAGAAGACACGGCCTGGAAGCCGAGGTGGTAGTCGCGATGCGGGTTTTGGGCTTGTCCGCCTGGTTTTACCACGTTGACTTGTGCTGTGATGCGGTAGGCTGGGCCGAGCCAGGCGCTTGATACGTACGAGAGCCATGGGTTGGAGTAGTAGGTGCTGAAGGACGCGGGGTCGGTGACGGCGTGTTTGCTGAAGGAGTTCCAGATACGGTCGTTGGCGCCTGTGTTAGCGAAGTGGTCGCCCTTTTTTTCGCTGCTGCGACGTTCGTTGCTGATTATTTGTTGGTAGGCTGTGGTGGCTGCGGAGAGGGCATCATCATCCCCTTCGTTGGTGGTGGAATACATGCCCTTCAAAACGAACACGCCCGGCCCGTTCAGCAGAATGTGGTACCATTCATCCTGCAGCTTGGTGATGGTGGTTTTGTCAGCAACTAGACTGTGAAAGTCCGGGAGGTTGTAGATGGGCACGTTTTTCTCAATTGATCCGGCCAGTGGGTAGGTCTCGGGCTTGATGGTTTGGGAGCAGAGACGCTCGAATTCCGCCAGCGAAGGGGGCGATGTGAAGAGTCGTTTATACATTCTTATTTTTTTTTTTTTGCCCCCTTTTCTTCTAAATTTTAGACGAGTATGTTTCCAAGGCGATGGCAAGCCAGCAAGCCGACTAGATGGACTAAGATCGTGTGTAACGTACAGTATTTCACGGGTAAACCGCGCGCCTCTGTATTGCTGTCAGAGAATCAGAATGTCACAGCCAATCATAATATATAAGGAACGCTAATGCGTGGGAACAAAGGATTATCCGAAGACCGCCTCGCCGTGGATATTGAATTTGAGGTATACACGCGGAGATCACGGGGGTCGCGGGAACACCCAGGAGCTAGGGCTAATTTAGAATAGTCAACATAGATATTATTTATCACTGGAGGCGCCCCCTTTGGGGACGCACTGCCGGAATGAAGTAAATCCGAGGCAATCACGGGACTGCCATCACATGATGGCCCGATTAGGCCATTTTCTACCTCGACGTCCAGGCACCGCAGCGCTCTCTCGCTCGTTCGCTGGGTGGGGTCATGTGATTTTTACCCTCCATTTCATTCCGGCACTTGAGTGTATTACGATCTTCTATCGATCAGGATGTTTATAAGATAACTACACCTTGCGTACTCCAGAGGCCTATTAACTTCGCCTGTTAATCGCTCTCCTAGCTATACTCGACGGTGGTTCGACCGAAGTTTCAGACAATTGCATAGTAAATAGCTATTTTTATCCCCTTGTATCTCAACCAATTTATATATAGATTGAGAAACAAACAATGACACAACAACAGAAGGAAAACAGACGGAACAAACAGGAAGAAGATTCTTATAGGAGCCCCAACCCGGGTGGGGGAAAGGCGACGAGACGGGGATGGATCATTATGTCAGATAGTCTTATACCTCTGGTTCGCCAATCATGCCAGTGAAAGATCGCCACACAAAAGAGTATGAAACAGCTTCACCGCGGCCATCATTGGACACTAATGGTTCCCTAGTGTTATTGGGGTTAGGGTAAGGTGGTGATTTGGTCCTGGTGGGCCCCCACCTCATCCAGCTAATGGTACATTCGTCAACGACAAAACTTAAAATCATCACCACTGATCAATGTAAAAAGCATTCCAACTTGTTATAAATGGAAGTCCACCGCGTAATTTATCGTGACACTGGTTATTTTCTCAAACAGCCTTCCAAACATCACAGGTATGCTCGGTCAAAGTCTTGCACGAAGGACCGATGGCTCAATCAAATACCTCTCCTCGGAACCATCGCGCCTCCGTCCTGGGGGGCACGGTCAGTTCTCTCGTGATTGCGTCATTATTTGTCGCAGCTCGAATGTTTACTCGGCTGAAGATCGTGAAGAGGTTTGGTTGGGATGACGGTTGGATTTTTCTTGCTTGGGTGGGATAGACTCCTTTTCGTGTCTCTCTGTCAGTTGCTTTTGAAATTTTTTTCGTTCTATGTTTACTGAGACGCTAATCGATTTTGATACACTAGATTTTGGCATTTGGGTTATCATTCTCAATCTGCTACGGGACCTCCAAAGGCCTCGGGCTACATTTTGCAAATATACCCCAGGAATGGCTGTCTCAGCTAGGTGGATCTATATACGCATTTACAGTCCTTTATGTATGCGGCCCAAGCTGTCCGAATTGGACAATACTCACATTCTATTCTTCCAGTACCCGGCGGTTCTGATCACTAAAATATCAATTCTCGTGCTTTACTTGAGAATCTTCCAGTCAAATACGTTCGTCAGACGCGTATCTCTCATTTCGATCGCTGTCATCGCCTGTGCTTATGTTGCGTTAACTTGCGCCAAGGTCTTCCGGTGCCAACCTGTTAGTGGAGCATGGCAACTTGCACCAGGACGTCCTGTGAAATGCATTGATATTGTCGTTATCCACCTGGCGTCAACTCCGGTGAATCTCTATACTGATCTTGCGATCATCCTGTTGCCAATACCCGTACTCAGCAGCCTACAGCTTCCTCGGCAGCAGAAATTTATTTTGATTCTTACGTTTGCACTGGCAGCGTTCGATGTCGTCATCTCTGTCATCCGCACTGCTGTTTTGGAGCAAGTTTTGTTGAAGGCGGCTGTCGAAAACAGACTCCATGGATACGAAACACCCGCTTCGAAGCTTGATATAACGTACACCGAATCGCTCGCCTTCATGTGGTCTGCCGTGGAGGTGAATATTGGCATCGTCTGTGCTTGTATCATAACTCTCAGGCCGCTCGTTGGGAAAGTATTTCCAAAGATGTTGGAGGACTCGAGAAGAAAACAGAGCAGCGGAGGCAGCAGCAGTACGAAACCCGAATCTTCTAGGGCCGAGGAAAAAGACGCATCCTCATTTCGACCGAACTGGAATGTTCGCGCTCCATCGTCGAACGAAGTAGGCAACGACGGTCACCCCGACCCTTTCGTATCTTCCTCTGCTACCTGCTTTGTCGACCGAGAAGAACACCGACACGCCGTCCAGATGGAGCGAGCAGTTGAACTTGATGTTTCTGTTGCACGCGCTGATTTTGGGGCTGGGCCTAGCCGAGAAGCCAACTATTACCCGATGGAATTCATAACAACCCCGGAAATTAGCAACGTACCATCGCATCGTGAATCGGTGCTCATACCCCAAAGTCCCGAAGCCCATCAAAGGCTGTTCAGATTTTTCTGCTTCTATCTGCCATCGAAATGCATCAACAACCTCTCCACCAAAGAATCGTATCTCCCTGTTGCGATTATAACGACCCTATTCTTCATCGTACAGTTTCTTTTGGGGCTAATGAACGTTCAGGTCGCGGAGATTTTGGGTGTCCTCAACATCTCCTCCCTGAGAAGTGTTCAACTCCAAGCGACGTACTTTTCGGGATACTTCCTCGGCGCTCTGTTTATCAGTCGATTCACCTTGGCTAAATTCAGCCTGCATGTGACTCTGCTGACGGGGCTGCTTATCCTTTCTGTCGCGCCGATGATTTTCTGGCCCACTGCAGTTCTTTTAACTATACCCGGCCTATTGGTGTCTTACCTCATCCTAGGATTGGGATTTTCTGTGGTGTACAACGGATTCTTTGTTTTCGTATTGCTTTGCGGTCCCCTCCAATTTACTGCCCTTCGATTGTTATTCCTGCAGGCCATTGGAAATATCGGGAAATTGTTGTCATTTATTCTTGCCACCCAATTCATCTTCCCGGATAACCAGACCGAAACAACCATTCTCAACTCTCAGTGGACATTCTTGGGTGTGACTTTTATTGTCGTCTTTCTAACTATTCTTCTCTACTATATTCCTTTAACAGGAGTTTCCTATGATGACCTGGCCCGGGACACAGGATATCTTGAAGGGGCGCGTCAGACATTCATGCCTCCGTTTAAGAAGGCATACATCTGCAATCGGGATGTTTGTTATACCACCCTGGCGCTTGGTGTCTTTTCCGCATTCTGCTATTCTGGTCTCAACTCCGTTATCACGTACATATTTACGGATTATGTGCACTCTATGGATCCGACGTCGGCGCTGAATGAGCGCTATCTCACATGGATCGCAGGTGCTGCTCTTGTTGTCGGTCAATTGGTCGCCGTACCGATTTGCTACTACTCTAGGCCGTCGTGGGTGTTGCTAATATGCTGTGTTACCAACATCATCTTGTCAACCCTCACCCTCACTGTCGAGGGAACCGCCGGCGTTGTGGTGATTGTGGTCCTGCAAATGTTTGTCGGTCCCGTATTCCCGCTATTGTTGAGCATTTCATTGAGCAGACTCCGACGGCACACTTTTGCAGCATCTACGTATGTGACTGCTACACTATCAGCGGGCGCACTGTTCATCCCGGTTACATACTTTGTGCAAAGACGCCCGAGTGCGAATCCGATCCAATACAGCTTCTCTGTGGGGCTTGCTTGTTCTTGCTTTGGCATCGCGATGCCGCTATTCATCAATATTAGTCGAGCAGCCAGGAAGCAGGTTAATCGGCGCGGGAAAGGTTGAGCAATAAATTTGCATCGTTTGGGACATATCTGCTCTTCAGAATAGAATCCACGAACCCCCCCCCCCCTCCCTCCCATTGAGTCCTCAGATTTGGGCAGGCGTTGAACGCACAAGGACGTACCTAATTAAACGGTCCGGAAAGGACGGTGACAGGGTATGCCGGATATAGTGAGTGCAACGCATAAACTCCCTCGCGCGGCCCTCAGTGGATAGCGACTATGGAGAATGAAGGGAATGGATGCAGAAATGGTCCACCAATTCACGCGGGGCAGAGGAGAAAGACTTGCTCGTACAGCGGAAGACCTTTTGAACTTCCTGGTTCATGGCTCTCACCGGCATTGCGCCCTCATATTGCAGGAACTAATCAAGTTGAAAGTCACTGAGCAAGTCGACAAAGCACGATATGGATAGATGAACTTGGTCTAGATCGAGCGGAGAAATTTGAATCACATTATTCTTTGACTATATGCAAGATGAAATAAGCATATGCAGCCACATTAGCTCCAGGAGCTTGCGACCACTTGAGCAAGTTTCCAGGGTTACTATTAGCGAGGTGAGTGAATGATATATCCCGGAGAGTATCAAATCCCTCAGGCTAGAGGCGCGAATCCGGTCTCACCACGTTCCACCAATTCCAATCTTCCAGAGGTCGTTGAGAACAAATACATTATACTTCCAATTTTGAGATATATATATATATATATATATATATAAAGAAAAGAAAAAAAAAGAAAAGAAAAGAAAAGAAAAGACAAAAGAAAGGCGAGGAATCAGGAGCAAATATCCCAACGGAAACCTGATTCTGAGATTGACAACAGACAACGTTTACTTATTCAAGACTCAACAAGTAGAACGTATCTAGGTACCCTGAAGTATATATTAATCGTACATTACCAGATATATATAGCCAAGTATTAACCATGCTAATCGTTTACTCAACACATACGTTAATAAGTCATAGCAACAGACATACCAGAGGGGGAAAAAAAAAGAAAAAAGAAAGAAGAAGTAGATTCCCTCCCAGCTTGCTACCAGCTAGCCTTTGCCTGGTTATAAACGGCTAGCTAGGTATGCAATATATTTTGGTTGTCCATGTCCATGTCCAGATCCGTCCTTTTGTCCTTCCTTTCCATGCCAAATTAAATAAATGATTGTTAAAGCCGCCCTGAAAAATAATGGAATGAATAGGTAGATGATAATGCCATGTCGTATAGAATCGTTATATATCGTATCCTTCGTATCATATAAGTGACTCGGAAGACTATCCTTCTGTCATGATCGTATCGTCGTCAGTAATGCTCTGAGTATGCATCGGGTCTGTCGTAATCGCCTGTCCCAGTCCTTGCCCGACAAGTGTGCATTGAATAGCATTGCACGGACCTGTCGTTGTGAACAACACTTTTATGAGTCCCGAAGAGGAGGAAGTAGAACTTTGTTGTGTCGCTGTTGTGATTGTGGTTGTGATTTGGGTATGCGACGCCAACATACTCACCAAAGACTTGACGTATTGCTCCGTTTGGTCCTCTTGGTCACTAATATGATTATTATTGTTATTGGTGTTGTTGTTGTTGTTGTTGTTATAATCAACCACCAAAACATCCAACGAATCAATAACGCAGAACAATACCGGCGGTTTATAGTGTAGCAGCGTATCGAGAATGGACAACGCATCAGCCAACGAGCCTATTGTCCCGTCAAGCCGTCGAAACCGCTCACCGCTCAGATCGCAGTTACTGTCACAGTTCAACATGGGTGGGGCGAGCTCGATCAACTGGCGTATCAGGCTGTAGATAAGGGCTATCAGGCCATCCTTCTTGCTGGCCCGCGGCGACGATGCACAGAAATGCGATATGACCGGTATGTTGTGCTTGCGGGCAACGAATATGTAGCATGCTGAGACTAATGTCAGTCGACTGGGGAGTCCTGCAGAGCCTGCAATAGCCAGCGGAGGAGACGGGTTTGTTTGAGCCCAGTCGAACAAGGCCGTGGCAATCGGCGCAGAGATTTCGAGGGGTTGGTCCGGACCGAACGGGTATATTTGCTCGTTATTATCGAAAAAGTCTTGAAGCGGTGATGAATCGTGTTGGAGTATAGATTTCACGAGTCGCCGTTTCGGCGTGATCTCTGACGATGTTGGCTCACGTATCTGCGGATGAATGACTTTTTTGCTATATCAGCTTTTGAGATTTTTCGACGACCAGGAATGATGTACAATAAGGGTAGATTACCACTAGTACCCGACAGATGACACTCCCCATCATTGGTCTGATGTACCTGTGCTTGCAACGAGGCCAAAAACTCATCCAGAATCCTCGCTTGGTCAACAGCAAGCTTTTGATTCAGAATTTTCTGCTGCTGCATGTTCCAAATCAGCTGCAAAAGCGTCGTCGTCTGCGAGGCATGTTTACGGGCGGCCCCCTCCAAGCCGATCTTCTCGAAATGATGTGCATGATCCACCAGGGTATGATTATTAGCACATGAGCTGTCAACACACGCAGACTCGAGGCGCATGAGTGCTAGATTCTCGACGCTCGCCACGAGATTCTTGAAATTGGACTTGAAGTCCTCGTTGTGGCTATATAGCAGACGGCATCGGGCTTTGGCGACATAGTCGCGCAGAAACTCGCCTAGAAAGAGGAAGATTTGGCCGTACAAGGCAGCAGCCAGCTCGGTCGAACATTCCATGCTCACTGCGGATGCCACGGCGTGGTTGATTCGTGCCAGAAACTTGAGAAAAGCTTCCGCCACTCGGTACTGTTCTTTGACGGCCTGTTCTGATATGTTAGAAAAACAAGAGAGAAGAAGAAAAGTTTACGTAGTGCCCTCCAAGTGTCAATTTCCCTTTTGCAGGCAGCAGCACGCACTTTGACGATAGAGTATACAACGCCAAAGAAGAGGTCACAATACTTGGAGTCCGGCAGAGTCTGCATCAACACTGCGTGGGCGTCCATGGTATCGAGACATTTCTGGGCCCATTTGATTGCTTTCCGGAACAGCACTCGCTGCCGGTGCGAGGACCAGTACTGGATTTCCTCTGCGATCTCGCGGACGAGATCGTCTGGCTGGGGAGGTCGCTGCTGCTGGTGGTGGTCCTGGTAGCGCAGAGACTCGTGGAACTCTCTCCAGGACCGTTGCAGCTGTCTCGTTTCGACTTCGAGTTTCATTCTCGTGGTTTGAGGGCTAGCAGAATGAGCAAACTCCATGATCCATAGGGGGTTGGGAAAGAAGAGGGAGAGGCAATCATGTGATCCAAGATGAACCCGGCCGTCGTAGGTTTGAGGCTCACAGCACGAGAGCAGTTCAGCCACAGCGAACCAGGGAAATTGAGGCAGGAAAGATTTCACAGTCTGCCCATGTGGATTGGGAGGGAAGGGGGGGG